AGAGGGAAGGGTGGAAGTGAACAACGATGTTAAAGGAAGTAGAGGAGGGAGAGGAATTCTTTCTTTGGTTTATTATTACCCCCTGAGGGGTGGGCCGATCCCGGAGGTACTGCAATACCGGGCCAACCCGTGACCAGGATGGAGCAAGCCCCTATTCCATGGTCTAGATTCAAAAATCAGTTTAATATACAAGCGACTCGGTGAGTCGCGTTTCAGATATTAAGCTGAAAAGAACAGATACTACACATGATCTTAGCCAAAAGGCCGAGAAGCGATAACTACAGAAGGCATTTGAAGGCAATCCGCTTTAAAAAGAATATCTTTTTAGTTCCAGTTGGAGAAAAATAGGAAGAACCAAAACACACTCCACTTACGTCCACGTAGCGTAAAAACAAAGAAAAATATCGAAAAATTATCAAGACCTATCTGAAAGAAGATTCTATGAAGAATTCTGTGAGAAACAGTAAAGATTAAATAATTCATTAATTTATCTGTTATTTAGAAAAGTTTCTTGATAATTGCGAGAGACAGGAACGTCTAAAACAGTTTACAACGCGTTTTAAATACTGGAGCACGTACGGAAATTAGTCTTTTAAATAAGCCCCTATAGTGATATATTATTTTATCATTAGAACTGTTTAATCATTCAATCCTCATTATCCTATATTGAAATAATGTGGAATTTAGTTTACACAAAAAAATTAAATTTATATTTCAAACATGTACAAATTATCGTGAATGTTTCATTTTTGTCCACCAATCTTGCATACAGCGTATGCTTTTGAATACTAGTTTTACTGCACAGGTGGATGATCGAACGCGCGACCGTTACGCACTATGACGCACGCACAGCGAGTCGCTCGAGATGCGTGACGTATACGATGCATTATACATATGGTAATATAAATCATGCATATGCATTAGTGCGACCGCATCATGCTGACGATGCGGGCGACGTCATAAATTCTAGCAAATAAGATTTAGATGCTGCCACAGGACCATTACAAAAAATTCAAGACTTGGTGGAAATACATTTAATTTAAAGGTAAAGACCAGTATTGGAAACGCCGCAATTTCAAAAAATGAAATGGAAGCTCTCATTACCAATCATGTGAAAGAATATGTTTTGACTAATACATGATGATAAAAAATTTGCCGGGAAACCGCCTACTAATTCATATATTTGGAAAATTTGTGTCTCTCATGGTCTGTGAGAGATATAGGGTAGTCCCATACATCTTTCTGTGTATAGTGCTTGTAACATTACGAAGAATGGGCCAAATTTCTTATTATTTTGATGATTCCAGAACCTTGCAGATGCTAGATGCTAGATGATCAACCTTTTCTGATCGATTCCACAACGTTTCTTTCACAATGCAATCACAATGACCATAACTGGTCTTTACCTTTAACCAGTTGTCACATCAAGAAATATTCCCCCAGTCCCAGAGTCTCTCAGAGAGTTTCCGAGTGATGGAAATGAAAGATAGTGAATTTTCTATATAGGGCGATGGGAGAAGATTGCAGAGCATTACATAATGCCTGTCGGTCACAAACCTGAAGGCTAATATTGGCGAGTGACAACACCTGATAATGGGTAAACGCCCTAGAGGTGTTGAATAACCATGAACCTAATAGGTTCATGGAATAACCCATATGAGAGCCCATTACTATTCGTTTATTGGCACGATACAACGATTTGAGAGTGACAAGCGATATATCTGTCGTCACTCCGTTAAAACAACCAAACTACATCATTAACCAAGCCAATAGCTCCTGAGGGAGCGATAAATCGCCCGCATTCAGTGACGAATGATTTGTGGTCAATGAGAGCAGTATAATGTTACACGATTCCATTTTATCTCTGAGTTTCTGACCCCAATTTTTTGTCCCTGTCCAAATGCGTTATTGAGTGTAAAAGTTTGAACAATAATTATGAAGGGGAAAAAAGCATCGGGGTAGCGCCTATTATAATTTATAAGGCCATGCATGTAAAAAAATATATATACATGTTTAGCGTCCCCGTCCGCTTCCTTTTTCGGGGCCGCCTCCTTTTTTTCCCTTCTATTACTGATTTAAAATTTAAATTTAAAAAAAAAAAAATGACGGCGGCCATCTTGTAAAAATAGCCCGATTGTCAGGGAAATGTTACGAGCGGCCATTTTGAGCGGCCATTTTGAAAGAAAAGTAGAAAAAAAGGGCCTCCTCCTTCCTAATTTTCAAATAGGCAGGACTCCAAACATGTTTTTTATTTTTATTTTGCCTAACAGACTCTACGATATAACTTAGCACATCAGACCCCGGCATCAGACATTATACGCCTAAGGATTTAATGCTTATGATGAGATGAGTATGTTTTCATTTCAGTAGGATAATTTTTCTTCATCAGTAGCTGTTATAGTGACACTCAAGCCCCCCCCCCCCCCTCCAACATCAAACACAAATATAGAACTGCACCTGGTCTTCATGGCTTCATTAACTCCACTATGCCAACATCACACGAAACATGAAGAATATTGGCCCCTACTTTATTTAGGGTATACTCAGTGGCATATCACGAGGACTTGAGGACTCGTGCCCGACTCACCCCCTCCCCAAATCGAAAGCCAATAGGGCAGAAATACCTTTTTGAAGAGAGAATTCTATACAAAAAAAATCATTGTCTGTAAGATAGTAGGGATGTTTCAGCAAAATCGGAAATTTGTCACGAATTTCAGGTTTACAAAACCTCGAAGAGCACGTTTTTCTTATTTCGGATTATAATCGACCCTTTAGAATAATTTCGAAACAATTAATTCTATTATCATATTAGTAGTAGTAGTAGTAGTAGTAGTAGTAGTAGTAGTAGTAGTAGTAGTAATAATAATAGTAGTAGTAGTAGTAGAGTAGTAGTAGTAGTAGTAGTAGTAGTAGTAGTAGACTGTAATGGTGGTAATAGTAGTAGTAGTGGTAAGAGAAGTAGTTGTATTAGTAGTGGTAGTATAAGTTGTTGTAGTAGTAGTAGTAGTAGTAGTAGTAGTAGTAGTAGTAGTAGTAGTAGTAGGAGTAGTAGTAGAAGTAGTAGTAGAAGAAGTAGTAGGGCCTAGTAGAAGTAGTAGTAGTAGTAGTAGTAGTCGTATGTAGTTGTTGTTGTTTACCAATTTACTTATTTTACTCATCTGTTTATCAAATTTTCGTTTATTTATAATTCACTTTCACCTCTAAAACTCTATACTACCTCTATACTTCACAATATGGTTCGAAATGGCACACTTGCATAGCAAGATCTTCTTTTTCATGACAAAAGGCGTTGGGAGAATACAACGAAACGAAATCTTATAACTATAAGATAGACCCACTCTTCCTGGCAATCACCAGTCACTTCTAAAGGCAAAAAAAGAAGAGGAGACAAGGTACAAAAAGATAATCCCTTTCCCAAGCAATCTTGTTATTATAGTCCTCGTTTATTCTCAATTCAAGAGTGGGTACTTGCAAGCTTTGACAAAGAGTATGTAAAGGAGTTTCTGAATTGTCCGGGATATTTGTACAGTGGTATGTAACAAATCACTGCAAACAAAATACTTAGTTCCTTTTCAAAAGATCAGGTTGTAGTGCTATACGCCACTGGTTAAATCAGGGAGGCGATTCTCACCTCTCGGGCACCTCCTATCCCTGGTTAGATGCACGGCGGTCAGAGAATTTAGTTTTGTTTACCGCCCTCTAGTGGCCATATACCATATAGTTTTTGTTTTGATATTCATGGATACATTTACAACGACACTGTCCTTTTTCTTTCAGTATTTTAATGAAAAGTCAAACGAGACATGATTGGGCCTATATAAACAACATTTATTAGAAACTTAACCGTTTATATTATGTATGATGTTTATTACATGCATTCCAACGTAAGATATAAAAGTGCAGAAAACCGTTTTAGGCTTTAAAATCCAATACTCTCAGAGTAATCCAAGCATAATGTATACACCATTGAAACATAAAAGTGACATATCTTTTTACTTTCTTGTTATCTGCTAGTTAGATCAGTCGTGAAATATTGCTACAAAAGTATGTTACCTTGACAAACTGAGAAATGTCAAGAAAATCTTTAGAAACATCTCCCATAAAGCCGTATACTAGATTTCACGATATTTCACGATATAGCATCACATAGAAGTATGGGACAGCGAGATAATCAAAACAATTATTATTATATTGAGTAAAATATACTACGATATAACAAGTTGCAAATTTCCCACCCTCATTTTGCGTGTGCTGAATTAAAACGGAGATATAAAGTGATTTACCAAATAAAAGGAAATACTAACTTGTCATTCAATTTGCTATGCAAATTAAGATAGACAAATGTTTAACAGACAGAAGAAAAGACCAACTTGTTATTTTTTAAATTACTATTAATAATGGTCCACATAAAGAGATGCATGTTTATCTGTCCAAAACAATATCGAAATATGGAGGAAATATATATACACTGTCGCTCATACAGTTCGAATATTTTTGTTTTACCCCAATTTATGGAATTATTTTTGAAATAACTCCATAAATTCGGGTAAAACAAAATATTCCAACTTTATGAGCGACAGTGTATATTTTTGTATAGATATAACATTCATTCAACTAGATCCAGCACAGAAATGACATAGACATGAAAACTTACATGAAAATTCTATCTAATTAAAAAAAGTTAGTAAAAGAATTTGTGTCAAGTATAAAAGTATTCTTTTTTTAATCGGGGAGCTGCGAGAGAAACAAATTACTCATCACCAACATGGGGGAGGCAAAAATTGAAGGAAAAAATGTGTTGATAATATTATCTTCGCTATGCAACACCCAGTAAAATTATCCTCGATCTGTCTCTCAACCCCCCCCCCCTCCTTCTGTCTGTCTCTCCCCCTCCCACTCTCTCTCTCTTTCTCTCTCTCTCTCTCTCTCTCACTCTCTCCCCCTCTCTCTCTCTCTCTCTCCCTGTCTCTCTCTCTTTGTGTCTCTCTCCGAATCTGACCTTTTTTCTCTCCTCCCCCCTCTCCCTCGTCCTCTTTCTTCATAAACGGTTAAGAAGACCATTACAGCGAGGGCTATTGCACTATCGAAACATTCACCGAAATGGTTATACTGGTTGTAATCAGGGGGTCGTCCATATTCATGCAATGTTGATAAACATACACAATAATTCACTAAATTTAGTATGATCATTTAACAACCGAAATTCATGATGAGCGTTCATCTTTATATCCACTGTACCAATTTACTCTTGGCTGTCGGTGTGCCATTTCTAGTTTTCAGCTGGAAGGAGTCGTCGAAATAATATTTTGATTTAGACATCATGACCTTCCGTTAATTCAAAGTAGTCCACATGAAGCTGCCACTTAAGATATGCTCTCTCTCTCTCCGATAAATTATGATCGTCTACAGCATCTGATCTTCAGAACTGCAGGATATCTTAATATATCGCACACAATCGTCACGGATCGTAAGGGCATCAAGAATGTTGAACCTGCCCAAAACAAAAAAATGGTTTACGAATCGTAAACTCGTCGCTGCTCTCTCCTCAGAAATATGACAGAAAATCGAAGCCTTTTCCGTGGTAAAGCACGAGATGATTTTGCTGCCATGTTCATTTTATTTCATTTGTTTGTTGCCTCTTTTTTAATATTCAAGTTTGTTTGTTTGTTTGTCGAATTTCCCGGTGCTTAACAACGCCGACAATCACAAATGATATATGAGTAGTCCACGATTGCACAATTCAAAAGTACGTGTAATTTATCGCAAAATCGAAACTTATATAATCTTCAACTATTAGTGTATCGAAGTGTTCACACTGCCTTCAGAAGAGGAACATTCCATAGGATGCTGACACGTTCTGATTCTCCGAGCAGCTCCGTGTCTGAACAGAGATGTAAGTCCCGGGTCCTGGCGGTGACACCAGGGCTCCCATTCCGATGAGATTGAGCGCTCTACCAAAGTGCTTGCCAAAGAACTTTCGAACCTAAAGAAAAAAATCACAAGAAAAATACTTCAAAATTAGTCTTGAATTCAGTGGCGTACCGTCAGGGGGGGGGGGCAAGCGACCGAAACAAACAAAAAAGGCGATGCTAATTTTCAGTTCTGGCGAGCGAGCGAGCAAAAAAAAAATCTTTAAGTAACGTTTGGTATATAAACTGGTATTGTTGCAAGTTGGGGTGGGAACATTCACTTGTTAGCGACGTTAATTTCATTTTTTTGCAAACGAGCGTAGCGAGCAAGAAAAATATCACTTCTTTTTTAATAATTGCCACTTAAACTTGGTTCAATTGTCCCATGCAGGGCGCGGGAACAATATTGTGTTTAGGGTGATTTCATACCCATTTTAGCTAGCGAGCGAAAATACATCTTTCTCTCAATGAATTGCTATATAAAATTTGTTTCATTGTTGCAGGTAGGGGGCGGGCACAATCGTGTGTAAGGCAATGTCAATCCCATTTTGGCGGGCAAGCAACCCCCTACATTTCTCTTTTTAATGATATTGTAGCAGGTTAGTGGTGGGCACATAATTCCACGAGCTAGCGAGCGTAGCGAGCGAGCGAAAAAAATCACTTCTCTTTTATAGGGAAAATATGGTACATAAAACTTGGGTTCATTGTTCCATGTCAGGGACGTGATTATTAAAAGCGGTGTTATTTCTATTTTGGCGAGCGAGCGTAGCGAGCGAGCAAAAAAAATTACTTCTCTTTTATAGGGAAAATATGGTATATAAACTTGGGTTCATTGTTCCATGTCAGGGACGTGATTATTAAAAGCGGTGTTATTTCTATTTTGGCGAGCGAGCGTAGCGAGCTAGCAAAATTTTTGTAATGATAATTGGTTCATAAATTTCAGATTTTTTTGTTGCAGGGCAGGGCTTACACAATCATGTCTAAGGTGATGTTAATTCCGTTTTGGCGAGCACGAGCACACCAAAACTTTTTTGAAGAACGTTTGGTACATAATTATTAACTGGTTGTTGCAGGTTGGGGCGGGCACGTTAGCGGTGTCAATTCCATTTTGGCGAGCGAGCATAGCGAGCAAGCAAAACAAAAATTCTCTTTAATAGAAATTAATAAATAAACTAGTTTTTAAAGGTGCAGGTCAGGATGGACGCAATCGCGTTTAACGCGATTCAATTCCTTTTTGGCGAGAGGGCGAAAAAACTCTTCCATTTTTAATGATATTGTTGCAGGTCAAGGGTGGGCACAATTGTTTCCAAAGCAATATCTATTCATTTTATTCGCGAGCAAGTGTAGCGAGCGAGAAAAATGAATTACTCTCTTTTAGTAACATTTGGTACGTACACTGTGTGTTATTGTTGCCAGGTTGCAGGTCGGGGCCCGTCGGGGCAGGCACAATTATATTCTAGGCAATGCTAATCCTTTTCTTTTTTCAGGGGGACGAGCAAGTGAAAACATTTAATACAAAATAGGCTATCAAGCAGTTCGCGCCAGCGAAGATTTTTGGAATTGGTTATATCACTTATATTTTCCTATTTTCATTTGTCTTAATTTTTCAGGGCCGTATGCGGAATATTTTTCTGGTGGGGGAGGGGGAAAGATGCGTTAAAGTTTTCGAAGAATCTCAAAAGCAAAAGGAGTGAAGGGAGTTCGAGCGACCGAACTGGTCATGAGGGTACTTTTGCATTTTCAAAAGTAGAATTGAAGGATTTGGTATAGGCCTACACTACATTTTCAGGAAAAAAACTGTACGTTTTCAAAATATCTGGGGTCAACTGCCCCCCCCCCCTGATGCGTACGGCCATGGTCTTTTTTTTTTAATTTCCCCATTTTTTTCCTTTCCTTTTCTTTTCCCTTTTTCTTCCTTTTCTCTTCTTCTTCGTTTTTTCTTTCCTTTTCCTTTTTTTTCTTTTTTCTCTTTCTTTCCTTTTTTTCTTCCCTTTTCTTTTTTTCTTTTTCTTTCCTTTCCTTTCTTTTTTTTCTTTCCCCTTTTTCTTTTTTTCCCCTGGAGCCCGTCAGGGGGGGGGGCACTCTGCCCCCCCTGCCCCCCCCATAGGTACGCCAGTGCTTGAATTAGACGATATAATCGTACCCGAATATACTATATCAATTTTCCAGTTTTAAGGTTTGAAAGGGGATGAAGCGAGTAAACATGAATGAAATTTTACCAAGGTATAGTTAATTTTTTATAACAATATAGAAAATATTTGGGCATTTTGGACCTGCCACAATAGGAGGTGACGGCTGCCTAAAATATTTGTATTTTCAAAATCCTCGGGGCTACGATCCTCAGTCCTAACCACTCCTCCTACCTACCTCGTACCAATATGATTGACATCGATTCAAATGTGATTGATTGGTGGTTTCTTTAAAACGTCAGTGCAAGATAAAAACAAAAAAATACATTCCTTTCTGTATTAAGAAAACAAAACGTATCAATATTATATTTTACGGAATAGGGGAATGTAAATGTGCTCGTTCCTGCATGCGTCTACAACTGATTTTCATGTATCTTTGAACATGGTAATTCAGTTCTATTAATCCAGAACGGGACGAAGATCAATATGTTTATATAACCATTACAAAAATGTACCCACCCTCTTCCACCGATGACGAGTTGGAGCAGGTTCTTGGTTTGATCCGACCGTGTTTCTGTCCTCATTTCTACCGCGTCTCCTCCTACTTTGACTCCGGCTCCCGTCATCATCTTTCGCGCCTTTTTCAGATCTTAAATTCTTGGTTTGGCTCTTCGTCTGCGCCACATCTTTCGACGTCCGTTCTCGCCCCATGATGTCAACGTCTCTATCATCCCCATGGCATTCTGCTTCTAGCTCTCTCACATTGTGTGATCTATCTACAAACAAGGAATTTTTCTTCGCCATTTTGTGCTCCTGTATTCCTGTATTCCCAAGTCCTCGACTAACAACCTCCGACGTGACATAATTTGCGTTGATCTCCGTCACGTTTTCATTGGCTTTATCTTCCATACCTACGTCAGTGGTGTGCCGATCTGGTACCAATAGTGGTTTATCCCCGATCATTTTCGTAGACAATCTGCCAGCCGTTGTCGTCGAGCTCTGCATCTCTTTTGTTATTTTAATTGTTCGTCCAAAACAGGTAAAGCTTTTGTTTCACATATCATCAGGGTAGATCCTGCTTATACAATGATTTCAATTCTGCAACAAGGAGATTAGCGTCGACGCAGAACGCTTCACACACTGGAGGACTATTAATCAAACCTTCCAACTGCCTTTTGAACAGTACGCGTCAACTCTGGACCATCTCTGCTCATTTTAGAACTACCTGCCAAAACAAATTAGTGCCAGGTGTCATAATGTTTTCCAAATATAGCAGGTCGGGGATCGGCCTACCAAGTAGCGTTCACCGTTTTCATGCATATACTCCTGTCAAAATATATAGGCTCTTCACAATAACTATGTTTTCAGCATTACAGTGCAGTGAGTCGTGAATAATTATTCAAGTCTAAATATAATATATTTATATTTTTTTCCTACTGGTATCTGATTACATTTTGTGAAAAGGATTTTTCTTTCCTCGACAACTATAGTCATTTGAAATCAGTGTATCAGATCGACATAATTATTATGTTAACATATTCATCTAGAAAATGTCAATATGGCAAAATTATCTACATTGCAACGTTTTCGTTTAAAGAATGACATTTGGCAGATAACTTATATTATACTAACATCCTATAAAGTTAATTGTCATCATTTTAATTGAAACTTCAATTAAAATTGAAAACAAAATTAAAGTTTTTATGTTAGTTTGACAGAATCAGTTCGCATTCGACAGTGGAAAAGTTTAATATCTGGTCACTGGTGTATTGGTGATGTGACCTTGTGTTATCTCGATCATGGACTTCCTAAGTGTACTTCCGGGGCACATGACAATATTTTGATTCCAACACGTGCCATGAAACCAATGCCAGGGTCAATCTACCCTCTGCTATGATCGTGAGTGGAATCAAAGCTCAAACTAGAGGAATCCGCACTAAAAAAAATAATGGAATTCACTGTAAATAAAAATCAATCACTACTTTGGAGTGAATTTAACCATAATTTGAGCTGATTAAATCGTTGCACCTATTCTTCCAAGGCTCCAAAGGAAGTGATCCTTCTTTATGAATCCTTAAAAGAGGGTTTCCACTCCTCTCTGCATTCAGAGAATATGCCAATGCATAACGCATGCCAGTGCATGTAATTGTTGCTTCTGCTCTCTTCAAATTCACGAATCAAAATCAAATCCTTACGAAACCAAAACCCAAAACGGGTCCTTCATATACCTGAGAACATCCTTCTTTTCCAATGACCACACTGCTGGGGCCTCTGAGAAAGCAACCGTTCTAGACGTAACGAGACAACATTATATAGAAGACAAATTGTCACTGAATTTGCAGTTATATATCAGGCTGCTAAGGTATGAAAATAATAACGTAACGGGTCAGTCCAATAGCTGTTGTTATCAAAAGGAATCCTTCACGCCGAATAACCAAACATAGATCGACGTCAACTTCAGGGGCCATCCAAAGACACAATGGTTTAATCCAACTCGTCGTCTTATATGGCTTGTAAAATGATAATCCAGACCCATTATTTTGTATACCGTTTTCGCCTGAAAAAAACAGAAGTTAGTGCGACAACGTCCAACGAAGGGGAGTCTCTATAAAGACATAAAGGTCACGCCATTGAGGTTACTGAGTAATTCAACTTTCATCCAGATTCTCGCAGATGAAACATTGCCAGCAGGTGGTATTAAATCATATTTAACTTCATAAATGGGCTCAGGGGTATGATTCTGTAGGAGGAAGTGGCGGATCCAGGATTCTTTGGCGGGATGTAGAAGGCACTACAAATATCTGACATGCATAATTATTAAAAGGGGGTGGTAAATTTATTTGAATTAGAGGCATACTTTTTCAAACCTCAATGAAATACAAAAAGAGAGAAAGTATATCATAATTATACGGCGAGCGGGAAGTGTGGGCCTCTGTGCCACACCCTCCCCCATCTGCATTTGTTCAAACAGGAAGAGTTTCAAACTTTAAAACTGTATCCCAATAGCTACTATGTAACTTCTGTGGCTTAACATATAGTGACAATTTGTGTCTGGAACTGCTGGTAATAAGCATATAGACAGTGACGGTTGCAGGCAAAAATATTATCGTCATCAGTTTAAATTATTGTGCTTTCTCATTGCCTTTTGTAATGCTCTTCGATTACAATTTTCTTAATGAACCTATGAATAATTATCTTCACGGGGATATTAAAGCCGGTGTTGGTAATTAAAGGTACTATGTCCCTTTTGCAGGCCAAAAAAATGAAAAAGTTAAATTCCAACTGCATTTGAAAGATAATACTAATTTAGAACTTCCCTAAAAAAGGTGGGGCTTGAAACTGTCTTCAAGTGAGAAAATAACGACTATTAGTTGTCAAATCGACTTTAGGGCTATAGAGCCCCAAAGTAATAGTCTCGGATTTTCAGACAATTGTACTGAATGGTCATACGTTTTATGCTGCGCAAAGATTCAATCAGTTTAATCTTGGCCATCACAAGAAGTGGGTTAATGATGTAGACAAATGCTCATGTACCCTTTACAACTCTTTTCATGTATGTTATTACCAAAGAAGAAAAAAGCCAGTCAGTCACTCAATAGTGTCTGACAGTGAAGTCTAGCAATTAAACGGTTTTCCTTGCATAATTTGAATATGAGGACATTGCTAACGTTTAAATTTCACAGATAGGACATACATGACATATTCATAATTCCTGCAAAGTTCTACAGCATTTGAGGTTGGCTGCAAAAGGGACATAGTACCTTTAATGGTTATCTTGATCACCCGAAATAGCAAATTGTACCTTTAATACTTATCTTCTTTTTTTAAAATTCAAACCAGAAAATCGTGACAATGGCATTAATTGATATTGACTTATTCCTGATCTTTAGCTAAAAGATGAATTAAGAAGACTGTTCTGAATTATGACCAAAGGTCTAGTGTCTATGTCTATTTAAGATAATCTCGAAGCAGACCTAGTATTGTACTAGTTGTAGTGCATTGTAAACATGGCAATATTTTTCAATACTACGACAAACAGAGCATGACAACCGTATTCAATTCACTTGTGATGCATATAAAACTATTTAAAAGAACGAATATATTCTACATGCGTTAGAGCACGGGTCAGTGATCAGGTTGAGCTAAAACTTGATATCAAATTTGTATTCATTATTTCGAGTTCCACCCAAATAGTCCCCAGCAGTCCTTATGTTGTCCGGGCTACATACGTTCCAATCATGTTCCCATGTTATCTGTATCAGGGTCGGTCTAGTAATTAGCGAAAGAGGGCGGGGGGGGGGGGGGTAGTGTCCCTTCTAGGGGGGGGGGTCACCATTCCGAAAATGTATGCTAGAGGCAATCTTCTTGGTGTGTACTTAAGGTATACCAAATGGTTTACCATAAAGGGGGGGGGGGGGGGCACAGGGTCTCTTTGCCTCTAAAGCGGCCACTAATCATTCTCTACACATACAAAGGAATATGAAATAGGGGACTATGTTCCCAGGGCTCAGTCCGTACGTTCATCTTCTCTCCATATATATATTTTCTCCAGAGTATGATTATTGGCTATAATAACAATTATTACATTTTGATAAGTTTAGGAGGGGTTAGGAGGGGTTAGGGTGGCGATTACAAAGGACATGGTCGGAGATATCAGGACATCGGGAGAATATGTTCTCGTTATTCTGTTTTCTTTTAACTTCATAATTATGTGCCATAAAGTTATGAAATTTCAAGAAATTTAATCGTCACTATTTTTTTCTCAATCGGTTGACGATTGTTTAATATCGCATTAAACATCATTCTTTGGAATAAACTTTACAACCCGTTACTGTTATGTAAGCCATTTATGAAGCATTCTAAATTATCAAACTAGAGTAAAAGTTGTCACTCATTTTGAGTAAATGACTTCGACAGATTCGAGTGCTGGACATGGCATGGATGGAAACATTCATTTGTCCTATAACATGGGCCATGCGCCCGACAGGTGTTAGTCTAGTTCTGGACCCTATATGATTTTTGTTATTCGCCGACTATAAACGTTAAGCCGATTGATGGCGTGATCCTTGTTGGCTGCGATTTCCCCACTAACTTAATATTCTAGAGCAGTTAGTGGGGAGATCGCACGAATATAGTCGGCGAATAACAAAAATCATATAGGGTCCAGAACTAGACTACCGTAGGCAGGTGTCTATCACTGATCTCTACCCCCACACATCGTAGAGCTCAGTATTATCTGTTAGTTTAGACTACGACCTGGGCGAGGCATTATTTGGGCGTGGTATCTTGATAGCAGGCATGCTCATTCCGTTCTGTGTGTTGCCTCCTCTACCTTCCCCCCTCCAACCACCACCACCACCACCACCACCACACCACACCACCACCACCACCACACCACCACCACCACCACCACCACCACCACCACACCACCACCACCACACCACCACACCACCACCACCACCACCACCACCACCACACCACCACCACCACCACCACCACCAATGATTCCATATTGGATTTGTGAGATAAGAGGAGTAATGTATTATAAAATGTTGTTCAATAATTATTGATTATCAATTATTGCGCAGTCAATTAACATGTGCTCATTGAAACCGACAATTATTTTATACTGTAGTATACTGTAACAAGATATTGTATTATTTTATAGCGCTTAGAGACTTCGGTGGTAAGCGCTTTATAAGTAACGTTTTTATTCATATTTATTATTATTTATTATTGAATTAGTTCTAGTGTGAGTTTCTGTTCGAAAAATAAAGAATATTTCTTAAACATAATAATGAACAACATGTCAAAGCATGAATTTCATAAAGTTGTTCCGGATCTTCCCTGTGTAGGCAAGAAGCGTCCCTTGAAACACAAGGGACTTCCCCCAAACTTCACCCTACACTTTTTAGAAATTTAAGCGCATATTGTAACCTAGAAGTTTATGTCAAGAAATTCACGGCATGACAAAAAGTGAAGTCAGAGCCAGGCGCGTACACAGGGGGGGGGGGGGGGGGGTAAACCCCCCCTTTGGTATTTTCAGTGTGTAAACCCCCCATAACCCCCTAACCCCCCCCCCCCTTTGGATTTTTGTTTTTTTTATTTATTTTGTTTTTATTTATTAAAAAAAAAAAAATTTCCCATGACAGACCTAAAAAAGCTGACCTTACCCCCCCCCCCCCCCCAACGGAGCAAAATGTGAAATTTTCAAATTTCGAGACCCCCCAAAAAAGTGTCCTCTTACACCCCCCCCCCCCCCCCCCCAGCTTATTCAGCGGTCGGCTGAGTCATTGCGATTTTTTTGAGACAAAAAAAAAAAAAAGTGTCCTCTTCTTACCCCCCCCCCCCCCCCCCCCCCCCCCCCCCCCCCGCTTATTCAGCGGCTGGCTGAGTCGTTGCGAAATTTTCGGCCCGATTTATAAATGTTAACCCCCCACCCCCTTGAAAAAATCCTGCGTACGCGCCTGGTCAGAGCAATTCTCTTTCTTTATAATAACATCTTAAATTTCACACCACAAGAAGGACTTTCATTCATCAGAGTAGTGACACCGGATCTTGGTTCCATTGGCAATAATATTATTGTGTGACATTGACGATGGAATTACATTCACAGCAACAAAAAGGGACTTTCCCTAAAATAATAACTTGTTCATTGAAAGGCATTGTTATGTAAGGCTACTTTTGTTGGTAACATAGATGCATGTATCCATCGATGGGAGACTGAGTATGACCAAAAGCATTCATTTATCACCTTCCATTCGTATCACAATCAAACCTTCAGAAAAGGTTTATCACCCCCCCCCCCCCATCTCCACCCTCTTCCTATCTTACAGAATGAATCTATTCAACGACTTATGAGTTTCAAAGAAGAAGAAAAAGAAGGGGGAAAAGAAGAATAAGGAGAAGTAGAAGCAAAACAACATCTGGGAGAGAGCCCTTGAAATTAAGCAAACAAGTGCAAGGATTCGCATGATAATTTGTATTAGGCAGGGGGGCAGTTAGAAGAGCCCCCCACCCCGATAATTTTGAAGGTATACCAATACTCGCTCAGCGAGGTGCTCAAATCTGTATCTTAATATGTAGTTTATTTTAATGATAAATGACAATAATATTGTGTCATGTTTTCGCTCGTTGATATTCGAGCACCAAAACAAGAGGTGTCAGCCCCCCCCCCCCCCCCCCCCCCCACATGTAAAAATACGTAAGCCCATGAGACCTATAAGCACTTGGGCCGTCTGGTTGCCATTTGGACTATTGGCACTTGAGCAGCAGCCAAACGCGACGCTCCATCGAAAGACAGAGGGCAAAAATCGCTCACCTGTGAACCATTTTTATTGATTCAATGATTCGGGATCTTTTTGTTGGAAGGCGAGCCACCGTGCTATTGTATACCGGTGCTTCTGAGGCTGTGTGATATAATAAGCATTCGATTTGTTGCGTGCATTTCTACACATATAGAATGGCAATATAGTGCATGGGTACCACATCCGTCGCTAAAGTTATAGGGCTTCATACTTTTGCGAAAACTTATCGCAGATAAAATACCAGTTATAATATCTACAACGACGGATGTGTGCTCCTGTATGGGAAAAGTTTTGTGTATTGAGAAATCTACAACGGTAAACCCAGCCATATATCTGGTAAGTTATTATATATACTCAGTTAGTAAGTTTTGTGTCGCATACAGAATGTAAACAAATATTGTGGTAATACACAATGTACACTATATGACATAGTATATGTACACAATATTATGAAGTATATGTTCCATTTCCATACGTTCCATATGAGAGATTTGATATACGGTATGTTTCACTGGCTTATGATATAGACCTTTATTTATAAGGTACATTAGATTATTGTAATGTGTAAGTATACAAGGGGCATATAAGCTTGATAGCGAAGGATATAATGATTAGATTTCGACCCGTTTGATTCAGATTCTACAGTGACTAGTGTATCAGGAAAGGTAACTTTGTATCAATCAATAACCCTTTTAAGTCTAAGTTGCCCTAAGTTGCTTTCAATTCCACAACACAATTCATTAAACCACCCTGTATGCTAATATGTTCCTATTATGTTTCGTCATCTAAAGAAGAAATATATGGCCAAGCAATATAGTTACGTTTACACAGGAAATCACTGAATACTTAAATTCGCTTCATTAAAAGAAAACCTGTATAGTTGTGTAATCTATGTTACTTGATTTGAAATAGTTTGTTAATTATGTGCACCATCTCCACTTCCAAGGGAGTATTTCGTCATGATAAAATCGTTCACATACATTCAGTGCAATGGCAAAAACAATTAGCAATTACTTGGACATCTGCGGTAAACCTCGCATGTTTCGAGGCTTCTGATTGTCTTGGCTTGACCACATCGATCGCCAGCAAATTGGCTGAAGGTTTTATGGCTTTTAACCGGGTCGTCAGTTCAAATTTGCTTTTCTCTCGGCAGACCAATTCATGGGCAGACTTATCACCACATTTTGTCCCTTATCTTTACTTCCCGGTCTTTAACATTTTAATAGCGACGCCCCTCAATTTCCAACCTTCACACTCATTATCAAACGCATACAATTATTCTTTATTTAAAGTTCTTCTATATCCTTTTTGAAATTATGATAATTATGCAATCACCGCGTATGCAGGAGTTGAGGTTCACTCGTATAAACAAACAAAAAACACCAAAACAAATACTTGGGACTAATTACGCAAGTAAGATTATATCACCCTTGGAGTTATCCAGATTGTCGACACCTTTGCTCCTCCTTACTAATCTCACCCATAAATAACGCGTGTAGTTTAAACTGCTCTCTTCCTTTTTTTTACGTCACTTAAACTCATTTTATATCTTTGTTTCTGTTTCTTTAATCACAGATTTGCCAACATTTTCGAGGTTGTGACGACTTTGAGCGATTTGGAACATCTGGATCGTCATATTAAAAAAACTATGACGACAGCCTGCTCAAATTAGCACCTTTCTAATGCCACTGGGGCATGAGCAATACTCAATATTTACCATTGTTATCAAGGGACGCGATAAATGTAGGGCGAGATCGCTGTTGATATCAAACTCCGTGAACTCCTAAGATAAGCTATACTCGTAAGATTTAGCTATACACTACACGTGGACTTTAAACTCTAGGTACAGCCTTAATTTGGATACATGAAATTGTAAGCAGGACCCGTTATCCCGACTGAGAGAGCTATAATCTACTCCTTAACTAAAACAGCGACGAGACGATTGTTATCAACCATGGGTACAAAGGCGAAGGTAAAGAAGCGAGCGGACGAGACAGAAGATACTTTGAAGAAAGAAAAGAAAAAGAAGAGAATCTTGCTCTTTAGGATGGTCCGCAAGCGAAAACGCTTGTCTCAGTCGCAAGAGTTCCTCCACGATAACCGACCCGAGAACTTTAAGACCGAACTCGAGATTGATGAGCAGGAGAAAGAAAACGACGTCGACATGCAGACAGCAAACGTGCTCGAGCATCATCATGACCACGAGGAGGATGACATTGTCAGTGCCTCTGCGTCGCATGACGGGCACGACCACGCTGATGGTGGGGAGGTGACGGATGAGAAACGCAAAACAGCCGACGAAAAGAAAAGACTTTTCAGCTCCCCAATAAAGTTTCTCAAAAACTCGTTTAGTTTGAAAAAGCGGCGGAAACAAACGGAGTATTCCAAGTTTTCGGAATCAACGGACAATATAGCTGATTCACACCAAACCGAACTGGTAGCGAATGACGACCATGTTGTAGCAGCATCATGCAATGTGAAACAAACTAAAAAGACGAACTCGAATAGATACGTCCGCTTCGAGACGCACGATGATGACGACAAGGAGAACATGTCGATGACGATAGACGAGGAGGATGATGATGATGTAATCAATAATCAGCCGCAGTCATCGTCGACACCGGATAAGAAAAAGAAGTCAGCTAAAAAGAGGGTAGCTAAGGTAAGAATCACTGCATGAAATTAATTATGAAAGGCGTGGCAACACCCCAACCATGCAAACGATATTGATAATTGCAGAGTTTGATAGCCGTGTCTCTCTTGATGGCTGTTCTTCAAGCTGTGTGATTTTCTATTGAGTATCCAACATAGGTTGAACCTGGCGAATACCCATACCTATTTTGTTTAATGTCCAATGAAAAAAAAAAACATCTTGCATAGGGTATTGGCACTCAGGGATGCCATCATTCCATCCCTACCCTCTGATTATTAACATCTGAAGACGCCTGGATTCTATTCAATTAAAAAAATAAATTGTAATGATTTCTTTTCTTTTCGTTTCTTCTAGGGACGTTGTAAAGAGAAAGAAACAGGGTTCCAGTAAATAACTGCTCCTTTGCTGAAATTAACATACATTTTCCTCTAAAATACGATAAAAGTGTAAATCTAGGATTAATTTCCTCAATATTCCTTAAATATCCCCAAACTATTTTTTTATTATTATCTATTTTTCGTGAACTTGTATTTGTTTGTTGGTAGAACAGGAAGGTAGAACAGGAATTGAATAAGAGCCTGTTCTCCCTTCATTGAAATTGATCTGCATTGAATTCAGACTACCACTAGGCAATCAGGCAAATGTAGAGTAATACTTGTTTGTCCAATTGACCAAAATCCGCTGTAAAAGTACACGAAGTATGAATCGGAAGACAGTACAAATCCCCTGTCCTTTCCCAACGTCACAAATGAAAAGCCAAAGTTGGCTTCCAATTATTTTGATGTCCTGTTTTAAATTGAGGTTCGGGAAATACTACTGATTTTTTTTATCCAAATAATATAGAGCTTTTCATAGATATTCAAAATTCGTTCTGGTTGTTTCACCTTTAGTAGTTAACGTTATTGCACGTTACCTATTATAAACTATTTAATTGATAATTATTCAGATAATATAGATACATGGATTTTATATTGATTATGTCAGCCAGCTACTGTCAATCTTACCAATCGTCGAAAGCAACCCTGTCGAACGAATTTGTTGACTTAAAGCAAAACAATCACCGCCCAAAGAACAACAAAAAAACAACAACATACAAACAGATTGGATATTGGGTACACTTAAAACTAATAACTTGAAATTAAGTGTGCATACTTTCACAATCTTTTTGGGGGATAGATTTACCTATAATCTTAGACCTAAAACGGCTATATCAGAGCACTAAGTAGCCCAAATGCGCCAAAATAATGCTCTTATGAACTCAGAACAGACTAGTTCTTTATCATGTTCTCTGTACGATTCCACAGTGTGTGAGTGTTCACAACTGACGCCTTTTGGAACACTATGTTTTCTCTTGTGATTGTGAATATCGATTTGATTATATAGAATCATATCTGCATTGTTATGAAAAGAAAATGACCTTCGTAATAATCACAATCATGCACGTAGTGGGACCCAAGACGTATACAAATAGTATGTGTTTGCTCATAACCGGGTGTGCATGGTAACACGTAGGGTATGAACTTTGGTTAAACATTTAAGAAGGGGAAGAAACTATCATGATCATGTGAAAGATAACTATTATGATGTATTTACATAATATCGTAAATATTAAAAGCCATTGTTGAATAAGCCTATAGGAATTCCAAGGAAAAGGGATGATGTGGTGAAACTCTATATAGTTTTGGTTTGCTAATATCGATGGACAGATTGAATAAAAGTATATGTATATTTACTTCCTACCCGGCAGCGTAGCCAAGGAGGTGACTTGGGACATATCCCCCCATAAAGATTGAACTAGAACATCAGACATCGGGCAGGCATGCTTTAATTTCATGGTGCACTTCTATTTTTTTTGGGTCTGTTTTGTTGTTGTTAGGCATTCGATTATTTGGAGGCACCGCCCCCCCCCCCCCTCCCCATGCTCCTCAGGGAACTACACACGCAGTCATTACCATCATACAGAATGTTAATGAAAATGTTAAAAGGTTTCTATTTTAGTAGGAGACATGCTACATGAATATGAGATGGTATATATGCACAAGTGGCATGAGAGCACATGCCCATAGATCGAGTGGTAAAAATTAAAGGAAAGAACTAGCGAGAAAAAGGTCAATAGGAAAGGGAGAAGAAGAAAAAGAAAAGAAGCTTTGTTAAACTCTTGCACCTCTTCCTAGTCAGTAGCCTTGCAATTTGTATTTTATTTTCCAAGCACGATTCCTCCCCTCCCCCCCCCCCCCATTGTCCCAGTTACCCCTCAAAGAACTGATCACTCGCGCTCAGGACTAGACTCAAATAAAAACCAAGTTGAGGTGAAAGCAAAGAATGAAAGATATAGTGACAAGTAAGGAAGGGTTCAAACTCACGTATGAATCATGAGATAAAACACAATCTTAATTCGTACTCAATTAATTTAATTTGTCCTTATTTTTCATTCTTTTACTCTCTTTACAGGCTAGCAGGAAGACGGGTCGTGTTTTCCGAGAGGGGATGATCCTGATTGGTCGAAACCTGCAGTACCTCTCCCCAATGCCTACACCCCATGTCTTCGCCGATCCTCATGCCAAGAAGAAAGCCGACTACACGGACAAACCCAAGAAACGGAACTACAAATACACAGCAAGTGCCCCGCCCTCCAACCCGTATGGATTCATTTAGTTTCCCGTATGGTAATCTGGAACATTTTAGACAATCTAAAAAGAAGACATTATGGTCATGTCAATGATAATTATAAGCAATAATTGATTTGAATAGACGATAAATAAAATCCGACGTATGTCACAGTAATCCTCTGTCTTGGCATAGCCAGAAGGGAGGGGCAGATGGTGCAGTTGCCCTCCAATAATGGATTTCTAGAATTCGTTGTAGATTCCTATAATTTTTTTCTGTGGGAATTTCTAAAAAATTCTAATGCCAAATGAATGTTGTCTTCTTCGGTTATTGTAATTCTGTTTAGAAATGTCGGGCTATACACCCTTATCATTTCTGTAGGCATATTGAAATGGGGACCTTCGCGGTTTTGTGTCTCTCATTATTTCTACTGATGCTTCCATTGGACAATAAAAAATGTTCGTAGGAATGTGCATCAATAAATAACCTATAAATCTAAGTGTATAATGGAAAATCAAAGTTAGACCCATACATATCTCTTTCCTCGAGAAGAGCACATTGACTATATGCTGTACTAATGTGAAAAAAAGTACTTTTTTGTGTATTTCAAAATAGTACTGCAATAACTGTATTTGTCTGCTTATGTCCAAAATCGTAGAGAAAATAAATGAGAACAATTATTTAGATGTTAAACTAAGGTTGTCATAAAAATGAATTCCAATAACTATTGATAATATTAATGTGCATCTTATTCGGATGACACTGTTATGTTCATGTGGCCTACTCATAGAATTGTATATGTTTACTTTAGCTTTGTATTGTTTTCACGCTTTTAAGTATTCTACACTTGCCGGTTTTGTCTTCCACTTTTCAAATCGTGTTCCCATCTTATTCAACACTGTGCTAGAAAAGTATATTTTAGATGACTTTATGTATTATAGAGAAGCTTTATTACATTGGATGACCCATATTTTTCTCATCCTCGCAAGTGGAGAAAATATGACGATTGATGTAACCTGTATAATGTATTCTTAACCGATATGATGACCATTATTTTGACAAGGCGTATTATATAGGACTTTGTGTCTTCCGACAGAATTACTGTTATTGTTTTAGTTTTTATTGGCGTGTATTATTCATTTATGAATATTTACGCCTGCACTGCACTGTTTTTTGTTTTTTTTTAGTTTTGCGTCTAGTCACTTTTGTTTTGTTGTGTTTTTAGAGTTAACCCTATTTAGCCCGGGGGGGGGGGCTTGAGAAGCCCCCCCCCCCCCTCGACATTTTTCGCGATAATTTTTTAACGCAAGAAAATCTTGCACTGAAATTTTGTGACTTTTTTCTTTCGAGTCTTGCGCAACTTTTGAAAGAAATTTTTCGAAAATCGGACCTACCATTACAAAGTCACGTGTCCTTTTGTCTTCGCATGTCAGCCCGAAAATCGCTCATTTTTGTGATTTGTGTACAAAACATATGGAAATCTCATTTTTTAAATAAAGAGGTAAAACATTGGTTATTTGGTCTTGTTTAGATTTTAGGTGTTTATTTTGGGGTCAAAATAGTTGAATTATAGTTGGAAATGAAATAAAACAACAAAAACAATAAAATACATAAGTTAAAAAAACAAAGAAATACATAAGAAATTATCAAAACAATAGATAACATAAGGAATAACCCTGGTTTTTCAAATTTTTGTGTTGTATTATTATTCCAAATGGTCTAACAAATATATGTAGTGAGAAAGAATGCTTAAATATGAATAATGTCTGATTTATGGGCAAAAATGTGAATTTAATGACCTTATTTGCATAAATTACCATAAATATGCAAATGAGTGAATTTTTCAAAAAAATTGAAATTACCATAGTATTCTATACACTTCACTTGACATGTATGCAAATTTTCGCGGCGATCGGGCGTTTCACGGCCGAGATCATAGGGGGGGGGCCTGAGAAGCCCCCCCCCCCCCCCGGGCTATGCAGTTTCAAAATAGCCCGGGCTAAATAGGGTTAAGGATGATGAAACTTTAACTTTTCCTGCATGTCTATACCAAGTGATGACAAAGTTTGTCCCGATATGAAATGGGGGTTACAAATATTAGGGCACATGTATACCTGTATCAATGAAATTTTGCTTTATTTTTTTAGCTGCTGAATATAATGATTACGTTTAGCTAACACTTACAGGCCAGTACAAGGCTACGATCGCACTTGATGATACACAAACAGAAAATAAAGGGGATTTTGATTTTCACAAATTTTCTACTGCCGCTCATATCGGAGTGACAGTAGAAAAACAATGGAGTATGATAATGTTCGGTACCATTATTTCATACCCGTTGCTGAATTGCTGAATGGTAATGGATAACGGGATATGGTACACAAATTTGGATAAATCGTTAAATTTATTCATTGAAAGTAGGAATTCATTATTCCTTAACTAATAATTTTAATGTAAGACAATAATGGATTTGGCAGTCCCATTCAGTTAAAACTTTCAACTGAATCAGATGTTATAAGTGTTTTGATCTATCGCAACTAACTGATATCACATCACCATTAATTCGTGTCTTTTAATTCTTCTTCTTTTAAATTTCTATTTTTAGTAACTGAAAGTATAACAAAATGACTATTTTCAAAAGTATTTAGAAATCTATTTTGGTGCAATCAAGATTTGATGAAAATAATGAGCTGCCTGATTTTCATGCGTTTTTGTTGTTGATCATTTTTAATAAAATTTTGCTATGAGATGCAAATACGAATACATTAAAAAAAAATGTCAAGTAAACTTTTCTAGTGTTTCTGTGTAGAGAGTGAAGGGGAATAATAGAATTATACTGGAAAGCGTTTAGCTATAAGCTCTGACTATAAAGTTGATTATTGCTGGTACGAAAAAAAGTGTATTCAGTGAATATATTACGCTAGCCTTGTATCCTATAATAGTAATCGACAGTTATAATGCCCCACCCCCCCTCTCTCTCTCTTTTTATCTCTCCTTCTCTTTTTTCCTTCTTTCTTTTCGAATCTCTCTTTCACCCTATCTTCTTTTTTTTAAACGCCACATAAATATTATGTGTATACTCATATACATTGCAAAGGGTAAGGCAACACTGGAAATATATCAGTCATGCAATCCGTTACCGTACATGTCACGTTGCAAGACAATTCCACAATCAAATCATAAGATATTATTAAAAGCAATTCTTAATGACCATGAATGCATAATTTATTATTTACGCGTAATTCCACTTTTATCACTATTGTGACGTAAGAGACAGCGCGCGCGCCTTGACAACATTTACAATCGCATCGGTTTCGGGTAAAGCACTCCGGTCTCTGTCATGAAATTAGGAATGTTTGAAATCGAACCCCGTAACTTTAAAATGTTCGGTAATTTATCCATTAAACCAATAGATCAATAAACATGAAATCAAGATTATCATCTTGAGGCATAAAAACGATTTGCAATGGGGTGCAACGTTTGGGCACTGACTCAGAAGAAATCCCTCTATGTCTACACATCATTGATGTCCGTCATTGGGTTATTCATCATCATCGTCTATGACCTTCTTCAATACACCGTCTTCGAGAGATCAGAACTGACTTCGCAGTCATTTACAGAGGCCTTACTGGTGAGGCACTAATTTTGCGGTCATCTATTGCCCCCCCCCCCCAACCACAACAACAAAACAAAACAAAAATGCTTATAAAAGTTAGACAAGGAATATTTTAGATCAGGCCATTTTCCTTTCTTGTATGTTAAGAAATGTAACCTGAAGTGCCCCTCTGGTGATGAAAAATGGAGATTTCTTTTGTCGATGCTTTATATTTCTCGTTTAACATATTTTGATATCCCTCTTTCCCTTCTCAAATCTCCTGTCTCCCCCTCTTCGTTCGCAGCGAAAGAAGATGCTCTTTTAATATACCAACCAGTCAACCATCATCTTCAAAACAGCCCCCCCCCCCATCCTCTATTCCAATACGCACAATAATTAGAAGCGGTTGGGCCCCTGCAATAAGTGCCGACATTTCGTATTCTTTCTTTTTTAACAAAGCTCGCCGAGGGTAAATTCTAGAACTACAAAATATCAAAGAACACTATTATACCACACAAGTTATTCAGTACTTAAAGATACTATGTCCCTTTTGCAGCCTCAAATTCTGTAGAACTTTGCAGGAATTGTGAATATGTCATGTATGCCCTATCTGTGAAATTTAAACGTTAGCAGTGTCCTAATATTAAAATCATGCAAGGAAACCCGTTTACTTGCAAGACTTCACTGTCAGACACTATTGTCATTATTGAGTGAGTGACTGGCCTTTTTTCTTCTTCTTTGGTAATAACATAACATAAAATGAGCTGTAAAGGATTTTTCTACATCAAGAAGTGTTGTAATGGCCAAAATTAAACTGATTGACTGATACGACCATGCGGTACAATGGTCTGAAAATCAAGACTATTACTTATTGGCTCTATAGCTCCTAAGTCGATTTGACAACTAGTAGTCGTTATTTTCCCACTTAAAGACATTTTCAAGCCTCCTTTTTTTAAGGGGAGTTCTAAATTAGTATTATCTTTCAAATCCCATTGGAACACATTTAGTGTTTGGCCTGCAAATGGGACATAGTACCTTTAACTTGATCTTTATTGACAAAGAACCTACCCACTCCCCCTCCCCCCCCCCCAAGTGAAAAATAAATCAAAGTAAATAAAATAAAGAATTTTAGTAAGTAAAAAGAAAATATTAAAATGCTGATAATTTAAATGTCAATCGTTTATTGTTATGTTGGTAACAAGAACCCATTTTTTCCTCTATCTTTCTCTATCAGATGATTCATGTTTTGAGCTACTACACGGCGTTGCTAGGGTTCGTCTATAACACGAAGGCAGGAAAGAGAATGAGTGATGCTAAACTGGAGTGGATTGCAGTTGGTAAGGCATGTTCATTGGTAGACAGATTAGATAGATAGATATTGATAGACAGAACCGATGGCTAGATAGATAGATAGATAGATAGATGGATTGATCGATAGATAGATAGTTAGATAAATGATATAAATATATTGATAACAGACTGATGGCTACATAGATACATGTAGATGATATAAATATCATTAATACATCTAGAAAGATATATGGATTGATAGATAAATAGAAAGATATTGATAGACAGAACTGATGGCTAGATAGATAGAAAGATAGATAGAAAGATAGATAGATAGATTGACAGATGATAGAAAGACATTGATAGACAGACGGGTAGATATATTATCATAAATAGATTGATAAATAAATAGGCATATACTGTAGATATGTAAATAGGTAAACAAATGGACGGATGGATATATAATATGGGCAGATGAACAAAGATAGATATAAAGATATAAGGATGAGCAAGTGTAGAGATGGCTGAATAGCTGGATAGATGTAGAAAACATAGCTTCTCTCACAGGCAATTACAGGAAATAAGGTCGAATTAGGCATGAACATTGGTTTCAGAAGTTTCATGGCATTTCTCCACTCCTCATGGATTAGTAAAACCTATAAAATCAAAATTGAAAGAAAAATCGTCTCTTAAAAAAAATATAAAAAGTAGAAGATCTTTGCTTGTTTTTCCCCCCTTTCCTCCAGTTGCAACATTTTTGCTGACAATCACGCGAGTAGCCATCGAGATCAGTTTCATCACGTACCGCAAGCAAGCTTACAAGAGTTTTAACGAATGATGGACAAACAAATTGTTGGAAAACGACGTGAATGTCGCTCATAAATTCATCATTTTTGGTAGATATGACCTCCCCTTTGACGACGAATATTGTACTACTATCAAAAAAGGAAGAAAGCAAAAACAAAGACAGAGCAGTTTACCGAAGATACCATTCTTGAAGTTCCTAAAGTAGTTGGTATTGAACTTTCAAAAGAAAAACAGATAAATAAAACAATACAGAATCATAAGTAACGACCTGTCTTAGGAGATTTGCATATTATTTATTCATAAATTGTCTTTCATTCATTTGAAATACTTTCTTTGTACATTAATATTCTCTGCCTTTATTTCAAATGTAAGTATGAATATATTCTAGTACACGTATCATTATTATCACACCAAATAAAAAGAAAAAACAAATGCCAAATTTCACATTTTAAATTCATATTTAAGCGTCTTTATTCAAATATTTGAAAACAAGTATCAATATTTTCTTTTAGAAAATTTCACATTATATAACTTCGTACACGTTCAGGGTTCAATATAACAAGTCATGCAATTGCACAGCAGGCTATTTTTTCACTTTGTACAGCTTCACACATTATGCCCATTCACTCTATGGTCCAAATATCAAGATTTTACAATTTCTCGATGTTGCAGATGAAGTAGACAGAACAAAAGGTGTAGACACCAAGCAACGGCCATGATACAATTGCGATTATTGGACCACTGTAAATGAGCCTTATATAAATAATGGAATAATGTTATCCTTCTTACGAACAGTTCCCGCTTTATAGGAATGTACAAACAAAAAAGTGTGACCATGCATTGCATTTCCTTGACTAATGGAAGTGATGAAATGTATATGTCTTATTGAAGCTCACAAAATTCATACCCGTTATTAAGAATCACACATAAATGAAATTTGGTATAAAATTCTATGTGGATATTTCTGGTGTATTATGATTAAAATACCTTGTCCCATATGTGCTCCCTTATTTCTTACAACAGGGTTAACTTGTTCCAGTACTGTAAATCAATGTATAACCTTTACCATCGTCTGAATAACCAAACAAATAAATCCTGAACAACTACAATATCTGTCTATGAACACTTGGATTTATAAATTATCATCTCTACATTTTTTAGAATTGGCCACTACTGAGTCAAAATGAACCAAAATAGTATCATGACAACACAGCATGTTTATGCAAACGATAACTGGCAAGTATAGAAATTAAAGATTTAACATTATGCTATGATTATCAAAGATCACTAAATGGAACATGAAATATTTTGAAGGTAGCGGCTGAAAGTAACATATAATAAAATTGACAGGATCTCATTTTATTTTATCGTTTTACATGTTTTGGGGGGAGGGGTGGAGGAAGAATTGCAAAAGAATTAGACTCTGCAAATCTAGATATACGATAAGAATAATTCTTTCTCAAATAATAAATAATGAAATGATTCTCACCAGTACTTTTAAAGCATGTATTATTTCATAGTTTCTATTTAATATAAACCCCATCTCTAATCCCATCGACAATGTACAGATGATAAAAACCTTAAACTAACCTACCTGTATTCAAAAAGGATTTGGTAATATAAGATATTTGGAATCTCTTGAATGAGTCAATGACCTTTCTCCATGTAATTTTAGAAATCCATAACTAACATAAACGTACTACAAATAAAAACGCTTTCTAAACCACATTCTAGCCAGTAAACTAAAAGAGGTGTCCTAGAAGGGTGGTTTAAACACTTGACAGGAGATGTAAAGGTCGTGGGTTCAACCCCCCAGCACAGCACTTATGTCCTTGAGCAAGGTATTTCATCCATATTGCTCCTCTCCACCCAGGGGTTTAACAAGTACCCGGCAGGATGCAGAGGTCATTGTTGTTTGTTAGGGTCTGAAAAAAGGGGCCTGGCTGGAATGCTCCCCAAAGAGTGAAGAAGGTGCATACATTTTGTGCAGGCAAGCCTGAATCCGATGACCGACGTAATAAGATACATTTATCCGTAAAGCGCTTACCGGTAGAAACATTGTAAATGTATTGGTGCTATACAAATCCAGACTATTGCAATAGTATTAAGCCTGCCATTTGGCCGGGATGGGGGGGGGGGGGGGGGGATTGCAAAATAAATGCAATCACTTCATATTGTTTAATGTAACAATAAACACATATAAATTTTAAATTAAGCAAACGAAGAGAACACTAAAGATACTTGGATATCAATCTTTGCCATCCTCTTAAAGAATTTCTTTCTTATAAGAAAGCTACAATTATGTGACAACAAATATCAAAATACTCAAAATATCAAATCACCCCCAATACTTTATGCCTTTTCAATAGAATCATATGATAGGAATCTTGATAGTTCATACAAATATTTATTTCATCAACCAAACAGACACGTAAACACAAATAGTCAACCACTGACAAAAATTGATGAATGTAAAACTTATAATAAATATGTTTGATAAACGTATATGATTTATTGACATGTCTTTAAAAAAAAACATCTTTATTCTTTTTACCAAGTTCAATAATGATATTGGTGCTGCATACAGCATGTATCCTTTTCGGTTGACTGATCATTCATATGAAAAACAAATGACGATCTACATCTTAATGTAAATACAGATGTATTTGACAATGTTCTCTGACTTCACTGTGTCATTAAGGAATTAATGCTTTGATTAATTGACCATTAACAGATGATCAATTAATCAAGACACAACTGCGCAGAAAGAAAGTATATGTTTGTTGATAAGGTATCAATGGAACATGGCTTTGAGCCCTATCAGAGGGACTTGGTAATTGAGGATAAATGCCACACCAACAGGCAGTGGTGGATCGACTTGGTATCAAATACAGAGCCTCCACGTTACGAGAACACTGCTCTCTACTACCAGGTCATTGCACTTCTAGTCGTATTTTCATTGAACAAACCTACTGGTATGCAGTGAGCAACTCTTCATATAAGGTACAGCATGCAGGCATTATTCCATGCACACTTTACAAGCATAAAGATATATTTACACCGAGTAACATTTGCGCTGAAATGAGATGTTTCATACATACAAAATGCAAATATTCCACTGTTTTTACTGGTCATAAAGCTACAGACAAATACTAATATGACAACTAAGCCATAAGCTACTATCAGCTGATGAGTACGAGTGTCTCTGTCAATTCTCAATGTCCATCCTTTCCTTGACTTGCTGCCCTGGACTCCTGGAATGGATGGCCAATTTGCCTTACTCTGTCGTCATTGCATCTCTACATTTTGACTTTGCTCATCAGCCAAAGCAAATGCATGACGTCTTCATCACAACGGACTAAATCATGATACATAAATGTCATAGGCCTCTCATTTCACACATTTAAATCTGTACACGACTGCACTGGCCCACTAGCTCGTAATCATGTTGGTGCTGAAGCTCAAAGCTAGGATATAACTGTTATATATATCAAAAATAAAATAAACACAATTTACACATTGGTCACAGCCCCAACAGAAACAGCTTCCACAGAATTCAGGTTGATCCTTCAATGTGACCTCCCTAGAGTCTTTTTCTCTCATTGTTCTTTAGTATTTGTCCGATCTCCTTCTTAAATCCTTCTCCCGATCCTGATGTTGGGGTTGTTGAGGGGATCAAGCAGAGGGTCAGAGTTCGCCGATGCCCTGCCCACAGAGGTCATGATGATGATGAATGTGAAGAAGGCAAGGAGACAGATGAAGAGCAGCACAGCTATCCTCTTGATCTGGGAGTTAGAGTCGACTGGTTTCCTGCTACTTGTTCTTGATCTGCAAAGGAGAAACCAATACACAATCAAACTTATCATTGTATATAATTACTCACCATGTTCATTGAAAACTACCTAAAACAGAAATTGACTGGAAAATATAACTAATAAATGAGGATAGGTGAAAAGAGAAGTTGTTAAAACTTAGTCTTTTTACTTCTTATTATTTGTTCATATCTCTTTCCAAGATAAGTTGGATATGGAAACAATCTCCCATGAATTTTGAGATATTCAAGAATCCATATATGTCATGTTTATTAGCCAAATAAAACTGTAATTTTGAATCTTCATAATATCAAACCTGCACTGCAATTACAGACTCTCAAGATTTGCATTGAATCAGGACTTGATACAACATGTTTTACAACTGAACCGAATGTGTTACTATTCTTGTTTATATACAGAGACCAATAGGTATTCCAGATGGGTACAAAATCTGATGATTGCACAGATAAACCATTAACACAATGATAGATAATAGAGGCGGTATAGGACTTGCTGTAGGACAAATGCTCCAGTGACATCGTTCAGCCTACACTAACCAAATTTTTAAATTCTATCCTGGACCGAACATGATACCACACCTTTACCCTAAACCACACCTCAATCCCAAATGCAACCCCATCCACGGGAATGGACCTTGAGGCAGATAAGCCTTGTGCTAAACAAGTTATTCAATACATTCTACTTCTACTGCTATTGCTAGCTACTGCTTGTGCTATTGCTATTGCTAGCTACTACTACTGCTATTGCTAGCTACTGCTAGTGCTATTGCTAGCTACGACTAGTGCTACTACTACTACTACTGATACTGCTACTACTACTACTACTACTATTACTACTACTACTACTGCTACTGCTTCTACTACTACTACTACTACTATTACTACTACTACTACTGCAACTGATACTTCTACTGCTACTTCCAGAGATGCCAACTTTTGGAAATCAGAAATAGGGAGGATTTGTAATCGACACCAATTAATGTGCGCGTAGCGCACATCTCGAGCGCGTAGCGCCCGACACATGCGGCCGGGGTCCAGGGCCCGCCTTAGGGCCCTGGAAGCTCTGGGGTTCTAGATGCTCTCTGGTGCAATCTGAGCCTTATTTTGGAGCATTTTACATGTGTATTTAGTTAAATAATTCCCCCTTTTTTTTTAAATAACATAAAAATTGTACAAAATGCATGATGAATTACTTTCAGACTTCCGATTACACAGGTACTTGATACTGTATTCGGTCTTATACTTCCGAGACCATTTCCTGGTCTTATTTTGCTGATTTTCCGCCATTTGGATTCTGTGGCAATATCCACGCATTGGTTACGGCGATCCATATGCTGAAACAATCTTTCGCTACTCTTAATTTGTCTTTTAACATAGTGGAATTATTACATGCTTAAGTTAGCAGATGATATTTCTCATTCAATTCACAGATATATATACTGATAAGCGCCCTCCAAAAAAAATCATAATAAAAAAAAAAAAAAAAAAAAAAAAAAAAAAAAAAAAAATCATTTTTTTTTTTTTTTTTTTTTTTAATAAATCGGGAGGATAAGGATGGTGATCGTAAGGTCGGGAGTTGGGGTGAATTATCGGGAGCCTCCCGATAAAATCGGGAGGGTTGGCATCTCTGTACTTCTACTAGTACCATTACTACTACTGCTGCAACCGATACTGCTACTGCTAGTGCTATTGCTAGCTACTAGTACTACTACTACTCCTGCTGCAACCGATACTATTACTACTTCTCCTGGTGGAGCACCATAAGACTTACTTGAACCATCTGGCAAACCAATGAAGTGCACTCCTTCTCTTGTACTTGTCTTTGTCATGATCTTGAACGATGTCCACGATCATCTCATCTTTCCTTGCATCATACACTCTGTGGTCTGTCAGGTGGAGAGTGGATGAAACAAATCAAAGCATGTTTTAAACCATGATAAACCAACAACAAAATCTCTAACTAAAAATGACAACATTTTTCTTCACAAGACTAAGATCGACTTTAAGTTGGACTTAACTATGGCAGGCCATTTACGCCACTATTTGCTCTCACCATTTACTGGCACTGGTCTCTCAAGGGACATAAAAATTGTGGTCACAAATCTACAGAATTTACATTCGTTGATAATTCATTATTGAAAGAAAAAATATTATCTTAAGATCATAATTTTGAGAGCAGCCAGTAGCATGAACGGCCTGCCATAGTTAAGTCCAACTTAAAGTTGGTCTTAGTCTTTGTGAACCACCCCAAGGTCTGATACACTCTTGCTACACCTTTCCTAATCATTCAGAGAGAGAAAATGGAACTGTTCTGGAGGGAAAAAAACTCTTCGTAGGAAAATGAAAATTTACCATACTATTTAATTACATCACTAAATAACAGAAAGACAATTCTTTATCGTCATTATGATCAAAATGATCCAATTGTTGGCACAAAAGCTTCAAACCACACTGGTTGAAGCATCAGAAACCAGAACAAGACAGGCCTCTTGTAATCATCATGAAAGAAAAGAAGGAGTGGCCAGAAGTATGTCCACTGTGTAAACCAATTATGGCAAATGAATAATAAATCAAAATGGATTAAATGGCAATCTTACAAAGCCTTACAAGGAAAACATAGAATAAAGTGACATACCAGCTCCTCCACTTGCAAACTGCTTGTCTGATCTTGTGTGTGGTCCTGCGTTTTCCGCAGCCGCTGCCCCGGTCGTTCCAACCCCTAAAGCTGCTGGTTGCCTAGGCTGCGGCCTTGTCGTCTGACCATAGCTCCCTCTTGTGACTGGAGTAGGTGTAGCTTGCTGGGGAGAGACCACGGCTATTGCAGTTGGCGAGGTTGTAGGCATGGAGTCAAATGACTGAGTTGATGGTGCTGAGTATTGTGTAGGGGCTTGGATGTCTTTCCTGGGTTCTTCAATCTGAAATGGTCATCAATGAAAGTGATTAATCCTTCATATGAAATAATAATACGATGATGGATATCAAGTTCTTTTCAGTGGTTCTCACTGTCCTCTAGTAACATAAAAAAGTTACTTTAATATTGCAATACAAGCATGGGCTTGCCCCCAAAACAAAAACATTGCTTTGAGTGTCTCCATTTTTGCATGTACATGAAAATCAAACTGAGTACAACACTGAATTTTTTGATAACATTTACACACCAAAAAAGTTTAAACATGTTAAACATTTGAAAACTATCTAAACAGTTAAACTTTCTGGTTAAGGCATGGCAAAAGACAATTAAATATTAATGCCTTCACACAAATTACATTACCAAACCACATATAATGCACTAGGCTTGAGTCGGTACGGTCGATCACACCGGGACCCGACCGTTGCCGTCGGGTCCCGGTTTCGTTTTTTGAGAACCGACGCTCCGAAAAAAATAACGAAATATGTAAGAAATTGCAGTTTTGCACACCACTAAAATCAATCCACCTTAAAACTTAAGTATTTAATTGTTACCAATCATATTCTAGCTCATCCTGAATCAATCCGAACTGCTGATATAAATATATGGGTTGCAAGGCAGTTCGCCCCATGGGGTTGTTGTTGCCAGCTGCTAGCTAGCTACTGTACTGGCCGGGTCTCTCGGCAGGATTAATAAATCAGGTTGAAAGAAACATTAATGTTTGAATAATAAAACGGCTTTCTAAAAAGTACTTCTTTACAACATACCGATCGAATAATTTTTAAAAGACAAAATAGATATTTTTTCTTTGATTTTGAACACCGCATGCTTCTTTTAAAAGCTGAAAATTACTTGGTAATCACAAGAAGTTTCGATACGGATAGCTGTTGCAAGGCAAGTTCAGACTAGTCTCGGAAAAATGCGCAGTGCTTCTTGTTAGCTGTAATGCATGCCAGAACGAACCCAAACAAAGACGTGATCGTAACGAGAAAAAAAATCATTAAAAACTACGAGAGCACAATTGGAAAGACAACTACTCAAAATTATCGTAAGCAGATACATAACTTGGAGGAAGAAAACAATAGTTGTCCAAGGAAAGCCACATAAATAGTGATATTTAAGGAGTTACTATAGGTGCAATCATTATCGGAAGGGCCTGCTGCAATATCCGAATTACACGTGTTTAAATTGAACACGAGGCTATACGAGGCAAATAACGCCCTCTACGGTAAAAAGCAGTGTAACAAAGGATTCCAGTATTTGCAGCAAGCCCCTTGCGATAAAAATGTACCCAGTTACTCCTCGATTATCACAATTTCTGAGGCATTTCTTGGGCGATTATTGAATTCATTGTCCAAGTTATCTATCTGATTATGGTAATTTTGAGCAGTAGTTGTCTTTCCAATTGTGCTCTCGTAGTTTTTAATGATTTTTTTTTTTCGTTACGATCACGTCTTTGTTTGGGTTCGTTCTGGCACGCATTACAGCTAATTACGAGGAGCACTGCGCATTTTTCCGATACTAGCCTGAACTTGCCTTGCAACAGCTATCCGTATCGAAACTCTTGATTACCAAGTAATTTTCAGCTTTTAAACAAAGCATGCGATGTTTAAAATAAGAGATAAATATTTATTTTGTCTTTAAAATATTATATGATCGGTATATTGTACAGAAGAAATTTTTAGAAAGCCGTTTTATTATTCTAACATTCATATTTTTTGAGCAGATTTATTCAACCTGCATAAATCAAAATGGCGGCTCGAATGCTGTCTTTCTATTTCTGCCCCAGTTTTTTTTACTTTTAGAGGCACGAAAATGGCACTAAACATCGCCAATCATGGATAAAAAATAATGTCAAATGGAAGAATATACCGATCTGAGCAGAGGTATGCATGTGTTGATTTATTTAATTGATAAAAAAAGGTCACTTTTAAGGGACATACTGATGATATGCGCTTTTTATAGAGGCAAGTGGCAAATCCTGCGAGCTGATTTCGGGACACCGGGTCCCGATCGGTACAAGGCCGTCGGGACCCGGTTTATGAAAATCCCGACATGACTCGGGCCTATAATGCACACCAGGGCCCTGTTTCATAAAACTTTTTATCAATAACATATGCCTAATTTTTATGACAAATTTGCTCTCAGCCAATCAGATGTCACAAATTTCAGTAACTTATAACAGTTATAGTAACTTGTCTTTGATAACAAGCTTTGTGAAAAAGGGCCCAGTATTAGAAAGGTTTTGGACTTACTAATGAGAGCCCCAAGCCTGCTCTAGCCCAGTTGACCGATGCTAGGTACTTCCTCAGAGTCTCTGCTACAGGAGAGATCATGTTGGAGCTGGGGAAGATGCTGGTGTTACAGGACGGGCATGTGTAGCCCGCCGGTGCAGTGTTGGGTGGGAAGTTCCTGGCGTAAGCATCCACGCACTCCCAGTGAAAGACATCTGTAGGGAGACACAGGAAGAAAGAATGTGAGTGGGAATGTTTCATTTTAATATCTGACATTAGTGTAGTAAGTCAAAGTTGCATATCTCAGAAAGGCATTAAGAAGAAGAAAAAAAACATTAGCAATAAAAGACTAAAATGCACATGGGGAATACATATTCCTGATATATCTTTCAAAAGAGCTTTGTAGCAGATGATATGTCATTTGACCAGAGTCAAAAGATTAATGAATGTATTCGTGCATCTACATGTATACTGGCTATGGGAAAGGCCAAAGCATTTGGTTTCTGGTATTTGGTGTCCAATACTTCACAAAGTGATTCGAAATTAACTTGATCATTTCACTTCCCGTTTGCTCTGATCTAAGCACTTATAGGGCCCAAAACTAATATTTATAATATTAATTTCAATAAATTGATGATATGTACTGGAATCTGAGATTCGGCTGGTAACATAGGGGGGACAAATAGCTTGGACTTGACAAGTTTGAAAGTACTCCAACTCATGTTTGTAGATCTGTAGCAGTGGAGGTTATCATGCAAATGATTTCATCACCTGAAGCACTAAATTTTCATGAAGAATGGGCTGCCCTTTATTCCCCATCCATACGCTTGCTCACCTGTACCGAGATGAAAGATTTTGATACAATGAATGAAATTTAGCACACTTTCATTTCACTACATGAATCTTACCCGTATACCATACAATCATTACCAGTTGAAAGCAGAAGGTTGCACTTACCATAACACAACAATCTGACCACATCTCCTTCTGCCAGTTCATTCTTGCACAATGAACACTTTGTGTTGTAATCACTGTCTTGCAGCCATTGCAGATAGGACTTCACAATACACTACAAGTAGGCAAGAAACAAAATGAAAATTAATAAATGCTAATAAAATATCTCAATTTAATTAGATATGGAGAAGATCCCTCCTTTTTTTAAAGGTATATGCTTTAACCTTTTAATTTTTCAATTTACCCAACAACACTTTTTCTTCTCATTTTAACTTTGAAAACTATGGACTGGCCTGGTCCAATGCTCAAGTTATGACAGTTTTTTTTTTCTCTTTTTTTTTTCCAACTCAGAGTCTGAGGCCTATCTAGATCTACTGGATTTTTGTTTCTTCTCTCCCTCCTTTAAAAAACAATTATTTTCTATTTTCTTTTGCACATTCAAGTGCAAAAAATGTTAATTGGTGCAAAAATCTAAATCACATCACACTCATTTGAAATTTGTTTTTTTCTCCACATGACAATTGACAGTAAAAAAGGGCAAAGTTATTTCTCTTGAAAAAGAGCAACAAATCAGACTAGACAATTTTCTCAAGCACACACCAAAGACACAATGTAGATGCAACAAAAACATTTGGGATATGAAATATCAGTAAGCATGAGTCTATTCATAGAAGAGCTACCAAGTTGTTGTCTGAACTTCTGAAGTGAGATCATTGCCATACTCTGAAGGACTTGGAGTTCAATCCCTAGAGTACAGGTGTGAATTGGCAGATATGATTCTGGTATTTAAGTTGCTGAATGATTTGGAAGTCTTTGATCCAGCTGCATTTGTTCTTAACGATTAAGTCACTCGAGGACACAAGTTTAAGTTCTAAAAGAGGAGATGCTGCACCAGCAAAAGGTTACATTCTTTTAGTTAAAGGGTAGTCAATACTTGGAATGACTTTTCTATCGATATTGTTGAGGCATCGTCAGCCAATGCTTTTAATAATAATAATAATAATAGCTCACATTTATAATGCGCCTAATACTACGTTTCTAGGCGCGGAACATATTATTACCCCGGTCATCGGATTCAGGCTTACCCGCACACAAGGTATGCACATTCTCCACTCCCTGGGGAGCATTCCAGCCAGTCGCCATTTTACAAGCGCCACTTGCTAATCAAACCACATTAGCTTTCGCATCCTATCGGGTACCCATTTTAACACCTGGGTGGAGAGTGGCAAATGTAGATCAATTTCTTGCCAAAGGACATTAGTGCCGCGGCGGGACTTGAACCGCGGACCTTGTGATCCACAGTCCGGTGACTTATCCACTCGACCACGACACCTCTACACCTCTAAGTCCAAACTCAATGACCACTGGAAACAGACGTGACTATTAGTTTGAATCCAACTGTTTGAACTAAATTTTGACCCTGTGTGAGGATTGCTTCGAATCCTTTGATGAGTTTATATGATCAAGAACAGATCTGTTGAATGGCCTTCTACAAGTATTTAGACTTACCATCATCAAAGGTAATTGAGGTAATACAATAATCAGTCATTATTATAAGATCACAACTTTCACACTCATTCAACATCCGACAGTCTAGTCTAATTATAGTTTTTTTATACCTTAGGATTTTTCCAAGACAAAGGCAAGGTGACAAACAGCGACTGTTAAGCTGTCACTGAAATAAATATTGTCGCCAATATTATGCCAGATAACTTAGGGGAGATGGCCAGTAGTACTTGATCAGGAGATAGAGACAAGACGAGTCACTAACAATAACATGGTTGGTCAACTCAAGTCGGAAGGACAGAGATTAATCAATAACTTTCTCTTTTGTGCCGACAAAATATTCATCAAAACTCCAGCATCAATATTGGATTCATAATGCAGCACTTAAAAGTAGAACTTTAGATCTACCAAAAAGTCTACAGCACAAAAACAAAGACAAAATCTCATTAGTTACAGTCACAAATATTTCACCTCCACGTCACAGCCCAAGCGGAGACGAATCTCAGCCTGCTAGCTCCGCCAGAGCTTCGGCGGGATTCGCTACCCTGCGCTGGTATACTGAAAATAGGTATAGCGACAGGGGAAAAAAAATTACCTTCGAATGATTTGCGACCATACAGTGTTCACAAACGTTGACTCGGTGTTCAAAACAGAAAAGATTGGTGACTTTCCTTTTGGGACACTTGCAAAGACCCATCTTGATGTCTGAAATATGGCAAAATCGAAGCGAATACTGATTTCAGAACGTATTTCCGTAGATCTACGAGAAAATACAACGAACGTCAAGCTTGCCACGTAAATGACCTTTGACCTGATTAATCATAGCTCACAAGCTCGATCACTTTTGATATTGCTCATTGCATGCTGCTAGCTAAATATCACCTACACGTGTTTTGTTTACTTTTCAAAACAAATGATCTTACCCACAAATAATGAAAATGTAGTTTATGTACTGAAAAAGGAAACAAAGTACTAAACAGATTATGTACGAAGCATTTTCATTCTTTGCTGGTAGATATACAATGTATATTGTTATAAACTTCACAAACTTTGGAAACATATAATCCAAGTACATATTGACATATTCCAACATGCATGAAGAATGAAAGATGATCTCCTAGAATAATCTTTTGGATAATAATTATTCTTGTTTCATTATCTATTATAATAGTGTTTCCCAGTATTAATTGTCCCAACTTGCTTACCTGACGAGGTGGTTTATCTTATATAATGTATTCAGTATTTTATATATCACTCATCAACTTTGAGACAATAAAACTTTCAAATACAGATAAACAGACTGAAAAAAGTGAATTGAAAATATGCAGCATACAGGCATTTATTCATTACCACATTAAAACAAAAAAAATTACAAAGAAATGAATATAAACAAAAATTCATCTTTGGCACGAACAGATATGGCTCTACAAGTTGGTTTTTAAAGAATTTGTTCTATGATTGTTCAAACCTTTCACAAATTTATGCCTCCAAAGCTAAAAGTAATCAAAATAAATATATAATTGGCATATGACTTAGATATTCACAATATATTTATTTCATAAACATAGAAGAAGTAAAGCAATAAATAAATTCTAGCATAAATCGTTCACAAATGAGTTCTGATACCAATAACAATATAATCAAGTTGACAGGATGGCAGCAATTTGCAGGGTATTATTACTCAATTGTGTGTATCTCATCCCTTATAAAACATACCTTAATGGAAAAAAAGGAATTCTTTTAATGGTAAAAATTTAAAACATTTCATTTAGTTTAGAAAAAATTAATATCATCATGTACTATAGATGTATTTGATATATTCTAAACTGTGTAACTTCTAGGTTCTCAGTGACAATTAACACCTGACCAAAGTTGATGTAAATTGCACACATAATGTGCAAAAAATAATAAATTCATTATGATTCAGTTTTAACAATATATCATGAAGTCAGATCACTTGCCTGTTTGAAGATATACTCTCTGAATAAAGAAACTGGGTAAGAATATGATTGCAAAGCCCTCAGGGGAACAGTATTAATACTGATGAGGCTACTCTGGGTAAACAAGAAATGTCATTATCATTATAGTTATTATCGTTATTATGATGCCTTGAAGAAAAATTAATTTCATATGGCATTGAATTTAGAGGTTTCGAAAAAAGGAACAAGAAATTAAGTTACCAAGCAAAACGTCCTGCCATATTATCATTTTGAAAACATAATACATATGGTAAACTAGCATTATGTTGGCAGCTCTTACTTGAAACAATCTCTAGGAGCTTACTTTAAAAAGTCTTTGAGTATATATTTAATAATAAAAAAAAAAAGACATTTTTATAGCGCGACATATCCACCCAGAGGGTGCTCAAGGCGCTTACAATGATCGAGCTACATAATATACTTAAATACAATTTTACTTACAATACATTACACATTACACATAAAAAAGGAAGAAGATGATATTAGTTAAAGTTGGCCATTAGATAAGTTTTCAGGCTGGCCTTGAAACTATCTACTGATTTACAGTCCTTAAGTGTGTTAGGGAGACTGTTCCACTATTTGCGCAATTGCAAAATTCATCTACCTTCAAAAGGTCATGGATTTGACAAGTGATTGAAAATCGAAAATACCAACAGTATCTGTGCTACATAACAATCCTCAATAAGCATTTCTTTTTTCACAGGAAATTTTAATATTCAATTTAGAATTGGCAAAAAGGTTCATATCCATGTTGAACATAATGAAAAACTAATAAAATGGACAAATTCATGAGTATACATATTTCCTTTTCCTTCTTTGTTTACTTGTGTGTGTGAGTATGTGTGGTAGTGGTAGGGTGGGGGGGGGGGGGGGGTCCATCTCCCCATAAAATATATCTCAAAGCTTTGATAAATTCAAATATAAGTTAAAATATTTGTTTACACAATAACAAATTCAATCTCAATACATAAATTAAAACCACTGAAAACCATTACCGGTACCATATGTTTCTTTGAATAATGATTGATTGATGTCATAACTTCTATGTCACATTTTAATCTTCATTAAATACTTAAATTAATCAAGATCTTCTACAGAAATGGAAATTCATAAGAATAAAATTGGAACTTTGGCTCTGTACATGTATCTACATGTATGAAGTAAGGAATTGTTTTTTTAAACAAGAATTCAAGCAAAAGTATATTCATACCCACCCTTGCCTTCCTTTACTATTCATTAAATGATAAAATATATTCAAGTGTAAACATATGTCACTTTGACTTTCCTCTTTCTTAGACTGACCTGTTAATAATGTCTTGAAGTTGAGTTCTGGTCATGCGATTGCATTGTGAAAGAAACGGTGTGAAATCGACCAGAAAAGGTTGATCATTTAGCATATAAGAATTTGTGTGTACTGAAAGGTTCTGGAATCATCAAAATGATAAGAAATTTGGCCAAGTCTCGGCAAAGTTACAAACACTGTACACAGAAAGATGTATATGGGACTACACGAACATGTGGCGTAAAAATCCTACCCCCGAGTTTTACGATGTTACATGACATATTTAGAATATGAAGGCATTTGAAGAGCCATGCTTTTCAAGGAAAATGTCTTATCTGATGTTCTTCCACACTTGCATAATAAGAATGATAATGCTCACAAATTATTTTTCACCTCTTCCCAGAACTCAACCTTCTCTTTAATGTTTCCTGATGACATTCAAATAAGAAACATAAATGTTGTTCATTTTGTCGGGTGAATTCATATATGAACAAAATGATGCCTTTAAAAAAAAAACTAGATGGAATTCGACTGCGCGCAGTCGAAAATGATGCCTCCGTCATAGAGCAATTTTACAAACCAAAACAGAAGAAATTTTTCGAATTCAAGTTCAATTGTAATCCATTGACAGGTTCTCAGAATATCGTGATTACAAGCAATTTCTCATATACATATATGACCCTTTGATCTTTGACCTCATGACCCTAAAATCTACTCAGTTCATTGGCTCTGCAAGATGTCCTGAGTTAAATAGTAATCCATCTGTCAGTTCTAATGAGAATGCGTTCACAAGCTATTTTTGCATACATAATGAGCCCATGATCTTTGACCTTTGACCTTATGAACCAAGAATCTACTCAGTTCATTGGCTCTGCAAGTAACATACATGACCTAATTTTGGCAGGAATCCATCAATCGGTTCTTGAGATAACGCGATCACAAGCTGTTTTTGCATACATAATGTGTGCTGTGGCCTTTGACCTTTGACCTCATGACCCCTAAATCTAATCAGTTCATCGGCTCTGCAAGTAACATACATGACTTAAGTTTGGCAGCAATCCATCAATCGGTTCTTGAGATAACGCGATCACAAGCTGTTTTTGCATACCTAATGAGCCCTGTGACCTTTGACCTTTGACCTCGTGACCCCAAAATCTAATCAGTTCATCGGCTCTGCAAGATACATACATGACTTAAGTTTGGCAGGAATCCATCGATCGGTTCTTCAGATAACGCGATCACAAGAACGGGACGTACGTACGTATGGACGGACGGACGGACAACCCGAAAACATAATGCCTCCGGCTACTTCGTAACGGAGGCATAAAAAAGAAGGAAAAATTGATTATACAACCCCTCTAGAAAAGACTTGTTTCCAATGCTTCATCCCCATATGCCACATCACTACATAACTCACATAAACAACGGCGTTTTACACAAAAAGTTTCTTCTCATGACACAAATAATAAAAATATAGTACATCAGTTGATTCTATTGACAATAAATACACCATGTGGCCTTTGGTGTATATCAGACCATTTAAGCTGTATAGAGGTATCGATTTTGCACAACACAGCCATCTCATTTTCAAGTTCATTGGATACAATCCATTGCATATCTATCAGCATGTCCCAAGGTCACATGGCTGTACCATTTAGAGGTGTTGAAGTCTAGTCGCTGCATTATGCAGCTAAATTGCATGACAAAGCTATCTCTCTTTCCCTGCGTCAAAGTTCAATGTCAAATGTCAAAGTTCACACATTTCAGCAACTTGAGAGTGGTCAGAGGAACATAGTCTGCACATCATAGAGCTGGATGGCACCACAATGAAATCTCATTCTCCAGTTCTTCGGACAACTCTGGTTTAATCTTCTGTATCGCTTCCTGAACCTTCTGCACAAATGAGTAACCTACACATAGAAAGAGAGTAAGGGAAATATTTTTTAGTCACTACACAAGAACAAATTAAATTAAAAAAATGTTTTTGAAAATATTTTTAAAAGAATATTTTGGTCATTGACTTTTTTTAGGCCAACTCAAGAAAATAGTTAAACTCAAAATTCATATTGTGCAAACTACAGAGTTCAATGATAGCTTTTTAAAAAAAAAATTACATCGTGATCCCCCTTTCATTTTTTTTCTGGTATAATATTGTCTGAGCTCATTTATGAGCCAATGGCAAAGAGAGAACTAAAAGACAGGATAAGAATATTTCCACATCATATATATACTAGCAGGACCCGTGGAAAATCCACGGGATTCTAGGAGGGGAGGGGGAGGGGGGGGGGGGTAAATAGAAAGAGGCCTATGAGGTTATGTGCAATCAAAAATAATATGTGATTATTTTTATATAGGGTATAGACGATTTTTATAATATACCCTGTTTGACCATGAATGGCGACCGTCATACCCGTTTGAAAGCATTGATTTGATGCAAGAACTGTTTATCACTGAGTAAAGTATTCTATAGTATTCTAGTATTCTAGTATTCAGCTAATGAGCTAGGTTATGTTTTTAAACGACCCGGGACCGTCTGATTTTCTTGTGAAAACTTTACTTTGACAATTGATTATCGACATTCAGCATACAACTATACATGGCCAGAATAATCACAATCTAAGCTCAGGTTTCATACCTCTATAATCACGAAACTATATTGAAATCAGGGCAATAAGAGCAATTTCAAAGTGTTATCGAATGTCGAGTCTACTCTATGTAGCCCAGCTCAGCTCACACACAGTCACAGTTCCGACAGTGCACGGCAGCAGTGCATATGTGGCGCAATGCGCTGTCCGTGTGTGGACTCGAGCCTCAAGACAGCCAGCTTGCAACTGAACTGTAAGTTACGATGGATTCCTTGTGAAAACTTTACTTTGAAGAATGATTATCACAATTCAGTGACATGGACGGGATAATCACAAAGTTAGCCCTGCTTTCATACCTCTAATTCACGTTAACTATATACAAATGACAAATCACGGCAATCATAGAATGAAAGTCGCAAACCGACTGTGCGTGTGACATGAGCGTAAAATCATCGCATACACGTACAGGCATAGGCCGTCTGGCGTACAAAGCATACCCTATAGCAAGATCCATAACACGGGTAAGCCCAGCCCGTCAGAGCGTAGATTTACTACATCTCATCAACCGGGTGAGTCATCGGTTGATGTGTATTTCTCTGACACGCTACAAAGCATATCCTATAGCAAGAGGCCTAACTCGGGGTACGCCGCAGCCTTTACAATGAGACTTGCTACACCCGTTGACGCGAGTGGATTCTCGTCTATCGTGTGTCCCTTCGTCTCTCTTTGATAATTGGACAGAGGGCGGGTGCACGCCTTGTCAACTCGCTCTCGCGGGTTCGTCGCCTCCTCGCAATCCACGACGCCCGCCGTGCTCTCGTCCGCCCGTCCTCCCCGGCACCCCGAAACCGCGTTTAACGGCATGGACGTCGATCGCGGGGTCGAGGTGGCACGCGGGTTACGGGAGACAGGCCTCGTGGAATTGTGCCACCGTTCCCGCGCCACGGCGGAGGCGAGCGGGGTCGGGGAAAGGCGTTTTTGAGGAACCGTTTTGCCCCGTTTTGGACCCCCCGCGGCGATTTTGCGTATTAATAATATAGATAGCAGTGGCTCTTTAATAATGGATCATAAAAAGCACTTCTCATGTGGGAATTTTTAACTCAAAATGCACAACCTCCCCATAATGCTACAAACTTGTTCCCCCCGTTGACACGATAGTAATATTCATATGTTGTTGTTAATTCTGTAAAGCAAAAAACAAGTTTATAGGCCATTGCTAACTACAAATCTTAGTCCAGATTAGTTTGAAACCTGTGACTTTGAAAACTTACTAGATCCAAAGAAGATGGATGCTAGGATTGCCTTCCGCTGTGCTACATCAGGGTTCTTCTTCACCGACTCTGATGCCCCATGCTTATCAAAGTGATAACGGGTCCACCAAGACTTACGACGAGACCAGCATTCCTTAAGGAGTGCCTTGGCTTGCTTACTTCTGCTGTCAAGGAATAGCAAGAATTCAAAGATAATCGCTACCATTGGTAGAAGAAGCCTGGCTAAGACCAGGGTAATATCGGAGTGAATGAGAAACCGCTACATGTTGGATACTTATGGCTTACTATACAAGAGACCAAATACCATCATAAGTAGTTATATAAAAAGGCTACTTTTATTACACATTTATTTCCACCTTTGCAAAACATCATCTTTTCATGCAAGATTGATGTTATACCTGCCAATGATTACATATCTTCTAATTTATGTTTTCTGCATAAATAAGGTCATAATGAGGTATTAATTTTGTAAATACAGACCATCAAACAACTCATCCCATAAACCAAAGTAACAAGACCAACACACTTTTTAATACACAGTTCTGAGACCAAATATGACAATACACTTTCACAACGATACAAACTCAATGAATGGACCAAGAATGAATGACTCTCAAATTTCTCAGATTTTAGCTCTGTGGGAGCCTTCCTATAGTATAGGATGCTTTGTGTGATTAAACATAAATAACATACATCCTTACACAAACTCAGTCATGACAACTCAAAAGGTCAGAAGATGGCAAAGAAATACAGTGAAACCCGTACATAAGGACCGCTCAAGGGAAACGTGAAATGTGGTCTTTATAAGAAGGTAGTTTTGATGTACAGGTTCCTTTAGTACAGGTTTCAATGAGAAACCGTATTCAAGGGAAATGAAAATGTGTGGTCTTTATAGACAGGTGGTTGCTAAAGCAGGTTTATCTATACCTTTCTACTACCGCAATGACATGTTCTACCAGTGTCTCCCACAGTGCAGTGTTGTAACGGCAGGTACTGTAGTCAGCCATCTTGAAGAGCATGGGAAGTACCTCTGCTGAGTCTGCAGATCCTTTCTTCTGTTCTAGCAGCAGGTTTACGTACTCAAGAGTGTAGTCTTCTGCAGGCAAGATGGTGGCTAACTTCTGCAAGAAGGAACAAAAAGAACTTCCAGTTGTATACACAGGTGACAATTCAACATAAGTGTTCAATCACATTCTTTTGTTTTGTTTATAAATATCTTGTTGCTGGCAAAATGTATTAATATCTTAATTCATAGGGTTTTGATCACAGGTGCTGATGTCAAATTTAAGTCATGTCTTTCTTTGTGATGTTGTGTTATATATACATAGAATATTTCCATCTTGAGTTTAAGTTTTGACCTATCTGACAGATACAAAGACAAAGATATATTATGCAGTTGGAGAGAATGAGAATGAGAAAGAGAACGAGAGAGAGAGAGAAAGAGAACGAGACAGAGAGAGACAGAGAGAGAGAGAGACAGAGAGAGACAGAGAGAGAGAGAAAGAGAGAGAAAGAGAGAGAGAGAAAGAGAGATAGAAAGAGAGAGTGTGTGTGAGGGAAATGATGAAGGAGGCGTAGAGATAAATAGGAACACTAAATAGAGCTTAAGAAAAATATGTTGAAATAACCGGGAACTTCTGTGCTCCATTGATAACTGCTATTTTCATGTCACAAAACTTTCCCCAATTGCAAAAATTCACTGTCGTCATTGCATCTTTTTACAGCGTGAAACCTTCACAAATGTGGACCACTCACACAATAGGTGAAAGTATCATAATGCTAATGTTTCTGCTTTTAAGAAGAGGGTATAACAAACTTCAAGACAAATACATCAATATTCATTCTGGCCACCTTAAACTTTACATTGATAAAAAATGTCTTGATCAACGTTACCTTCAGTACTGGTTTGAGTTTTTTTGTTTTGTTATGCCTCTTCAAGAACTGATAGAGATAGACATGAGCATTAGGGTTTCCTGGGTTCTGGCTGAGATAGTTGTTGAGCAGTTCCTCTGCCTTGCCGACATTGTTTTCTTTTGCCTCCAACATCTAAGATAATAAACAATCGATACACAAATCTTTGAAAAATAAAAAATAATAATGAGTGGTATATAGCGGTCTTTATGTATAGATTTATTGTTGTGATCTATGTGTTAATATCGTCTATAGTCTATATTCTCTACTGCATTATGTTTTTCCGGTATTAACCATGTCCTTCCCCAGTCACATCAACAATACCAGTACCCGACTGACAACAGACGGAATATGAAATGACATTACCCTTTCGGACCAAACATCAGTAGATTTGGAGCAGATTTTGTAGTCAGTTTGGTAGTGTCACCGATCTATTCATAATACATGTAATAATAAGAATATAAAGTACAGTCCAACCTTTTTATAAAGGTAACTCAAGGGAAACAGAAAAAAACAGCCACCGTAGACAGGTGACCTTTCTAAACAGGTTCTACAACACACATTGCTTTCTCAGGGGAGGCAAAATGCATGGTCACTATAGACAGGTGACCTTTATAGAGAGGTCACCACCAAGACAGGTTTAAGACTGTATTTATAATGCGCCAACTCCTCAAGAATAATGTGCTCAAGGCGCAAAAGAAAATTATGGATAGTGAGAGTCTTCAGTTACGATAAACTTTTTAAATTCATTTTTATTACTATCAGTCAGTCGTACACACTAATAACCTTTCAAGTAGCTTTCAAACCTTCTGAGAAATAAAATTTTCTCCTCCCAAATCTATGGTGCTAGCCAAAGTAATGGCTATAACCTCAGAATGCATACACATCTCACCTCAACTTGCTTTGTAATGAAAATGTCCCATACTCCTGGATCATCGTTGAATTTGCCAAGATTGTTAAGGGCCCTCTTTCTGAGTGTTGCTTCTTTGATAACTGGTTACATAAAGTATAACATGAAAGCATCATACTTGCAAATCATGATCATTTTAGTGATCCAACATGTATGTCAATGATAGGATTTCATGAGGTGAATCTACAATCAATTTTACTTCCCTTATAATGGTACTGGGGGTGTTTCACAAAAACTGAGATTGACTTTAAGTTTGACTTTATTATGGCAGGCCATACATGCCACTGGTGAGAGAGAGAGAGAGAGAGAGAGAGAGAGAGAGAGAGAGAGAGAAGGGTAGGGGAAATAGAGAAAGAGAGAGAGAGAGAACGATGTGCGAGGAGGAGATTCCTGTCAATGCATTGAAAGTTACACATTCAATTGTTTGATAACAGACATGATTGTTCATCGATATAAAATTTATGAACGAAAACAAAAAATCACTATTTTGTACCTATTTCTCCCCTGTCATCATCACCTCCATTCTTTCTTTTTTCAAGCCATTGACAGTACCCCATCAACCCAGTATAGGCAGAGTTCATCTTCTTCCTGATCTGCAAGGAACAAGTTTGAATTCAAGTCTACATTATTGAAGTAGAAGTAAAATTCTGGTATTCTTGAAAATGCGACTTAAAAGAGCTGCTTAACCCAGTCCACTGATTAAAGAGTTCGAAGTACCCGTATTTAGCCTTTTCTATTTGGTACAAAAGATATGCAATTATGCTCTTCAATAAGGCATTTTATCAGCATTATTTCTCTTTTTCCTGGTACGATGTTAATATATCACTGTGATATGAATTAGCATACAAGCAAGTATTAAAATGGCGACTAGCTCATAAGTTGGGAATCGTTAATGAATCGTTAATGAATCAAGTGGTAGAGCCAGAGGTAATAATTGCTCTAATTGTAAAAAGCTTTCAAATATAACTACAGAGCTCGATCAAATATCAATACAACCATTATCATCATACCGAGGTAAAGCAAAATAACTACATAACATACCAGTCAATCCAGTCCATAAAGGCCACCAAAAAGAAACATGAAACACTTGACGGATGGCCTTTCTAGACAGGTTTCATCATACACATTTTCTACTAAGAAGGGGGGGGGGGGTATAAATGACCACTATAAATAGGCAGCCTTTCTAGACAGGTTCTAAAACACATGTTTTCTCTTACAAGGAGGCAGTACAGATGACCATAGCTTTAGCATGGCTGCCATTACAGTGCTCAAGCATTTCAAGGAATTAAGTCCTGCCAGGTTCCCATTTACATCACCTGGGTTGCGTGTGGCAAATGTAGATCGATGTCTTGCCAAAGTACATTACTTAGTGCCGTGGCGGGACTCGAACCCCGAACCTTCTGATCTGCAGTCGGTTGACTTATCCACTAGACCACAACACTTCTATAGAGAGGTGGCTATTAAATACAAATGTGACTGTACGAACCTCTGGTTGATTACTCTGTTGCTCCACCCAGCGCCCGGACACACCCCACATCTCCGTCAAGGTAGTGAAGGCATCCTTCATCCTGTTCTCACGGAGGAGGAAGAGGGCGTGCTCCAGCTTCTTCTGGTATGGATTGGTCATATTTATCTTCCGCACAAATCTGAAAGAGGAATTAGAGAGGTTTTCTCACCAGATCTTTGACAGATATCAACTTGGTTACTAATATTTTGTTAGTCTAAATGATAGTAGATGACATAAATCGAAACATATTTTAAAGTTTTCAGAAAAAATGGTTAACATTTTTGAGCAGGTTATACATCTAAAATCAATACCAAGCATGATTAAAACACGATTTGGCTGGTAGGTCGCTGATATCGATTCACTTACTTAATTTATGATTTAAATCAAAAAACCATTTGATATATATATATTTATATTTTGGAAATATAACTTTCCAGACTGTATTTCCAATGAAATGTTAGGCAAAAGATTAATTTATTGAAGCACTTTATTAGTCATATTGTATATAATGAGATTACTACATCATCATATAATAATGCAGGCTCTCACGTGCGTGAAAGAAATTTGACTTTCCTACCTATAAAGATCTTCTACTAGCTCAGCATTGCCACTGGGGTGATTTTGAAGTATGTGAGCTCCAAACTGAAAGAACAACAAGTGAGAAAAATCAACCAATACATACTAACGAATAATCATTACATGTAGGAGTTTAAATGCAGGTCATATTTCAAGGGTATTAGAATCAGATAAAGCATTTGAAGTACCTCAAAGCTTGAATGCACACTGCGTATAATTAGAACCACATGCCTCAAATACAATCACAATTAACCCAGCAGTTTGAAGAAAACAGTCAAATTTCTAAACTATGATGTGCAGGATACTCAATATGCTGCATTTCGTCATCGCGGCAGAGGATGTCTGCCATGACCACCTTAAGTTTTGACCAGCCAGCAATGGCTAAAATCAATAATTTGGCTGCAATTTGGGAAAATAAATACACATAATTATTATCAATTTATGTTGGTCCAAATATTTGCAAACAACTAGAAACAGGGCTGTAGCTGCAGGAGGCACCTGGTGGTGGGGCAAAAAAGAAAGAATTAAAACAAACAAAAAACAAACAAAAATAGAGAAAAGAGATGGAAAAATAGGAAAAGGACAAAAAAAGATGATAGGACCTCCTGCATCCTCTCCAAATCAGTGGCTACTTGAAAAAATATTGACATCATTTCATTTCCCTGGAAAGACTGGAGCAACCCCCCCCCCCCCCCACCCCTCCATGATGAAAGTACCCCCTCAATGGATGGACACATGCTATGCCACTGAGTGGATCAAGTAGGAATGTAAATGTAATAGTTAGATAATTACGATGACAGTGATATTTGAAACTTACCTTCCAAAGGCACTCCACATTGGGTGTTTGATACAAACACATAGTGCATAGGATCCTGTTAGCATCCTCCCATTTCTCTTGGAGAACGCACTCTTTTACCATGTTTGACATTGCCGTAAAACTTGTGGCATCTACACCTTCACAGTAAAGTTGACCTACGAGAAACAAGCAGTAATCTTAGCATTAAAACAATAGTATTAGCAACAAAATCATGTCTATTGTGATGATATTAATGCTTTGTATCCGTTTTTCAGTCTGCAGAATTCAACAGGTATTGAAAGGCTTCATAGTAATAAAATGTTGAAAACAAAAGGCTTTGGATTAAATCAGTAAAATCGTATAATGTACATCACATTAGAAGTGACTATTTGAGGATTTTGAGATGTAACAACAAATAAGAATTGAATAAATATAATAATCAAGACAACTGAAGCAGAAAACATTAATTGAAGTCTAACTTGAAGGAGTACATTTAAGAGTTGCCACAGGAGCATATGATGGTCCTCAAAAAAGTAAGAAGACAATGAATAATCAATAATTTTGCTTCATTCCTTTATCTAACTCGGTGGATTAATCATTTTTTCAAATCGTAAAAATAGATTTATCTCACCTTTGATATGATTTGCAAGGTGGGGGTGCTGAAGCAGGAATGCATCTTCTGAACTTCCTCTTTCCTCATGGCTCTGCTGAGGAGAACCATCCTTTTTCCTTTTCTTAGAACTTCCTGGCTTGGCCTCTGAGTTTCCTTTCCTTTTCTTTGGGATTATCTGATGTTCCCTTGAGTCTGTTGCACTTCTGCCGCTTTCTTTGCTATCTTTTCCTCTCGTTTTCTTTTGATCATTCAGTTCACTTTCAGAGTTTGTTGCAGTGCTCTTGCTTTCTTTCCCTTTTCGTTTATCTTTCTGGGGGCCATTCTGTGCATTCTCATTGCGTGATACAGTGCTTGTGCCGGCTTTGTCTATCCCTTCCTCTTTATTGGAAGCATTATGTTGTTCAAGAACGTAGTTTGTCACATTATTGCTTTGACTTCCTTCACTTTTCCCTTTCTTTTTCTTTATATAAGTACAGTCAATATCTGAGTTGATGATGCTACTCTTGCCAGCCTTTTCTTTTCCTTTCTTCTTGGAATCAATCTCTTTGATTTTAGTGAAATTTTCCGTTCCATTTTTAAGCAATTTCTTATCTTTATCTTTTTTCTTCTTTTTCTTTACATGCTTCTCCTTCGTTCCAGACTTTGTGACAGACATTTTCTTCTCTTTTTCTTTTCTTTTCTTTTTATCAGATTTAGTTGGAATGACAAAGTCTCTTAGACTGCTCTGGCTTCCTTCATCTTTTTGTTTCTCTTCCTTAGCATTTCCCTTCTCTCTGTTAGACTTAGAGTTTGTTGGCTTGGCCTTGGATGTTGATGGTACAGAACTTTCCATTATGAGGTCATCTTTCAATGAAGCACATATCTGGAGAAGAATTTTTCTATGAAAGAAAAAATAAAAGTAAGTGAAATGGAATTAATAAACTGCAAAGTTTTTTTTAAAGTCCTAAGAATAACTGACTTGTATATAATGAGAATGATTAAGAGAATGAGTACAAGAAGAAAGACCTAGAAGATAGTACCTGGAAGCTCGACTGCTGGCTCAGCATTCTTCCATTGTTTTCGGTAAAGGTAAAGATAAATAATGAATTGTTTTCTTACGATTAGACAATAATGTATTTCCACTCCCCTTCCCTTCTTCCCTTTTTTGTTTTCTTCTTTTGTATTGGTGTTTAGATTCTCTCGGCTTTCCTTTTCCTTTTTTCTTTTCTCAACAATACAGTGTATTCTTTTTAAGGGGTTGACGTACATAAGGCCAATTGCCCTTTTTGTTAACCCCACATTCCCATAAAATTTTGTTTGCTCCTTCCCTTTGTATTTTTTTTGTAATCGATCTTTTATCTGTATACCATGTTTGTATGTTTTGATGTTTTTATGGAGAATGAAATAAATGAAATGAAATGAAATGTCTGACTTAAACTCAAAGCCACCCATTTCTGTAATCCACTCTTAATAATCTCGGCCCAGCATCTTTAAGAAATGAATGATGACAATATCATAGACGTTGATTAAACAGACCCTTACTTAAAATACTAGACTTTATTTAGTCTAATTTTGTTCACTGGATAAGAAGTCGCACGCCGAATCATGCAAATGCAGAGCTATCAAGTATCACGCATTAGGCGTGACATCACGCATTTTGAGGGTCTGAAAATGCTCTTACGCACAAAGCGCGCGCTAGATTTTGAAAAAACGCTATACCTTATACGTGTGTTATACCCTCGCACGCGCGCTTGCGCGCCGAATCATGAAAATGTCACGCATTGCCGATCTTTGAACTTGGCGTCTCTGCAAATGTCACGCGTTGCTGATCTTTGAACTTGGCGTCTCTGGTTAAGGCATGCAGACTCGTAGACAGAAATAACCGTCTGAATAAAACTGACATTTGTTGACATTCCCCAATAATCGGAGGTCTAGTGGAGCCAGACGAAGTCTAAGCGGAACAACCGACGATATAGAAAGACTGAAGCTTTTGGTCTAGCACTAGTAAGTAGCTAGATCTAGGTCTAGATCTAGGTCTAGATCTAGATCTAGTAGCCATTGGTAGCACTAGCAGATTTAGGTCTATCTACAATAGCTTAGAACCAAGTATTAGTAAGATTATTTCATTTCTTATTCCATGAAAACGCAAAATGATGGGACATACGAAACACTACTTACTATACAGCAAAACAAAACAAGAATATGCATGGTCTACTAATCTAGTAATACTAGTCTAGATAGACCCTACATAATTATTCTCCCTTTATTTTTTACCCACACGAAACTCTACATATGGTAAAATGTAAACTTTCTACGCTGTCGACGCACGTGAACGTCTACTCACTCCACTTCCGATAGCAAATACACGACTGTTAACAATCACCAAACGGACCAAAGCAAAGAAAGGTAAGTAATAATCTTGTTTGTGTAAATGCTTTTATCTATAAGCAACATCATCTTTATTTTTGTAACTTACTTCCTAACTATTTTATTATCGGTGCTTGAACGTCGCGCCTAGTTTCAGCCAGTCCGGTCCAGCAGGCATGATGCAGCTCCGGCCAGCTAGCTCCCCCGGCCCCGGGGCGGGCGGCAGGCGTGAGATCGAGAGGCATGCTAGGGATGGATGGGCGTCCAGCCTATCTAAACCACTGCGGCATTGCCATTGAGTGGCTCCGAGCTGTAGCTGCGAGTGGTCGGTCCTGTAGCTTCGGCCGGGAATCTCTGTCCCGGTGGTCTGGCTGGAGCTGGAGTGTGAGTGTGGTCCATGTAGTGTGGGAGATACAGAAACTAGTCTATATAGGTCTAGATCTATCGTGTTACTGTTTACTTTGCAAAAGAGCTAGCTGTACAGTTTTCGGAGCTTTACATTTCATAATTAGACTTACTAGTTCAGAAAATGCCCCAGAAAATATGCAGGACAGACGTTGTGGCGAAGTTGTGTGTAGACTATGTAGGCCTGCAGATATTGTGTATCTGGACAGTAAATTAAAACTAAAATTTTAACAAGGTACAACAAGCAATATTACATGATGGTCTAAGTTACTCTAAGCCTCTGAGATTTACGTTTGACAATATTATAAAGGACATTCATGTAGGTTGTTGCTATTTCATTTATTTGATGCAAATTCCCAGTAAATCTGAAGGCAAAAGAGAAGGTTTTAATTTTGTTGAGTGTCCAGACACCCCCCCCCCCTTCCCGACCCCCCATCATACTATAAATTGATTTAACAATTGTGTTTTTAGATCTTCTTGTAATACATGTTTCTTAGTTGCATTTTTTCTTGATGAATCTAAATCTGTATATCCTCATCCTGTTGTTGTAAGTCAAAATGTCATTCCTAAAACTATTCCTGACATCAGAGTGATTTGAGTCTTTGTGTATTATTTTCTAGTTCATAATAGAATGTTCTGCCATTTTCATTTTATCTTTTATGAATGTTGCAGGTTGTGCCATATAGCAACAAATTTTTTCAGTGTCTCGGCAATCAGCACCTGGTCTAAAATGGCTGAAGCTGGCCCTTCAAGTTCTAATGATGGCTCAACAAGTTCCATCCAAAGTCCTGAACAGAGATTAGAACAGGCTTCAGTTTATAAGAACGCCGGCAACGAATGCTACAAGAACAAAGATTATAAGGGTGCTATCGGGAAATATCACAGATCACTGATGTATATCAAGGACTTAGACATGGGCGCAACGAGAAGAGACATGAGTGCTGCCCTGGGCTTAGCAAAGACACAGCCAGGTCAGGCTCAACCAGCCTCTATGAATAGCCAGCTCAGCCAAGCAACTATACCTCAATTTATGTTGGACCAAGCAGCCGAGTTTGAGTTGAGCTGTTTGAACAATTTAGCAGGTAACAATCGAGGCAGTGAATTTGTTTTTGTATACCTTTTATATCTACGACACTCTCTTTCAGGATTGTGTGTCTGAGACATATTTTTTCAGTCATTGAGCTATATATCATTATATAATTGGAAAGTGAAATCATCCTGAATATCCACCATTCTTGAAAATATTTTTTTTATTCACTTAGGCCAAGGTGTGAGGGAAACAGGTAGGGGGGGGGGGGCTGTTACGGGACATTACCTGTACATTTATAATTCTCATATCCAATTAATTATATGAGAATTCCTTTTCTGATGAGGTAATTAGGGCAAGTGAAACAGAGAGACAAGTAAACTGAGGATTTGCTTGCCTTATTCAGCATGCAGTCACTTTATACCACCCTGCATTGACCTTGTAAAGACATTTCTGACCCTCTTCTGTTTCTTCGTCTTTCTCATTGCCTACAGCTTGCCTTCTTCAACTGCCAGCACCCGACTACAGCAAAGTAGAATATTACTGCAATCAGGTACTTGAGAGGTGCGATAGGAACGGGAAAGCATTGTACAGAAGAGGTGTAGCACGGTACCAACTACACGACTATCAGGCTGCACATGACAGTCTTTCAAAAGCACAAGAAGTCTCACCGGGAGGTAGGTTAAAAACCTTAAATCTCTTTTTTTTCCGTCAATGATTCTAAAAGATTCATAGGATCTCATCAGGTGGGCGTTTCACAAAACTTGTCACCAGTGACAAATGACAGGTTTTGTTATAAGCTACTGAAATCCTTGCTTCTGATTGGTTATCAGCAGATTTGTCACTGATTTTTGTAATTTGTCATTGAAAAAAGGCTTTGTGAAATGCCCCCCTGAACAGTTATATTATGTGTAATAATAATAATAATAACAATATTTATAAAGCGCAACATATCCATCTCTAGAGATGCTCAAGGTGCATACATAGGAGGAGCAATAGCTCAGTGGTAGAGCAGTGGTCTCGTAATCAGGAGGTCCCGGGTTCAAAACCAAGTCAATGTTCTTGTGCCCTTTGGTAAGGCATTAATCCTCATTACCCTCGGAGAGGATTTAAAGCCGTCGGTCCCCTGGTTGCTTACTTACAGGCATATACGTTGTATAGTGAGTAGTGAATTCCGAACCTAGCCCCACTTCTTTTCTTTTCTTTGGAAATTAGGGACAAGATATACATTGTATATATATATATATATATATATATGCTTTCTTAGCAGTGAACAATAATTCTTTTCATCCAGTGTCCTTTATAAATTACGCCCACTGACTTCACAATGCATATTTAGGTCATCTACTTCAGGCTTTATAAGTTATTAATTTCCATTGTGTTGAAAACATCAGCCCAATATATTTCTGGTGCTTTCATTAATATTTGCTAAGATATTCAAATGAAAATATAAGTACTTGGATTGTGTATCTCCCTTAAAATCCTTCAAAGAACCTAACGGAAAGTTCCCAATGAATATTTTTATCAGAATATTTTTGTAATTTTTAAACTCTTCTGTATTTTTGTTATCTACATCATTTGATAAGAGACTATTTAAAGAAATGATGGAAGTAATAATAATAAAGCAGCCCTATATTTATTAAACTTATTTGCCTTATCATTTTTAGTGACTGGGAGGGGGTGGGGCTACAGGGGGCGAGGGTTACCAGGGCTACCAACTATTTGCAGTCAAACCCAAAACAAGGAGGAATATAAATTAAAAAATTAAGCCTTACAAGTAAGCAACTACTTCTAAAAGATGTGTTATTAGAGAATTTAAAATTTGAAAAAACATTCTTGGATGAGTTGCCTTGAAGATTCAGAAATCAAGCAAGTGTGATTTCTTTTTACAATAGCGCCATCTACAGTTTGTGCATGAACATTTGCACTGCACTTTGCAACTTTGAGCATTTGAGTGGGCAGGGAGCCAAGACAGTAGTTGTAGTGTGCAAACTCTTGGTCTTTTTCTCTTCAAATAGATAGATAAGTGACTGATTACCATGCTACTGATCAATGCAGTTGTATAAAAGATCTGTGCTATTTTTAGAAACAGTGAACAAGTTAGAACTTGTTTTCGGGAATGATAGAATTATTTTTACAACTATCCGAATAAAGACCCTTCACATAGGCTATTTAATACAGTATGCTCAATTAGACTGGGCACACCCCAATCTCAACCATATTCCGACTTTCCAAAGCCAATCAGAGAATAGTCTTCTTCTTTTTTTTTTAGCAGGTGCCTCCTACTAGGACAAAAGGCTCTGAAAGCAAGCTTGCAAAATTCTTAGCAAATATGTATGTAACTTTAAGATTGGTGTATTTATTTTATGGATGTTTGGTTTTTGAGAAAAATAAGTGTTGCTCATATTGTATGCATAAGAGTTAGTACAAGGGAAGGGGGGGGGGGAATGCTTCATTTGTATTCAGAGACTATTCTGTCATTTCACCTTCAGATATTTGTAGAAAGAGCTGTATCGTGATACAAATATTTGTTCATCATCTTATTTTGGTCATTCTATCTGTTTGACTTTCAATTTTTATTTCATTTTTAATAAATTAAAAAGAAAGAGTATGTTTTGTAATCCTAACTCCTTGTTTCAAATGTATCATCATCATACAAAAGCCTGCTTTAAGTTTGGGTACATGATATGATTATGTGGCTTCAGGGAGAAAGTACATGTAGCTACTCCCCCACCCAGGCCTGCCCCCACCCACCTACACATACACACACACACCCACACAATTTGTAAGGTGTTATCAGCATGTTCTCTTGGATGTGGTTCATTGTATTTTTAACCACCCCCCCCCCCCCAAAAAAAAAGAAGAACATCCGTATGTTGGTGTTTTTGACATCCTAATGCAAATACCACATCCCCTCTCTTCTCTCTCACTTTTGTTCTTATCTACAATGTTTGAATTCTATATTCCTTTCATTTACACACCTCTATCTATCCAATTCTATTCAAACCTATCTACCTACATGTATATTGTACTTGTTAATCCGAATGCCTATCTGTAGATGTATCTGATTATACATCTTTCTGTATATTTTTAAAATGTTGCCTATCATATATCTTTTGTAAATTGATGTACAGTCGATTTGACAACTAATAGTCGTTATTTTCCCACTTGAAGACATTTTCAAGCCCTACCTTTTTTTAGGGAAGTTCTAAATTAAAATTATCTTTCAAATGCAGTTGGAATTTAACTTTTTCATTTTTTTGGCCTGCAAATGGGACATAGTACCTTTAACTGAAATTTCTCCAATAGCATACAACAACATTCTTTTTCATTTGCTATAGTTTGATAATTTTTGAAATTTTGAGTAATTTGTACTTAATTGTCACTGATTATTCCAAAAATCATTGTTATAGGAGCTGCAATTTCATAAATTACTTTTCTAAAATCCAAGGGTGAAACATTGTGGAAGAAAAAATATAATAATAGAGTTATCAAGCAAATAAAGAGAGTAAGGAAATCAACATAGTAGTTCTTGCCATGTGCATACACTGCATATCAAGCGGTCTTTTTATTTATGCAGTGAATGTTATTTCCAGCAGGTTTTCAGTAGTTTCCTCATATTTGCTGGTCCAAATGCTCAAACAATGTAAGATTACATGAAGCTGTTTTCTCTGAACTGCAGGGAATGTAAATGGATAACATATATGACAATAAGCATAAGTAATAATGATAATAATAACAGTGGAGTCCAGCACTCATGTCTGGGACATTGACACCTATTATTAACCTAGTTTTAGCACGGCTGCCGTTACATCGCTCAAGCATTATAAGGAATCAATTCCTACCAAGTACCCATTTACCTCACCTGGGTAGAGTGACAAATGTAGATTAATATCTTGCCAAAGGACAGTAGTGCTACCACAGGGATTTGAACCCGTACCTTGTGGTTCACAGTCCAGAGACTTATCCACTGGATCAAAACACCTCCATGTCTAATTTGGACTTCTTGTACTGGCAACATTAATTTATTTTGAAATTCTATCTATACCAAGTGGCCTACGCGTTACAATGATTTATTAATTGGTATTTATCATGAGGAGAACAAAATCAATCAAAGTCAATGAGGAAATGGGGGGAGTTCTAGTTTACTTAATGCTATTATATGGTGAAAAGATCAACCACAAACACTTCATAAAGAGAAAAAGAGAGAGAGAGAGAGAGGGGCGGTGGACAGAGAGAAAGAGAGAGAGACTGACAATAACTTTAATCTCACATCTGGACACTCCCTTTATTACATACCATTAAGTTCATACAGAGTCCAATGTTGCAACAACAGTATCAGTTCATTTGATCACACATTTATTTTGCATTGTCATCATGCCATTATATACTCCTCTTTTATTTTTTACCTCATTATTCTCCACTTTGTTTATTATGATACGCAGAACTATTATTGATACTTCCAACATATTTAGAGTTGAAGGCTTGAATAATAGAGTTCCTCTCTCTCTCTGTCTCTCTCTCTGTCTCTGTCTGTCTCTCTCTCTCTCTCTCTCTCTCTCTCTCTCTCTCAAGTCCATTTCTTCATCCAAAAGTACCCGGTAATGCTAATATGGGAGGTGAGGTATCCAATTTACATGTACATATAAATAGGCCTTACTGATTCTTGCTATTAACCTGAATTCATATAATAAATGATAATATATATTAAAACATATCAGAGGACTTTAGCTAACATGAAACCATTGAAATGTGAATATTTCTTGTTTTCATTGGTTTAGAGTAGGCCTACATGTATATAGTATTTTGTTGTTACGTTCTAGATGTTTTTGTAGAAATTGGAAGGAAATGCTTGGTATAAGAATTCACATTAAATTTATAGTTTTGTGTAAAGAACCGTGAACACCCTCTACAATTTAAACCATTTCCATAGCCATCTGATCTGTATCTATGTTCAAAAATGGTTTTGTTATTGAATTCATCAGAAAATGTTATTTCATAAAGCTAGCGCGTGACATGACCCTTTTATCACACCCGAACCTTACCAAACTTCTTCCCACCAACATCCGAAGAAAAGCAAATTCAAAAGAAATACGGAGAAGAAAGGAGAAGTCAACACAGGGGTGTGAAGATCGCTCCTTTAAAAGGTCCAGGATCAGACCGGTACCTATGCACCTCATGGTGTGGCTCACAGTGGGGGTAGCTGTGAGGTATCATGGTTCATTCCAAGTTCATGCCCATCATTTATGGTTTGGGTTTTTCTCTGTTTGGAAAAATAAGATTACACAAAGGGAAGGAAAAAAAGCCGCCCACACACCCAACCACATGTAGAACTCAACTGTGCAAAAGGAAAAGTAAAGGAGAAGGAAATGCAGAAGAAATGGAAAATGAATTATGGTTTGATGATGGTACATTTCAATGATCTGACTGTATAGGTTTATTTTCGTGACCAGAAAATCCACTTCATCCCTAATCTGAATTGTCTTTTTGTTTGTTTGTTTTGTATTGTTTTTTTGTTTTGTTTTATTGGTTGAAGGAGCAGGTAGAGATGTGTGCAGTATCTGAAATGTGAGATGGCTTCAATAGTTTAAATTGTTAGCAATAACTTTCTCTATGCCAGATTTTTTTTTTAATTCAAAAAATGAAATACAGTTCAGTAGAAGACCAAATTTAATCAAAGTTAATAATTTTAACTTTAGTTATTAACTTCCATTATGGACTTAATTAATACAAGTATCTTGAGCCATTTGCTATGACACATTTAGTAATAATGTTCATTATAAGTGCACAGGTTATCGCAAGTGCGTAGACCATACCTGTATATTTCTCTCATCTGAAACATACACGTGAAATTCATGCAGCAGTCTCACCAATTTGGTATAAATAGAGTTATTCCCGAGTCTAAAGGTGCAAATGTTCATGATAATCAACATTTCACAGTGTTCTATTGATACTAGATGTCCACGACGGATGCCAAACCAAGATAACAAATAAAAGTGTCATAGTGGACTGAAAGAACACTTTGAAATCATGTGGAGTCTATCCTTGAAAATCTTGAGACAATAATTTTCTCTCTCTCTTGGTCTTATTTCTCTTTACTGATTCTCTTATGAAGTGTCTGGGATTCTGAGATTGTAAACGAAAGTTCATATAGTCATGCTGTGAAGATACACTTTTGGATCAAAACAGGGGAGAATAGATCTAAAAAAATGATATAAATAGTCTGATTTTTTGTCCCTTCTTCTTTTCCTCCTTACTTTGTATCGGATTGCAGCAAGCATCTGTCATGTTTTATCAAATGGTGCAGATTAAACTTCTATAATTCTCACCATTTTATCATTTAAATATTTTTTTAAAGAATGGGGTGTTGAAAATTGAAATGAAGTGAAAGGTAGGCCTACATACATGTAAAGTTCCTACTAATTCAATTGCTCAACTGAGAAAACTCAATTATGTACAATAAAACAATTGCTTTGTTATGATTATCGGAAACATGAAGTTGATCCGTTTTGCTCTGCTTTCCCCCCTCCAATGGGAAGGTCCTTCAAACAAAGCCTAAAGATTACAGAGCTGTTAAATGATTGAGACAGTTTTATTATCAGAATTACACTTTTGAAATGATCTAAAAGGTGCTCCTCCGACCTTTCCTGTGTGCACAAACCAAATGTCGTAAAACTTAAGCTGAGATTAGAAATTGGAAGCATATACTGTCTAATTTATACAAATGCTGTTTGACCAGCATATTTGATGCACTTTTATTGTGTCCTTGACCAAAATTGTAAATTACCTTTTGAAATGCACACACCTGAGTAGTCGCTTAATGACATTTGGACATTGCTGACCAACGGAAACCCCATTAAACTTTTCATAGAATTTTATTCATCATAGGAAGTTTTTTATTATCTAAGTCCCTTATTCTTTATTTTTGAGTTATGGGAATAGGCTTTTTCAGGTTAGTCAATTTATGATATATGGACACTAATGACCAAAGGAAACCCCATTAAACTTTTCATAGAATTTTATTCATAATAGGAAGTCCTTTATCCTTTGTTTTGATTTATAAGAATATGGTAGGCATTTTCAGAATCCTATATGTGGCAAGTGTTTACCGGTACATCCCTAAATAACCATTACTCTCTTTGAAGAAAGAAAAGACTACCATATTAGGCCTGCTGTAGTTATTCTCTTCTTAATTTGTAATGTAGAACTGTGCAGGTTTTTCGGTTTTATTTGTCGTTCTACCCAGACTGGACCGACTTGCTCATTTAACAAAGCCTGCTTTCACCTCCATGAAAATAGAATTCCACACATTTTTGCGGACCAAATTAACTTAATGAGGCCAACAGGCATTTGTTGAGAAATTTTTGTGAATACCCCCCTGTGATAATCATCATAAGAATTGGCCTGTAAGTGCTTTAGCAGTTTGGTGCAAAATCGCTGTAAGAAGAAATTGTATTTTTGTGTCAATGACCGAGTGTAATGCCCATATTTTTACAAGGACCGCATACCAGGCAGGGAGTGGGATAACCATTTTTGAGGGGAAAAAAAAGAAAATCAGTTTTCCTGCCTGGTATTTACTTGTGGCTTTGTTCAAAATCTTGCCCTTGCCCGCTGTCGACTCCATGCAGAGTTGTGTGATGTGTTTAACTACCAAATTTGTATTTCTAATTGATGATAAGAAAATTTGCTCCCTCCCACATAGCGCCTGCATGTAGTTTGATTGCACAGAAAGTATTTTGATGTTACATGTACTCTTCTTTTGTCCTTCAAATCATGTCTTTCTGGTCTTTCTTTTGTCATTTAAAACTTTTTGAAATGTTGTTGAATATTTCAGATGTCATCATGATAATGAACCCTCTTTTTCTCTATATATCCCAAAGATTATGATTAATGTTAAAAACTTGTACATCCAGCCTTTAATTTAAAGCCCTTCTGCCCCCCAAAATAATTGCCATTTGTTTGATTATTTGTAATAACAATTTGTAACAGTGAAGTTCTAATGATTTTTTTAAAAATAATTTCATAAGTGGAATCTTAGACAAGTGCATCATGAAAACATATCCGAGCTGGGATATATATTGATTGATTGATTTATGATTGTTTTATCTGACTGCTAAGAAAGCATGTGTAAGCTTGTAAGTTAGCAACCAGGGGACCAACAGCTTTAAGTACTTTCTGAGGGACGTACATGTAGTAATGAGAATTGATGCCTTATCAAAGGGAATGAGTGCATCGGCTTGGTTCCAAATTTAGGACCTCCCTTTTACGAGACCACCGAGTCGTCGCGCCTCGTCATGTACAACCAGTATAATACTGCTGGATAGATGTGGGCATGTAAAATTGTTCAAATCTCTGTAGTATAATTATGCTGTGAGCTTAGTTGCTGAGTGTTGACAGAGTGGAAAGATATCCTTAGATTTTAACTCTGATATTCATAGAAAATCATGAAAAATAACAAAATATACAATGAAAGGGTAGTACTCAGTGTCGTCAACAAGATCCGTTTCATTTTCCTTTTGCTACCAAAACTTAACCTCATCTCCAAATGTGGCAACTCCACAAGCTAAATTTGTAAACAAAGGTCTTATTTTTAAATGGTCAATGATATTGTGTAATCTGTAGAGGAAATTAGGAGCCATTAAAAAATATTACAACTGTAAGAAAATACCATTGAAAGGAAATTAGAAAACTATCTTGTCCCTAATTGTTTCACCATGTTTTAAATTAGCGTCAAGTTCTGCAAGATGATCTATCAAAGGAAATGAGAGGAAAACAAATCATTGGCATTAGATTACAAAATATAAAGTCATTGGCATTAAATTACAAAATGTTAATAGTAGTAGTTTTGTCACTTCCGTGTATGTGTATTTTCTTTCAGGAAATTTCATTTGTGAATGGAAATGGTAGTGGGAAAAATTCTTTCATTGGAAGGAAGGAAGGAAGAGTTCCAGAGAAGTAACAAAAATATCTCAGTGACTCTGTCTATTAGTGTGTTTTGTTGTGATTCAGATCAAAACTGATGTTTTTGTGGATATTATTGTTTTATGAAACAATAGTTTGAACTATGTATAGACTGGAAACTTGGCTTTTCATTTCCTGTTTACCAACTATATTCCAATTATTTATTTTATTGTTATGATTTCAGAGAAAGATAGTCCAACCATGACAAAGCATGCTGGCATTCACTTAATTACTGACAAAATCATTAAAGAACATGCGAGGAAAGCGAGGACTCTACACTTGTTTGTGGTTTCCTAGTTTCTCTAAATTCTCCACCACATCAATGGTTTTCTGACCATTTCAGAGTCATTCCGCTCTCGTCGCAGAGGGTCTGTTTTAATCCCTGACACACCCACTTAATCGTGAAAAGGAAACGAGAAGAAAATAGGTGTAAATTGGCTCCCCATGAACATACCCCTCCACAGACGATTAAAAAAGAAAGAAATAGAAGACACAGCTTGATGAGGTGTTGTGTTTTCTAAGAATTAGGTTTGTGACAGTCATCTCAATTTTCTCCGGTGTAAATGATACGTACCTTTACATCTTACGGGCAAAATGTCTGTTTTGTTGTGCTGTCAGCTCTAACATAATATGTTGTATAACAAGTTACATACATGTAGATGTATATCTTTATGTGGAGATAATAGTGCCCCTATTGTCTCAGTGCTTTTGCTATATGGGAATATAGAGAAAAAGAAGGGGGAATATTATCACCTTAACATACAAAGTAGTTGTTAATTGTTGTTTAGCCACTATTATACTCAATCTGTTATGTTCTTGAAATATATAATTCTTATGAATTCATACTTTTAGTGTGTTCTACCCTTTCTCTTTGTAGATTCCAGCATCAAGAAATACATGCAGCTATGTGATAAAGCCATGGTAAAGCAGGCAAAGGATGAGAAGACAAGATACAGAGGGATGTTTGACAAAATGGCCGCCCAAGGAGACCAATGACCCCATTCACACTGAAGAGATGTCTACTCTCCTAAATGTATCGGTGTGAAAGTCCACATCCATTTCTGCACCATTGGACTGTGACTCTGTGAGGCCATGTTCACACTTGTGTCAAGGAAGATAGATACAAATGTAATGACAGACATAAATTCTTGCCCTGTTCACATCATAATTTCGCCGCTGTTCCATAGTTGTGGTGTGAATGACCACATCCATTACTGCACCATAGCATTATGGAACCATGTTCAGGCAGTCGTCAAAGGAGAGCAAGATACATTCATAGAGGACATAATGTTTTGCCCTGTTTGCATTGTCATAATGTCTACTCTGCGTAGTCGTTTAGTGTGAAAGATCATTCACATTACTTCTCCAAGCCGTGGTACCAGGATAACATTGGCACCAGGCAAGAGAACAAGACTGGTATAATAATAAAGATCAAATGGACAGAAATTTGTTTAACCTAGTTTGTATTATTGTGTCTTCATTGGATTTTGTGTCTAAAAATCTGCTTTCGCACATTGAGTCTGGGATTATTTCAGGCATAGAAAGGCAAGAGACTCCAGATTATTTTTTTCAAAATACCTGACCTGTTTTACATGTGAATAATGGATTTGAATTGAATCTTAAGTGTTAATGCATCAATTAAATACAATTAAATAATACCTGCATGGATTCATAATGTTTTTGGCACATGTAACTCACAACTACATATGAGTGGCATGAGGGTTTTATATCCCTGTCATTTCCCTCTTCACATTGTTAATGCTAGCATGAAATTACTGGACAGATCATGGATGCAAATATGTTTGAGAGCATTTAGATTAAGATGTTCATGTTTGAAAAATCATACCGATATACTTTTCTCAATTGGTTATCTTTCCATTCAAACTAGCACGAAGAGAGAATGAATGTATACGTGATATTGAATATTTGAATAAAAAGTAAAAACCCATGCCTAACAAAACTTTCTTGATTAATTTAAGATGGATTGGTGTAAAACGTGCCATGAAATGTGCTTCATGTCAACATCAAAGAGACCTTTGGACTTAGTGACAGTTGTCAACATACCTGTAACAAAGAAGCTGACAAAACTTTTTTTTCAGAAAAGGGCAAAATGCAGAGAGAAGAGAGTCGAAAGTCTAAAAGACAGATACGGTATGAAAAATCACTGCCAATCAATTGGACCACCTGCGCACACATTGTGAATTCATCCTGGAAACATTTTTTTTACAATGAGTTGAGTGAATCACCATTTTCTGACAGAGACTGATAAACATTCAATATTTCTCTCACTGTTAGATGGTATTCCATCAAAATATACTATTATGAAAATTATTATTATGCCTTGGAAACATTTTAAATTATGATTATTTTGATTATTTGGTCCATGATTTTTCTGGTGTCATGCGTGTATTAATGTTTCCATTCCTCGTGGTATGTGCTTTATGTATGTCGTTCAAAGTGGAACATCACTTACCACTCGTTAGTTTGTTCAGTAGAGATGGGGGATGCAAAGTGGAAAAGGCATGCAATTTATGTCCTGCCAAAGGATATATCGGCCCCCTTTCAAATGAGCCAGGAACCACTGATCTTGACCCAATTTTGAGAAACAATATGGCATCTACATGAGAACTGATTTTGAATGTATACTTGCTCAAACAGCGATGCGCTGTGTTGGTCTAAGATGTTGGGTCTAGTATACCCACCCCCCCCCCCCCCCCCCCCAATGAGAGTTGAACACAGCCCCTAAAAATGTTTGCTTTGGAATGCAGTATTTACTCAGTTTTGAAAATCTCTTGGATGATATTGTTTCTTCATGTTCAACTCACAGATTCTGTTCATGTCTATAAATCTGAAAAATGCAAAATACCAAAAAAAAAAAGACATTGTAAGGATATTGTGTGTGCAAATAGATGAGATTATTCACTGTCTAAACAGATTATACTGTCCTTCTGTCCTAATTCAACTTTCAAAGCTCTTTGGTTGAAACAAACTTACTGTCAATGATTTAAGGCCGATTAGAGTTTTTTATTAAAGTATTTTTATAAAATAGTTTATCACCCTGGCCTAAACTGTGTATTACCTCAACCCCTCCCCCTCCCCTATACACCCATGCCCCCCCCCCATACATACCGTGTTCCTTCTCTCTCTCTCTCTCTCTCTCATTCATGCAAACTGCTAAAAGTAGTTCCCATTATCCTACTAAGCTGTCCCTGCCTCTCTTTCCTAAAAGATTATGACTTAATCCGTAATTATCACCCATTATCACCTATTGTTCATGATTTCCCATTTCCAGGTGAGAACCTTGTTTAGTTCACCCAAAGAAAGCATGGCTTTGATCAGGGATAAAGCTTGTATTTCCTAATCTGTTTTAATCCTGTCATTAATCTTATTCATGTCTGGTATTGGTGTTTATCCAAGGATGATGCTTAGTTTAATCAGGTTATACTACCTTGGTTAATCTTAAGCAGGATATTTTCAATATTGTAGCATTATAAAATGAGGTCTGTGGAAAAAAACATTAAAAACATTACAAGGTAATCTAGTGTTTAGGTATTGTTTGTTATACTGTGGCTTAGCATTTCATCCACCTAGTAAGATTGACCCCCCCCCCCTCCCCCATTATTCTTTCTCACATCACAGTATATCCATGGGTAAAAGATAGGCTTACATGATTTAATCTGGTATTGTACTTCAGTTAAGTTAAGCAGGATATTTCAAATATCTGTGCCAAACAGTCCAAGGTAAACTTTTGTTCGGGTAATATAATATACAGTGGTCTAGCATTTTATCCACCAAGTAAGATTGGTGCACCCCCCCCCTTGAAATATTAATGCACCTTCACACCAGGGCCCAAACAACATGGCTGATGTTATCTGTTACAATGTTTATAGATAATTTATGGAAGTCTTTTGGCAAAGGATTTCAAGGTACCGGTATATCTATTTGGTTTTTATTTCATCGGACAAACACACGGTGCTAAATGGATTGACTCAGTAGCGTATAATAGCGTGTAAGTTGACATTATATGTCGTGTTAATATTCCATCTTCAATGTTTGAAATATGATGCATAGGTGTCATATCAAATCTACCCTTGATGTTTGATATATGATATATAAGTTGTCAAGCTCAAATTCAAACAAAGTCCAAATATTTTTGCCCTTTTGGTAATTTAAATCTATGTTTCAAACAGTAACACAATTAAAACAAAATATTAGAATTCTGTCTGTTTATACAGCTAGAAGGACATTTAGCTTGTTTACTTTACTACAAAAATAATGCATTTGTGCCTCCAAACGAACATTTTGAGAAGGCAAAAATAAAAAAAGGAATAATATGGTTGTTTGTATGTCTCCAAAATTGATTTAGTCCCTTTCTGGTTCTCGGCAAAAAACTTACAGGATTTGTTTTCTGCCTCCTGTACTCAGGACATTCAAGATTAATGGTTAAATTTTATGATAACATTCAAAATGACATGCATAATATTAGTTGCATGACTCGACTGTAAATGATATAAAGTTGTGATCTTTATGAATGTAATCATTGTAATGTATTATAATGATCTATGTGTTTGTGAAATATGCATGATACCAATGTATCAGTTTGTTCTAATCGAACTGAAATATAAAGTGAATGTCTGTATTATGTCACATTTTCATTGTCCATTGTTGAGAATAAACCATCATAAACCAGATTATACCAATGTGTCATTTCTTAGCCAACACTCCTCACTTTATTTACATAAATCGTTCACATTTAGATAACATTATAAATTTCGTCGGCTGTGCGCAAGAAAGCCATAAGAGGTATGTATTGTCAAAGGCAGCAGCGGCCTTCATGAAAAGAAAAGTATGATGGCTTCTAGCTTCTTGCATAATATATTCAAATTTCTAAAATGAATAGCAGATTTTGAGCATGTTCATATTTGGTTATTTGAAGGATTATTTAAAAAAAATGAATTTTAGGAGGAAATGCACTCTCATCCGAAATTAACATGACTACATCAAGACTTTCTGAAGGAAAAGCTAAAGGACGCATTCAGTTCAATATTTGATTTGTCTTCTTGGTTTAAATTTTTTTTTTAAAGTTTGGTCACAATCTTGCCTAAGCCATTGTGATGGAATACTTTTAACCATTTCAATAATGAAACTAGTCGAATGTAGGACTAATTAAAACATATATATTTAACGATTGATTGCTGATCAGTAACAAAGTCCAGGTGAAATCACTTTGGATTTTCAAAATTGTACATACCGGGAAAAGTTGCACAGAGCATTTTAAAATGAGGTGTTTAAGTTCATCATTATTTCAACAATAAACTTTTTCATTCTAAATGTACTCTTAAAGTTATGTTTGCAAATATGTGCTTTCGGGACGCTCAAATATATAATTACAAGTTAAGTTTTTTGCAAACTTTTCAAAGTGAAGTTAAGAAAAAATGATATGGTTATCCACAATTTTGTTTTCTTATATTCTTCTCCCCCCCTCCCTCTCTCCCCTCTGCATCCACCTACTCCTCATCCAAATAAATAATATCAATGAAATCTTTGAAACCCATACATTTTCATCATCATATTCAATTCGAAATTTATTTAACGTTCATATTTTAGTATTATAACTGTTATTAATCATTTTATAACTACCACCGTTTTATTTGGTTTCATATACTGCCCAATTAACAAAACTTCTTTGAATAGCGCCCTCTGCCTTACTTGTACCGTTATAGATTTTCTTGTCTTCACCTCTATAGTACTGTTTGCATTTTTCATCTATGTTCAGATGAAGGCTATGCGACAAAAAAAAAAAAAATTCTGATAGGACTTATCAGCAAGTCCCATTACACTTTAACACAAAATTAAACAAATTGTATGTCTCCGCGTCCTTTTCAACTATATATATATTATTCCACTTCTGTATCAAGTAAAAATTATTTTTATCAAGTTCTTCGGCACCATGCATCGTTGCCGTCTTTCATGTTACGATGTTAACTTTTCCTTTACCTTCTTGTGAAAAGCTGATTGTTTTAAAGGAGTACTTGATATCTAAAAATCCTTTTTTGAGAGAGAGAGAGAGAGAGAGAGAGAGAGAGAGAGAGAGATTATAAACTTGTGTTTAATATACAATGACATCGATGAATCAAACAAAAATATTGGTCCATGACATGCAGACAAGTTTAGTACTTTAATATTTAATTATATCCATGCAGTGAAGTCAAGAATCATTCCTGATTTCCAATGTTTTCTCATTATGTAAAAACGATTGCATGATAAAGGATTATATATTTTCAGGGCTGGCAAAAACAATTCGGGGGAGGGAGGGGGGGGGGGGTGTCTTCACGATCAACGTCTAGAGATAACTTCTAAACTCGCAATTATGATGCCCTGTAGCTTTTGAGTTATCAGTGCCAATTTCGTTAGAAGAAGCTAATCTTCTTAGAAAATTGCTCATAAACAATAATGAATAATTATGTATGCTAAAAAAAAAGCAATAAAGCAACACAAAAAAAGACCCCCACAAAAGAAAAGAAAAGAAAGAAAAAAGAAAATCGGTTTGGGACATAATATCTCCCTTCTACAATATTAGAAAGGTGTTTTTCAGTGCTGGCAAAATAGTCATGTACATTTCGATTATCGATCAGTGAATTTTGTTTTCTTTTTTCCCTCTCGTTCTTTCATTTTCAGCCCTTTCCCCGGTCCTCTCCCGTGCGAAACTGATTTCTATATTTTAGCAATATTTTCAAAAGCGAGCATTGATCGTATATCCAACTATATCACTGATAGATCCGGTAAGGATTTTTCGGTCAAACTAACCATGGACGTTAGGTCCATGAACTAACCAAGGTCAAACATGGACAGAGGATTTTATACTGATCAAAACAAGGATAAACTCTTAATCAACATATTAAGCCGCAAATATTGAGCAAAATCGGTATTTAGTATATAGAGGTATATTGCAAAAAAAAAAAAAATGTATGATGCATTTATTACAATGCAGTATAGGCCTATAGGCCTATTCAATTTATGAACACGATGCAAAGGCTTTCGAGAAGTCAACTCAAGGACTTCTGATGTAAAATAATCTTGTTCTCATTACTGTTTTCTTATATTGTTCACACTTTTCAAAAGGTGGTGGATTGTCTTTGAATTCGTTGATTTCTCGAAAGTCTTTTTGTTAATGTAATATTTCATCCCCAGTATCATAAAAGGGCTATCACTATTATTGAAAACATAATTTATCTACATCTCCCGAGCGCTCTTACCCCCCCCCCCCCATCCCAACCGACGACCCCGCCCAAAAGTTAAAACCCGGTCCCAACCGGCCTCCTCGCCCAACAAAGACGATCGCTCTTTAAAAAAATTACTTTATGACTGCGAAGTTCTCCAACAATTACAGGTCTATTTCGTGACTTACCAAGTACATGAATAATCTTCTAATATGATTAAACTAATTCTTCAATTTCACGGTACAGTCTCGGGGAACACATACAATAATACGATTCGAAACAATCAATTTCGGAAGTTAGTTGCGGTTCGTGCATGCATTCACGTCAATCGGAAATACGGATATTTCAACTGTATAGACGGAATTTGGACATGAATTTAATTGATTGTACATTATCTTGAAAATTGCCCACTTAATTATTTCTAGCAACCCGAAATACCATGAAATTTAGCAGACTCCGCCTTATCCGGTTGTCGTCATATGTAATTTCCGCGGCCTAGCAACACCCGCTGACGTCACATGGCTGAAGACTAAAGAAGAAAAAAAAAAAAATCATTCATAAAATTGCACGGCGGCCGCGATTGCATCCATGTATGCATATCAGATAGCCGCGCTAAATTAATACAAAGCATCCTCTTTACGGAGCCGCGATAACGTGCTCCCGGTGCCCCCCCCCCACCCCCATTTTCTCCTTGTTTGCAATATTATGGCTGTAGGCCTACTATATACGTGTGAGGGGGGGGGGGGGGGGTGGGGGGTAATAAAATACAAAAAATAAAATAAATCACAATACACAAAACAGCAAATTCAAGTGATGGATACCAGATTCTTCTTTAGCGGGGGGGGGGGGGGGGGCATTTAAAGCCTCCCTCCCCACTTTTTGTTAGTTGTGCCTGGCGCACATAAATTATAAACGGCATCATAAATATTATGCTAGATTGGGTTTCGCGGCGGCCTGCGTTGGAGAGAGGGGGGGGGGGGGGGGGGGGGGATGTCTCCTATATAGCGCACCTTTCCCGATCCTTGGCTTCCCTTATACTTTAATAACGCATTTAATGATGCCGCACCTACATCGCCTATATGAATTACTTATAGGCCTATTCGTCTTATGATGATTAATTAATGAAGCTCGACTAAGTTGCAATTGTTGGGTATATAATATACAATGGCCTCCTAGAGTGTATTGTTGTTAATCGATTTGTTGGTTGGACTTTGGAATATCATTAAGCCCGGAATATATACATGCCTATTAGGCTATTACCGGATATATTCTAATAGTTTCTGCTGTCAGTTGGTCACAAAGCAAATTTGCAAAAATTGCTATATTTTTCAGACATAATTTATATGTTTACAATTTTAGATAACAAATATTTGCGTAATAATAATAAACTTACTGGGATAAAGATTTGTTTTAAATATGGGGAAGCCGAATATTAATTTATTGGTCTTTTGTCAATTCTTTTGTTTACTGATAAGCTAATCACATACACAGAGGAAATGGGAAATGGCCTATAGGCTATTGAGTGGCGGAAAACAAAAAGAACTTTTTGTTAAAACACCAATCGCTCATTGATTCGCGGATTATAACGCGTGTAATTAATCACAGCCGATTCGCAGGCAGGATCGCTCGCACTAATCTCATCACAGACAAGCGTTCTTATGAATGAATGAACACAATGACAGCGCGATATGGCTAGAACATAGGTGTTCGCCGCGACATATCGGAAAGCCGATACCTACAAGGCCAGAGAGAGGAAGTAAAATTTGCATATGAAATCGGTGCTGACATTGAAGTATATCACTCGCCGCTTGATTCATCCGCGGCAGGGGCAACATTTTTGTTCGGTGTTAGAATATGATTCTGTTTATCTTTCATTTCTCAAAGAGGCATTTAGGTAATAAAGACGAATGAATCTTTAATATAGACTCCACATGGATCTGAAATATTTCAAAATATACAGCCGGACTTATTTTATTATCGGCGCATGAAGGCTTGTGTTTGAGTGAGTGATTTGGCAGTCATTTCCTCTGAATCACCCGTTCATAATGTCGGTGCTATGCAGTCCACGAAGAGTGTGTACACATTTCGCATTTTATCGCCTCATATTGGATGAATAATGGATAATACACGGAGGTAACGAATTGTTTTGAATAAAGGAAGATGGAGGAGAGAGATACCCCACTGGATGAGTAAGTATTACTGATAGAATTTTGTAAAAATCTATGTAAGAACGACCCGATATGACTCTTGTGTGTGTGTGTGGAACTGGATGGTATTGATAGGATAGCTTAGCCCCGACTCGGGGCCCTGAGTGGGGTGAAACACGAGAATGCTCGATCATAACACGCCGCAAAAAGAGATGTTATTTAACTAGAACATTAAATGCCCTTTGTGATTTTTGCCCGTATTTCATTTTTCGATTTGCCTATTGTTCATTATCTATTGATTTTAATGTGTCGATGAAAACTTGACCGAGATTGACCATAATATTATAATTATGATCATCAAGTCTGCCGCTTCGCATGTTCGTTTTCAGCGGGCGCATGCATGCACCGACGTTCACATGCCAATGCATTGTTGCCATTGCCCCCATTGGGTTTTTATTTTACAAAATTTACAGGCAGGCGATACATCTCGTTTGGCTATCTGGCAGATAGTTTTTCTGTCTCTTTTATTTTGTGATGAAGGGTTGATAGTAAGAAGCATATGGAAAATATGAAGCCTCTACATCATTAATCAATGCATTTTATTTTCATAAGCATTCATTGGACATTGGTTAATTTTGTTATTTAATTAGGACCAATTTTGTGTGGCATTGCATTGGCATAAATGATGTTGATACTTGATAGTAAACTGTGATCACTCTAAATCACTTCTAATTTATTGTTCCTCCACTCCTTTAATACATGTAGTCTTTGATTTTCCTGGAAACCTTGAAAAGTCTTTTTATTGATCGAGATTCTAGATCTTGTCATTCGAAGAGGGATTAACATGTACTAACTAAAATAGAAAATGTAGATCTACAATGTAGATCTAGACCTAGACTAATATTAGTAACGAAAAGAAAACAAGAAGAAAAGGCTTTTTATTTACAGATCTATGAGAAATTGAGAACTTATATTCTTACTTGCCCTTCAAATGAAACATTCCACTGCCACAATGGGATGTCACTGTAAACTCAATCACCAATTCTTTGTACATATAACCAACAACTGCACCAACAACTGCAGTAATTTCTCCAAACTGGAGGAAGCCAAGCGTAGAAGAAGAAGAGGATATGTAATCACAATTGAAAATGGATCTACATGTTCATGTATGTTTAACTTATCTTGAGGGGATTATTTGGAAAGTCTGTAGTCTTAAAGATGAAGTTGAGTTCTGGTCATGCGATGGAATTGTGATAGAAACGGTGTGGAATCAACCAGAAAAAATTGATCATGTACATGTAGCATATACATGTAAGTATTTGTGTGTATTGCAAGGTTCTAGAATCATCAAAATGAAAAGAAATTTGGCCAAGTCTTGGTAAAGTTACAAACACTGTACACAGAAAGATGTATATGGGACTACACAAGCATGTGGCATAAAAATCTGTCCTGATTTTTACGATGTTACATAAAATATTTAGAATATGAAGGGATTTGAAGAGCCAAGCTTTTCAGGGAACATGTGTTATCTGATGTTCTTCCATACTTTGCATAATAACAATGATAACACTCACAGCTTATTTTTTCACCTCTTCCCAGAACTCAACCTTCTCTTTAAGACTTAAGAAGGCAAAATAGGTATAAAATTGTCATGGTTTGCTAATACACTAACACTATTTTGTGATTCAAACCTAAGGAATTTTGTAGAAAGCAGATCCCTCCCCCAAAATAATGATAACAAGATAGATAAAGCATGACATAAATACATGTTTAGACTCTTGGTAAAGACCCTAAATAGAAACTAATGACAAATCAGATTAGATCTATTGGTAGGTCTAAACAAAAAGTAATCATATAAAATTGTGTCAGAATACAATAGTTCTTAGGACCATGTTCATTGAAGTCGAGGTCAATCTTTTCGTAGTTTTGCAATTATGCACCATCTCAATATCTTGGATCCATTTTCTCCTAAATACTCTCATAGAAGAGTTTTGACTGGAGTTGGTTATCACAGAACCATTCAAATTTCTCTTATTTGTACATGTTCATAAAACATGTACAAGTGCCATAATGCTATAAATTGAAGTTCATGCCAAAGGACAAAACAGGATGGGAACTTTTGTTGTTCACCCATAGTATGATTACAGACTTACCAAGGTATGACATGGATGATGGATGTTATGCAGTTCAGTGCATTAGAAATATGTTAATAAACAATCTGTCAATATCTGAAATTAATACTGGTATTACGGTAGATATCAATTTCATACAGTACAGCATTAGAATTAGAAAGAGGCAATATACTGAGAAAATACTTTTCGTTTGCCTCTTCTTTTTTTACTCCAAAATTTAATACTAAGAGTATGCTACATTGTACATACATGTGTACATGTACGTGTATGTAGGTACCGTAGATATAAATGTATTTTAATGTTAAGGAAAAGTGGTAAACTTGCCTTCCTCGTGCATGCCCAAGGTAACAAAAATATTGTCATTTTAGAACCAGAAGGGCTACACGAGTTAACATCCATCGGCTCCAAACAGACAATATGCCAACAAACAAATGAAAATTACTCAAGTTCAAATTGTATTTTGCCGCTACAAGTACATGAACATGTAGGCCTTCATCATTGTCATCATAACACAAAGATTTGTGATCAACTGCAAAATGACAATGGCCAATCAAGATCATCACTTCATGGAAATTCATCCACATTTTGTTCAAAAGGTTGACCATTAATCAATCAGAATTGTCATTCCAAATTGCAGTTGTTCGGAAGTCTTTGTGTTGGGGGCCCTGCCCTAGTATGTCACATTCATTCATTGAGTTCACAGTACTACTACAAGTAAAATTCTTTCTTGTTATACATGTAAACATTTATGTACACTGTAGTTATTTAGACATTGTGACCAAGAAGGTGACTAAAAAGGGGACCTTTATATTCCATGCAGTCTATGTTTCATTCAACCATTTCAACGTTCAAAGAAGAAAAAACAGCACCTTCCATGATGTAAACAGTCACTACATACAGACAGTACATGCCACAAACACCATGTTATTATTTTTGTTAATTGGCAGGTGCTTACATCCTACTTGATATCATAAAATACATGTATTTCTTTTTTCTAATTTGTGTTATATGTATGTTACCACTCTTGTGTTTATTTCTGTTTTTATACATAAAATAGCATGTGGTTCTGGAAATGATAAATTAATAATAAGAAATTCAGAAAATAATTCTTGTCATGTTAGTGAGTAATTGACCAAATTGTATTTTTATTTTCACATTTGACACCAGTGACCAGTCACACCATATCAGTTCAATGTAAACAACTTCTGAGCATGTAATTTACTGGTACATTTGAAAAATTACCATTGACTAGATACTTAGTGTGACAAAGTCTGCTTTATTTTATATATTGTAAAAAAAAAGCATCAACAACAAACTTAATTAGACATCAAAGTATAGGGCCAATGTGTGTTCTTAATTTTTATTCAGTTGTCACCTTTGTAGATTGTAGAAAACGATGTAAACAACAAACAAAAAGCAACATGCAGCAGCGTTCAGGTGTACATTACTATGCAATGTACATGTACATGCAGAGACTGTATGCCGGAGTGTTGTACTGCCATTGACAATCTGACTGGTTCACTGACTTTCCAGTGTGGCACACAGCCTGTGTGCTCACTGGGTAATGAGACAGAACGTTGATATTTGATAAGCCGGTCACAATGTGGAAGTTTTCCTGCTGATGTTGGGAATGCAGATGGAGATGAGACTGCAGCGGAAGGAATTGATATTGCTTGCTCTGAAGGAATCTGTAAGCTATCACTGTGAGATACCCCCTGCTTTGTAGACAGAAGGAGTTTGGGTTACACTCAATGTATACTGTAGCCACAGTGTATTGATGTGTATATTATGTATCATACATTGTAAGTGTCCTGTTCAATCTAAATGCCATATGACATGATTATTTATCATCATAACTATAAATATTATTATGGTGCAGATGTACATGTACATGTACCTTATTATTTAGATTGAATAAGCAACTGAAATCCTGTCCTTCTAAAATCTACAATGTTATTTTGGGATTCCATGTTAGTGTTGTTACATGTACTGTACATGTACATACATCAGTGTTAATATATTTATAAGGATACAATGGTTTAGCAATGTACTTTTTGAATTGTCTTTTTCATTCTTGGATGGTAAAGCAAGTGAATAGAATATACAACTGTACTGTGCTTTACATCTTTAACAGACCACAGAGGTTACTCGTTTTTATTTTGTTAATAATTCATACATGTACATGTATGAAATGTACTGTATCTATTCAAGGAGTACCGGTAACATATTTGAAAGCCATTTTTACTTAATTTTTGAAAGAGGTAATTTTGTCAGATGCTATTAAAACTAGCAAGTACATTTGTATATTACAGTGTACATGTACATTCAGTGATGCACAAGTTCTGAATGTTAAATGCTAGCCATTTTTTTTGGTTATACTTTGCCTTTACCTACTTCTAAATTGACTTTTTGAAAACAATGTAAATATGTAGGATTTAGGTGAATTGTTTCAAATTTCAATGACATGCACGCTTAATGTACATGTAGTGTTGCCTACACTGTACATTTAGTCATTTACATTCATGTATGGAGACACTCTCATGTATATTACCGGTACTGAACATGTGTATCATAGCATGCCATGATGCAGAGTTCAGGTTTTTGCTCATTTGTAATTTTGTATGACCATGTATGGAGACACTCTCATGTATATTACCGGTACTGAACATGTGTATCATACTGTAGCATGCCATGATGCAGAGTTCAGGTTTTTGCTCATTTGTATGACCACAAATTTGGAGGTTACCGAGCCCTCTGGTCCCACCCCATTGGGGCATGATACTAGATAATGTACTGGTTGGGATGCTTTTTAGGCTCATCTTTGCTTCTCTTATTGGAAGATTTTATTGCATTTGCATAAACAGACCAGCATGTTGAAAGGGAATAAAGGGACACTTATTTAGGACGTACTGTACATGTTAATGGACAAGTTCAAGTGTGTGTGTGTGTGTGTTTGTCTTTATACATGGGTCATAGTAATCATAAAGAAGTTAACATATTTTTGTTCTTTGTATATGTCATGTACATGTACTATATATATCCAAGGTAACGAAGGTACAGTGTAACAGTATCTTGGACTGATAGCTGTGTGTGAATGTGCTCTACATGGAGTTGAGAATTATTGAGCGAGAGACATTGCATATAATGTAAAGTGTATGTAGGAATTTTGCATGATGTGTGTGATTATGAATACATGCCTTGTTGCAGGTGTTGTACCGGTAATTGTAGATTTTTAAATAATTCAATTTTGTTTTTATGGCCTATGTTTTTACATGTAAGCATCTAATTAAGTCCATCTGATTCTTTGTTTTCTTTCGGCATCCCCAATTTCCCATCAACCATTTACTTACCTTTTACTGAACTATTTAATTTTTTATTTTCTTGTGTAGAAAATCCTGCCTGACCAAAGTCCGCGCTCAGGTAATGACGCGGGAAGATGGCGGGTGGGTTCCAGTTGGTGGTGGAGGGGTCAGTATCGTAGGAATCTACAGACTGACCAAAGAAGACTGCAGAGTGGAATATGTAGTCGTGGGAACAACAATGGAAGACAACACAGTAAGTATTGTTCATCTAAAGCCTAAAGGAGCAGTGAATATTGTACATGTTATCTATTTTTGAACATGTACAATGTACCTGTACATGTAATACCGTTATGCTTCTGGTACGACAATCAGTTTTTATACATATACATACAATGTAAGTACACATGTACAGTACATGGATGCCTTACTGTAGGCCTAGAGGCACATACAGTACATGTACATGTGTATATTTGGTAAACTGCATCTTCTGCTGTACAAGTTGAGTATAATGAAGGAGTTAGACCTCAACGTGATAAGCTGGGTATTGTAATTTAATACAAGTGTAGTATAAAACTTCTGCTCTTGATGTGGCGTTTAGGCTGACCCTTACCTCAACCTCATTTTGATGAAAATGCATGACTTTTGATGGAGTTATCACATTTTTTGCTTCTACTACATGTAGGTAATTTATTACAAAACTTTGGGCAGCTTTATTTACCTCTGAAATTACATTAGAAGATTTCATCACCTTCCCTCAGCAGCAACATTACAAAATGTACATGTACATATGGTGTACATGGATGTAAATACACTACCTGTACATTGTATATCAATGCAGAATTTTCTAGTGAAGTGTGTTCATGTACACATGTATTTAGCTTTTTTTAGGCAGTTTTCACCAGACGGTTACATCATGGTGACTGAATCTTGCCCTTTCACGTAGTGACATGCATTTTGTAGTACTTACACTACAGTAGGCCTACTGATTTCTTTCCTTCAAGATAATATAAGAAATTGTGCAATCATTGGGTAAATACCAGGAGTGGAAAAGGTCAATACTAAAAAAAAAAAATGCAAGTCCTTCATGTCTACACTGGAGACTAGACAGGTTAACCTTTCAAAAATATGGTCCATTACTAACGTACATGTAGTCTTTCTCAGCTACATGTATAGCGTACATGTATAGTGCCTCCCCTTTAACTTTACCTCCCAAAAATCTACATGTGAAAGAGGGGTTGATTCAATGATTTATTTTCCATACCGGTGCACTCCTCCTCCAGCTCCAGCAAGCACTCTATTGCAATGCACACAATCTGCTCGATGGAAGTTGTAAACTGTATCTAGAGTAGGGGATCAAAAGTCCACCCAATGTAAACACGGCCACATCCAGGTTGTGTTTGCACAAAGATTATTAATGTCTCTAGGCAGGAAGTTGGTACTCAGTGTAAACCATTAAATTTTTCAAATAAGTAAAGTAAACTCAATTCCGTACTTGAGATAGCAGAACAAAGACAAAACACAGTTCTCCTTTGATTTATTTTTGAGCAATAGTTGTTTGAGCAAATTTATGTGTCATCAAAGGTAGGGGTTCACAGTAACATGCAAGCACATGATTGAATACCAGTTGTAATACATCATACATGTATTTGATTTAATAATAACATTCCACTTTTATATAGCGCTTAATACAAATGTCTCTAAGTGCTTGTGTGTCAATTCTTGTCTTTAATTTTATCATTATTTTTTTTTTATCTCCTGGTGATTTCGTGTTTATTTCTGGATTTTTCATGTATTAAGACTAGAGGAATATAGAGTGTCTCAAAGAAAGAAAAAAACTAAATGAGCTTTGAATAATAATCAAACTGTTTCAAGTATTTCCCATTAATATGGAACAAATTCATATTCCATGACACTAAATTACACTACATGTGATGTTTGCATGACGTGTGCTATTTAAATGCATACTGGCTCAAGTTGCAAGTACCCATGGAGCAGTAATTAAATTGTCCATTACCAAATACCAAGCAGTCTCAGCCAATGGGATATATCTGATTAGCTGTATGGCCTTGCGGGTAGTCCCCAATAATTTGCCACAATATTGGTTTGGTAGTACTTTAACATGAACAAATGTATAAGATAGCTAATAAATGTTTGACCGCCTCAAACCAATTATCATGAGAGTTAATTTACATAAATCTCTGTGCAGCGGCATGTGTATCTACAGTGTACTGTACATGTTCCTGATTTGCATTGTATTTAGTTGGTTGTTGAAAATGCAAAAATAGGCACATTTATATGTACCGGTATGCCCAGTTTTGCATTGCTACGTTTGCATAACAACCAATAATTTTATTTTTTATTTTTTCCTGTGAAACAGAGGGTGCTTGAATTCAATTTGCGAAAAGGTGTTCAATACTACAGAGGCAGTCATCTCTTCCACCATTGGAGGACTCCGGATGAAAAGAAATGTGGCCTAACCTTCTATGGCCCGGCTGATGCCAGGGCCTTTGAGAGGGGGTTTGGGCGAGCAGTTACGGAGTTGCAACTTGAAGGTAAGGACTTATGCAATAATCTTTTCGTAAACCATTTGCATCATTAACCAAACGTGTAGCAGTGTGAGCATAATGTGGGTATTCAAGAACAAAACAAAATCTTTGGAAAGCACTGGATCAAGAAATTAACAAATATAACGGTACAGACAAGTTATATTACCGTATTTGCCGGCGTGTTACCTTGATTTTGTATACCCGGTATCATGCAATGCATGCATCCACATTTGCATTGTAAAGCCTAAAAGTTGGTACAGGATATTATGGAGGCCTACTTGTAACTCACATACATAAAGCTCACTGTATAATTTCACTGTATAATTCCACTGAATAATGCAGACAGACAGACACATAATACACACTTATCAGTATTTTCAGGATGTACAGCAGTAGTGCGTAGTCATTTTGTCATCCTGCTCAGCATGGCAGTCAATTTACAATTACGCATTCCCTGACCTAATCACCGAATCCCTGTGGAAGGAAGTGTCAATTATTGCTTTCTATCATCTGAAAGGATGGTATTCATTTTGCTACTTACACAGTGTACTACATGTGTACTGCATATATACTATTCTATACTATTTTATGCCCAGTCATTTGTACTACGGTTCGATGAGTTGCATCTACATGTACATGTACCGTACATGTACACGTTCAGTACTTTACTTTTATGTCTTTCAATCAATAAAAAATTGTCATATTTTAACTGAAAAAAGAGCATCACACAGGATAGAATAATTATCATCCTTAAAGATCAGATGTTGACAAGAAATTAAGCTAGAGGTTTTCATAATTTCATTGTGTGATATTTCTTTGAATTAATGGTTGATTAAAAAAAAAAAATTCATGTAAGAAACATGTGTACCTGTATAAAAAAATCAACTCTACATAGTTGCTTAGTGAATGTTCTCCCACAAAGAGCTAGCCTTTAGGACGGAAGCTCTAGTTTTGAGTAATATAGGAATTGTTGTCTTCCAGAAAGTAATCCAAGTGAAAACAGAGTTGATTTACATGTACAAGTTTAGGAACTCCACAGACTCTTGTGAATGATGTCAGTCGATCACTTGGGGATTATCTTTCCCCTTGCCAATTTTCACTTCCTAAACTTGAGGCCAGACTAAGGCATATCATCCCCTCGTTGCCAGAGCGTTTCCTGTACTTTTGCAAACCATCCTGTAGTCAGATCTTGTCATGTTGCTGCGGCAGAGCCCTTTCTCCCTGCTAGCTCGGCTGGCTGGCTGTACATGTAGCATATGCCATGGCCATGCTCTCACTTCCCCCCTCCCCTTTCTCTCACTCTAGTCTAGTACAGAAGTTTGACTCAATTCTCAAGAGAGGAATCATTTAATCAACGAGAGTTTGTACTGAAGGCCCATGTATGCACTGACTGTGTTCATTTCAATTTACATTCAAAGTCAGTGGGTTTGTTCCTAAAGTTGGAGAAATTGCTAATTGGAATAGCAGCAGGGTTGTTTCTGTTTTTGTTTTCGTTATTCTAATGCCACAATGTGGTAATAGTATTTGATGGTAGTAGAGCTTAAAAGTAGATGTGGAACATACTGGTACACTACCGGTATGCCAACAAAATTATTCCTGGTACAAGATCATATATGTTTTAGGATATACTAACAATATGTAAACGGACATCCTCTTCAACATTAATTAATTCCCCCTTCAATTAAAGGGTTCAAATGAATGAGCAATATCAATTCAAATTGTGATGGGATCATACTCTATTTTGTTCTCTGGAGGCTTACAGTACATCTATAGTGTATGGCTACATGTACATGGCTAGTCTGCTTCATGCACAGTACCTAATAGTCATTCTAATACACTGCTGGCTTTGTACATGTATGTCTGGCCGGTGTGCAGTCTACCCTAGTGGAAATTGGTGCCCTCTTCATGTAACAAAGAACAGGAAGCACTGTGGGTTGAACTGTTAAGCTGGCCTTTTGTATTGAATTGAATACAGGGCTACTGGCATTCTTAAAGAATGGGTTTGCCAAATCACTCTAGAGGAAATTCACACAAAACCTCCCTTTGCCGAAAACACTTGTGGTACCCATATTGTCGCACAGTCTTTTGTCAATTATTGAAGCCACCAATGAGGTGATTCGCTCCAGTTGTTTTTAAATTGCATTCGATTTGAGCTGGTGGTTCAAAGTGTATAGTGCTTCCATATGTTTATCACTTTAGCAATTCGTGACAGATACCGAGAGGAAGCTTTCTGTTATAAACAGGAAAGCATGACTGGTTAAGAGCCATTAAAGCATGTCTTGTGGAGAGGGGAGAGAAAGAGAGAAAGAGAAGAAAAGAAGAAGAGAAGAAGAAAAAAAAATGGCTAGAAAATTATAGGACTGTGGGAAAGGTGAAAAAGATTCAATTTAAGAGCAGGAGAGAGAGGGAGAGTACTAGAAAGAAACAAGAGAAAGATGCTGTTTGAATAAAGGTTCTCTGGTGTCCTAAAAAAGTGGAACAGATCCAGAACTTATCGATGTACTGTACAAGTGTACATATTTTTGTGTAGAACTACATTTATAAAACAATGTAGGGAAGGCCGTTTTATTTAGGTGCATGCTTACATGGACTTGTTTTGGAATGTTGCAAATTTCATGTGCAGTATCGGCATATTTGTTTATTAATTATTTATATGATTATGTACAGTGTACTAAATGACTTCATGAAATTTTGATGCTGGTAGAAACAAAGTAGATAAAAAGCCTTCATTTCGTGTATTGAAAAAACATGCAAATTGATGGGTCTAGTATAGTTTAGTAGGATCAGAAACATGTCGCAAGGTTATGTGAACATTTCTATATTTTGTGATGCTTATTTGCTTACATACTAGTCGTTCCAAATGCATTGGTGTAACTATAAAGCTTTACTGATTTGTATACATGTATATCAGTGTCAGTGTTGAGAACTGTACATTCAGACCATTAGATGCACCCAACAGAAGTTTGTCGATATAAGTGACTCAAATTAGAGACAGTTGGTATCACCATGTCATGAGTCTGGAAGGGCATTCCTTTGTGGAACAGGAAAGGTTGTACTAACCGGGACAAACAGTTTACTTGTTCTCGATTGGGATGTTTTAGGAATTGACCTGTATTCTACGTGCAGTCCGGTTGCTCCCATCCAGAAGCAAACGAACATCAGAGCTAGCTAGCTTCATGGGAGTTTATACAGAGCTTTAAAGCAGGCCTTTATATTATTAGGCATGCATGCATGCAAGCACTCTCTGTGGCTGCATGTGTACTGCGGACACATACATGTACCCTACATTGTAGATGTGGCAAGGCTAGGCTGCAAACAGGGCACACACAAGCAATACACACAGGTACATGTATTATGGGTTGGTAAGCTCCTCAAACGTTCAGTGCCCTTCTTCCGAAGCACCTTTTTTCTCCACTGATATACTTGCTTGAAGCCTACAATACACATATAAATGGGGATGCTGCAGACCAACGATATGTTTAGGTCTAAGATTTAAATAGGAAATGAAATTAGGTCATCGTGGTGAGTGATAAGGATTTATTGTGTGTTCTATTGATACATAATATGAGACACTTACATGTATATGATAGGCCTGCAGCCTTAAAAAGGTTCACCTTGCAGTATTGCAGATCTACCATCATTTCTTCACTTGCTCTAGTTTGGTTATGCACATGTACATGTATTTACTGTACATGTACCGGTACATTTAGGCCTATTCCTCACAACGTTAGATGTAGGACTGTATTCCGGGCTCAACACTATAAACAGGCACCACCCAAAACACATGGGCACCCAGAACACATGAGCACCCAAAATCCCAAAAGCTCTTGCATACAGACTTTAAGATTTTGAATCCAGACCTCCTTCTTTCCGTGTGGAGCCCTGCTGTATCTTTCTGTATCTTTCAATTGCTAGTGCTACCAGTAAGGAATAAGACAATATTTTTATTTATTTTTTAAGTGAGTTACATGTATACAGTATGTATGTAGCCATGACTGAAATATACATGTAGGGCTACTTACAAGTTTTGAAGCAAATTATTGGACACATGTTGTAGCAGTGATGCTCATGTGGGTGGTTATCAAACTATCTATGTTGTATATCAAACGGGTTGGCAAAAATCATTGTCAGGTAAAATAAATTCCTCCTTATAACAGTTCCCCATGCCTTTACCACAAATATTGTAGGCCTATATTTGTGGAATATGCCATTTCAAACAAGCTGCGTTGATGCTGACAGACTATGCTCAGCCAGCCAATAAAACTCTAGAACAGGATGCATCAGGCCAACATGGGTCACAGGTCAAATGCAAAGATTGTCAAAGGCTTCCAGTTCACCGCTGGGGCCAGGATTGTTATGCCAGAGCTCAGGGATCATCTTAGAAAGATGAAGAGGGGAGGATAAACCCTTTTTTGCACTATCAGTATCTATCGTTTCTAAGAGTTGGATTTAATTTTAGGTAATGCAAGAAGAAGTGTTACCTTTTCAGAGTTCTTCAGTTTTTTTATATTGTGAATTGAAGGAAGCTACCCGGTACTTGGAATATGTTCATGCATTTTTTGTTTTACTGTAGGAATGCCAGCAGAGTAAGCAGTCCTGTTTACACACAAAATATCATGTTTACTCACTCTTTCTTAGGCTTAGGTTACCTACATGTATGTTGTCAAAATAATACAGTATTGACAAGAATAGAAAGAGAAGAGAGACGATTCAGTTCTTTTCCTTTTTGTTTAGAAGAAGTCAATTGTTTTGTTTTAATAATTACATATCCTTACAAAGTACATGTTCAAATGTAAGAAATTACATTTTTTGCTACCGGTATTTTAATTTTAATTCCTCAGACATTGTAGTGATGAAACGGTACTAGGAGTTCAGCCACGTATGGATTTGTTCCTCGAGTTGCACACCTGGCCATGCATGAATCTTGAATGAAGTCTATAAATACCCTTCCACTTATTGTTCCATACCTACCTACCCAGCCCCCACCCTATTCATTGTGCTCCCCAGCAGCTTCAAGCATTGAATGTTGTGTACCCGTAAACCTCACATTAGAATCAAGGGGACGCTGTCTTTCTATAGATTGTAATGGGCCTGTCACCGAGACTTGGGCTTTGTATTACATAGAGGTGAACACAAAAGTTAAACATGTTTATGAGTTGAGGGCTGCCCTTATTTGTGTGATTCCTGTTTGTTCTGCTCATACTGCAATTGTGTACAGTAGTCCTCGGGTAATCAAAATGACTTTTGTTTGCCATGTTTTTCTGTCCTTTCATTGTATTGCGAATTTTGGGATGTGTTATTTGGGAAACCTTACATTTAATGATTTTAAAGCCATAGAAATACTCTGGAAGCATTTGAGGAATGTGAAAGATGTTAAATAGACTGACTCTAGAGAATATTGATGTAATCAAGATGTGGTATTGTCCCCCTCTGTCACAGGAGAATGACGTTTCAATCATGGCCTAAAGAAAAGATAATGTGCATCTCAAACAGTGTCGCAGTGTAGAAAAAGGCTTATTTGTAATTACTGCACAGTATTATCTGTCTGAATTCCATCTAAGAAATAGTAATCATAGACTGAGCTCTATAAACATAGCTTTTTGGTTTCTTGCAAACTTACAAAATTATCTTACATGTATCTCCCTCTGTCTTTTGAAAAAAGCTCTCTTATCTTTTGTCCTCTTTCGTTTGACCCATTCCTTTGAGACAAATTTCAGGGAACAAAATTTAGGCAATGTTATTTTTTCAAAAATTACAGTAAATGAAAATTTCTAATGCAAATGAGGGATCCCATAATCACATTGTTAATAAACTTTTGAATGGAAATCGAATCAACTCTTGAAATAGTAATGATTAAAAAAAGGAAGCCTTTCGAGCTTGTCTTTCCCTGAAGTGGTATTCAGTCACACCCTTGCTGTACATGCAGTAGCAAGCATGCAGTGATATAGTAGTTGGCTAATTCAAGGCTTAAAATATGTCTGCAAGATGATGAGAGGATTTTGAGGCTGGCAAGCAAGAGCAGGCCGTAATGGTAATTGTGTTAATCTACTTGTAAGTCAATCAAGGCGGGAGGTAGCTTCTGCAGCTACATTTTGTACATGTATGAAAGTTGACTGGGGGGAAGTAAGCCGGAGATCACTGGCTTTTAGCCAAGGCTCACAAATTAGATGCTCAAATTGATTTTGGATATATTCCTGTGCTTCCCAATCAAACCTTGGGCAGGACCTTCCTGTCGCATGAAAAATTTGTTCGTCGAGTTCCGAGCGTACGCTGCTTGTCAAAATTAAGCGGGCTCGCATACATTATTGCTCTTATCTTCAAATTATGCACTGCCAAATATATGCATGTATTATGTTTAGGAGCACTCTCTCTACTACATGTAGGTCTACCATTCGCCATATGCAAAAAAATATATCAACATTCTTACTAGTTTATAGTACAGGACATGGGTATCCATGTTTTTTTTATAGGCTTAAATGTAGATGAACATGTGCAATATACATACCCATGGAGGCCCTACAATACACATGTACATGTATGTATTGAAAACAATATATTCTAAAGTGCGTATCATCTTCAAATTGCATTGAAAAAAAATTAAGAACATAAAATACTTCATTCAAAATGTGTCTCTTACAATCTACATTGGGTCATTATGATTCTTGCCTATCTCTACAAAGAATTTAATTTGTTTTGGTAAGATAAGTATACAAATGCCAAACAATGTAGTTTCTTAATAAATTAAAGATTATGAATCGATAACGACTGTGGTTTATGCAGCCATGTCTACACTTTAGCCCCTCTGACAGATTTTAAAGCAAAATCTTTTGACAGTGTGTATACAGAAGCATGTACTAAAGTAATGGGCTGTATAACAGGATCTGACATCTCATCACTTTCTAAAGTCATATTTTCCTCCTTGACTGATTCTGGAAGGGAAGAGAGGGCTTGGCATGGTTCTAGACTGCTGATTTTCATCCGAGTGGCTGCGTATCTGTGGCAAGATTCATAGCGAGTGGGAGTCTCACTACCGTTATGTATTAGGAAAAAACAAGTCCAGTATTTTTTATCTATTGGGGGAGCCAACTGGACAAGGTTTGGCCTTTAAAAAAACACTTTACATTGCTATCGATATTAGACAGTTGATTTTAAAGGATTCAACCGGGTAATTTCATGTGGATTAAAGATTTTTTTTGTCTGACACAGTAGTTCTATACATGTAGATTCAAATTGGAGAACATTTATGAAGCATATATTGAATACACATGCAGTAAATTGTATGAAAAATGTACTACTGTAGGCCTTCATTCACATGTACCAAGAACAACAAGACTGCATGTACATGTAGGTGTACATGTATGTACAGTACTTGAAGGAGTTCACATGTTTGTAACTTTGTACATGTACATCGTATTAGATGCTCATGTAGATGTGTATAATGTACACGCAGTGACAGTCTACATTCCAGTAGGTCTGCAATGTGATATCCAGAGACAGGAGATAACTAACTCCGTGGAAGAAGAACCCTCCTCTTGTCTCTCTCTCACTCTCCTCCCCATGATCATCTGACAGTTCAGACATATTTGTTTAGGTCAGAATCGGAAGTTATGAATACTGTGGGGCCATTATGGTGGCGGTGTTTTCTTTGCTCCCCGGAGGATATCCCATAAATCAGTTGAACTTTCATCATCGGGGAGATGGGTTGGTTGGTTGGTTGCTCCCTTCTCCTGGAATGCCAATATCACGGTCATGGGTGTTCCATCTATCCGCTGATGCTAGCTGTGCCTGCCTGGTACACACACACACACAGACACACACACATCTAGACACAGATGTAGATTACAAGTAGAGCTAGCAAACCTTGACATGCTTCTAACATTCATCAGTGAGTGGATTGTGGTTTATAGACTTCTATGAATGCACACATGGGAAGGAAGACAGGTGGAGTGTCGCTTGACTGGCAGGAGGAAGTGACGTGGTGGGATACATTTGACTTCTTTTGTATCCTCCTCGTACAGTTACATACTGATTTATGTGTACAGTTAAAGTCTGTGGTGATTTCCCAATCTTTCTAGTAAATTCTTCTAACTTAAGAATTCAAACATTTAGGGGGAAACTATCAGTGTATTTCCACAAACCACAATATTATAATGTCAACTGCAAGACATTACTGTAATTTTGAATCTACTAGTACTACTTGTACATGTAAGTGTTACTAAAAACTTCTTGTCCATGTATCATACAGCGCACAAGTCCTGATCTATAATGTAGTTATAAGACAAAGGAATTTTGATTGGAATTTAATAGCACTGTACAAACTGGGGTTGGGTTTTTTCCTAGTAACCATAGACCAACCAACTACATGTACACATAGACCTTTTGTTACAGGGAAAAACCACAACTCGTTGCTTGACTTGGTCAATCGAAATTCCATATGAGGTGAACCACAGAAAGTTGCGTAATAATGATTAAATCCTAAACTATGCCCTCTTATGACAAAAATCGAGGAAGTAATTTGATTTATTAATAATAATAATGATAATAAAACGGTGCCGTCCTTTTACTTCATGTAAAAAAAAGTAATACAAATATACATGTACATGCATTTACATTTGACTGCTTGTTCGATAGGGGTTGTACAGTGTACATGCACTGTACATATTTATGTACACCAACAGGTTTACGATGATAATGTTACACGAACATGTATGTGTTTGAATCATTATTCAAACATTATTCAATCTATTATTCTTCTTTGTTTTTTGTGCAGGTTCTTCCAGCGAGTCATCATATGGTCTGGATGACAGCGATGAGGATGTTTCTGTAAGTATAAATACATGTTCTGTAATTAAAGTCACTTCCCAAATAGGACTGTCTGATTGTCTCTATGTATTGTCATTAATATGAGCTTTGTATTTAATTTATACCGGTACTTGAGATGTTGTGTTATACTTGTATCTGTCAAAGGTTATAATTCATCTTCACCATCTTTAAAGAGTAAAGATGCATGACATCCTGAAATCATATTTAGAAATGTGATGTTATCTTCCTTTCCATCAATTATAACTTAAAATAATTGAAATTGTATTGTTGCAGTTTTATTATCATTATATGTTGTATTTAAAATTATAAAAAAATATGAATGGTGTGATAAAAAGCAATTTATTTCAAAAGAAGTAATATATATTTTTCTTCTTTCTGTATCGATTTTGTTTGCAGCGGTGTGTGGATCCATTGCTATCGCGTGATTGTGTTTTCCATGACTATCAGAACACCCCAAGTACATGTGTTGGACCTAAAGATGGAGGAGGTAAACTCCTCAAGGACATCCTTACACAGCCAGCCAATAAGGACTACACGTGTATATCAGGATATACGTATCCTCATAACAATCAGGGACACCTACACATGGTGCACTATGTGACGCGGAAAAGGGACGATCGGAGACCGCTGCACAACATGAAATATGCACACGAAGGATCATGGGTAAAAACAGCCACAGAGTGGCATCCGATAAGAAAGGACTTATCACAGGATCATTTCAAAGACTCATATGTGAAGATTGTTAAAAAGCCACAAAGTATTCATGAATACAGCTACCCCACAATACCACCCAGTCGGGAGATGGACGACCTCAAGAAGCCACCTACCTTCCCCAAAGTGGTGACCACGCAACCCCCGCCATCACCGCCCAAGAAACTCATGCAGAAAATGAACAAATATACAGAGCCCGCGCAATGTCTACACTGCAGTCAATACTTTGACCCGGAACGCAGCAGGAAAGGGGACTGTCCAGAAGCCCCCGATGAAGCTTCCTACTGCATCAATTTCTGTACATGTCTTTGTGCGGCACAGTGTATGTTATATCATTGTATGTCAAACTCAGAGGGGGATTTCCCATCTCCTTGTTCTTGTGACACCAACGAGAGTCAGTTCTGTCGGAGATGGTTTGGGCTTGCTGCGTTATCGTTTATCGTGCCCTGCTTATGGTGCTATCCTCCTCTCAAATGCTGCCACTGGCTTGGCACAAAGTGTGGTTGCTGCGGCGGCAGACACAAAGCGAAGTGACTTTGGCACTGATCCAGAGAGGACAAAAACTTGTATGCCACAATGCTGCCATGTGTTTTACTGTAACTGGACTGCAGTGAAAACCAGAAATGCATACATGCCATTGAGATGAGGGATGTACATGCCAACAGGAGATATAGTGTTTGTTTTTCATCAAACATGTCTTCAGCTGTGAAAGACAATCTGTAAAGCATCACATATCTACGTAAACCATTGACATTATATATATTTCATCTAAGTGATATACTTTTAATTGTAAACATGAGAATATCAATATTTTTATATTTTTATCCAAATTATTATGTACCTTGTGATTTTATTTTTTTGAATGTTGGTGAGTCTAGTTGATAACAAAAGAAGAATCTTTCAATGAATGCGTTCAACCTTCCGGATGGGCCGTAGATATGAGTGTCTTTCACAGCTGACTATCAGCTTGTTTAGGACAAGAAGTTTTACACAGATGGATGTTGTTTTCAGGTATTTTTACGAAATGGAAAAAATTTGGGAGAAGATTCTTTTAAAGGGTTTGGAACAATGGTTTACGCTCATTGAATAGGGAAGGTATGTTGAACAACAACCGAGAGATGTTGTACGCATGCTCTCTGATGATGGATGTCTGAATGCGTGGGTGTCTGTGTGTGTGCGTATGCTTGCAGGGATTTGAGAGTAATTATCTGTTCTTGACTGAATGTACTAATCATTGGGGATATCTCCATTCTCCATTTATTGAAGATGTATATGCAAATGCATTGATGAGGGTTTTAAAAGACAGCGTATTATGTTTTAAAAAAGAGAAGAAAAAAATGACAAAAAAATTGAGTGGTGTTGACCTTGCCAATAGTAATGTTATATTGATTGGCATTCCTCACTGCTATAACAGTACTTCATGTTAACCATACAAGTAATGGTTTTATGTGCTCCTCACTAGAGTTAGCTCCCAGTCTCTTATTACAATCACACAGTGACAGTGTGTAGATAGTGAAACTAAATGTTCTTTTCATCCCTTGTAGAAAGAACAGTATGAATATTTCTTTGAAATCGAGTCCATGATCCTTCACTAATCCTCCAAAAACGTTTTGTACGTATGTAATTGAAATCATTCACTTGTGAAAGAAAAGAATGATGAATTAAACTGGCTATAAAAAAAGCAGGAATTTTATTTTAAAGATAATTAATAGAACACATGACTTGTTCCCTTCTGTCATTGCTCATGAATGATATTATTCATTCAGTTTCATACAAAACATTCCAAAAACGGAAATCGGCCACTTTTTCTAATTCAGAACAGTTTGGCCTTTATTATTGCATGAATCAAGATTGATTTTTAGGCTTTCTTTGAATCCTACATGTACATTTGTACATGTAACTAATTATTTATACCTTACCTCAAGTTAAATGCATATTTGTACAGTAATGTTAAATTAACGGAAGAAGTGTATCACAATCGCAGAGATGGAACAATTCAATTCAGTATATGGAGGATACGTTTAGCATCAGTCTTGACTTAAGCTGAAGAATCAGTTACTCTTAATATTAACAACTCATTACATTTACAATGAGAATCGTCGTGGACCTCCAGCTAATAATCAGATACTCACATTTATCTTTAGAAATATTTTTCAAGAAAGTATGCTGACCAATGGAATGCATTTGCATTTTTTCCTCTAAACAATTAAAAATAAACATTTAAAGGATCCTTTTTTTGGATAAAACTATTTCTCTTTTCAGTCAGGTTGCAGTCATGCAACTTGTGGGTGCTATTGGGAAATATAAATATAAATGATGTAATCATTTCAAATTAACATTTCAAATAACAATATAACACCACTTTTGACAACTTTGTTTATAGTAGCTCCTAAGAATCTTTCAATTTCCTGAACAGAATAGTTATTTGTGCAATTGATTCATTGTCTGTATGACTGGAATGGTTGTTAGAAACAACAATGCAAATTAATTACCCTTTCACATAGATCAACACCCCCCCCCCCCCTCTCTCTGGGCAGTGGCCAGTCTAAGTGTGTAATCTTAATAATATGACAAGTTAATTTTCTGATCACAGACGATCCTCAATCTGAGGAAATTTGGATATTAGTTGTAATTAAACTTTACTTTACTCTATTGTAGTTCAGGGTTCTGTATTTGAAGTCATGGGACATTCTGACATGTGGCTAGGGTGAAAGTTTCAGCTAAAAATGAAATGGTATTCATCAACATCCTTTATTTAAAATCTTGCCTTTAGCCATGCAAGTTAAGATAAGCAGTAAGCCGTCCCTCCTTGTGAAGAATAAAAATCTGTTAAATTTCTACATTTACTAGTCAAATGAAGAGTTTTATCCTCTTGCAATCAAATCTCTCACATGAAATGTTTTCATCTTGATCAATTGCACATGAGAACTTGCCCTTCAAACATCACCAAGCTTCCACTTGTCACAGACCGATATTAAAGAGACCTGCGTGAATTCTTGAAATCTATAGAAGTCCCCTATTAGTTAGTATCCACTGTTTCTTCCCAGTATTAAACACACAAAAATAGTGGTTTAGGAATCTGAGACTAACACCTCTCCGACTTTCATTTGAACGTAGATGTGCCTTTTAGTGAGTCATATTCAAACGTAGCTACCCTACTACAGTTGCCATTATTATGAGCAGTTTAAACGAAAGATGTGTAAAGTGTTATTGTACAGCTATCAGGGCCCTCATAAATGTCTAATATTTATTTTTTACTATATCTTGTACAGAGTGATTTCACATTGCGGGATTGTAAATCGCGTAAAAAAACAAACTTATGGTTATGGTGACAGGATCAACTTCCCCACCATGCTCAAAGCAAGGTGGAAGGAATGGATTTACAACTTGTCTTGCTCTTTGTTCATATGCAGCAAGATCTATTTTGACTTCTATATATTCACCACAGCCTGTTTGAGGCTGACTTACATGCACTGTAAATATAGATATTATGTACAACACCATCCAGTGTGTATAACCGTAATCATTTAGCATATGATTAGCAAAACAGTAACATAGATGCAACAAAAAAATCTTATGCTTTATTGAAGTATATAAAGATATTTTTATGGTCTGTATTGTAATCTACAGAGCAAACTTTTAAGTGGACATAAAAATAGTTCGTGAAAATTGTTTATGTATGCAACAGAGCAAACGTTGGGACTACAACAAATTTTTCATTTCTAGGTGGTTGCTATCGCCCGTTAGGAAATTAGCTTAAATGCAGCTTAAATTGGTTAAGTCTGTATGTGAGTGTATGCATGAGCCCTAAAGAGAGTGACAGAGAGAGAGAGAGAGAGAGAGAGAGGGAGAGGGAGAGGGAACAGACCATTCAAAGTAAGATAAAGTTACGAGAGTGAGAGTGAGAGAAGAAAAAAATGAACTTAATATTTGTTACTAAGGCTGCTTTTTTATGTATTCCTATGTTTGGAGCTGGAAAAGAGTGAAGTGTTTCAAATATAAAACAATGAACATGCGCACTTTGACTGTCAAAGATTTTTAAGCAGTTCCAATTCTTTCTCATGTTCACCACATAAGATGTATTTGATTGTTATCAATGTGTTCCATAAATTTGGTACTGATCTCAAGTTCATGTGAATTATTGACAGTAAATTTTACAGTTTACATTTTATCTTTTGTGAAATATATTTGCATCCCTGTTGGCAACCTGCAGTTTAGGTTATCAGATATAAAGCAAAGAACATGCAACAAGGCCATACCATTAGCCATTAGAGTTAGTGAGTTTTATCAGCTATACAAAAAAAGTTACCAGTAATTTTTTTGTGGCCCATGATGTACATGTAGGTTTACTTTTATATTATTTTTTTCTTTTATATAAAAAGAAATCATGTTTTGTATATGTTCAGTCTGTTTTTTAAATATCCTGTAACTATTTTAACAGTTAATGATATATATTTCATACAATGAAATCATACTATGATTGCATATTTGTCAAAACCTGACAATTTTTATGTTTACTGCGATTCAATGACAGGCTTATGAAATGAATGATTTGTTGAGAAACCATTCCCTGCCTCAAGTGATGTTGTTTCTAGTTCTAGATGCTGACAAAACTATTTATCGCGCTGCTACAATGTAGCTCGTAAGTGACTACAGCTCATTATTAAACAACAAACGAGAATGACATCATGCTGATTTATGAACAGTTTCAGAATACAAGTTATCTGTTCACCTTCTCATTTGAAAGTTTTTAAGTATAGCTAATTTGCATCGATCTGCTATTGAGAGAAGCTAACTCATGTGATTCTGTTCTCACCAAATCAACAAAAGAAGATTTTTAAAAAGAAAAAAAAGACGTCATCTTATTCACAATCTGTGTACAAGTATTTGTACTGATACTGTTATTTAATAAATTCATGCATGGAAAGGGAACTGAATCCATTTTCTCTTTTCTCTTCGTTTAAAGTTGGTATGGTTTGCGTGACGAGTGTGTGTGTGTGTATGTGTGTGTTGTGCCTGGTAAGGAGCAGTGGATATAATGTCATTTGCTTAGATCCAAAAGGACATCAAATCAATATCAAGAGATGGGAGGGAATGCCCATCATGGCCCTGTTTCATCAAACTCGCCATCGATAACAAGTTACAATAACTGTTATAAGCTACTGAAATAGTGGCATCTGATTGGCGGAGAACACAATTTTTAAGCACTTGTTAATGATGAGAGTTTGATGAAACGGGGCCCTGGTTTTCAGCAGATGACATTTAATGCAAAAATGAGAGGAAGAAAGACTGCAAGACACAGAAGTCCATAAACAAAGAAAGTGTTTCATGAATCCTTGAAATCATTCTGATATTGGTGTTGAGATGTTACATTACTACCAATTCCTTTACGCAAAAACTAAAATTGATTGAAGGATATGAAACACTTTCCTCAGGTTTATCTTGCTCTGACTGATGGTTCAAGAGGGTTAACTGAGTGAAAGAATTTCCTTGTTTGTAAAAGTTGAAGAAAAAAAACCCCTGCTCTACAGTAATAATATTCATCTATTGAATAATTAAAAAGTTGGAGACAAATCTATATCTCTCTGTGCCCCAAGTCCCTTGTTTAAATCCACACCAAGCTCTACAATCATCTTCTTATGCAAAAGCATTGCCATGCACATAAAATTGTGTGCATTGCAATGCTTCAGAATAATCATAATAACCATGATCTATAATTAGAATGTTTAAACATAGCTGAGTAAACCAAGCATGAATTTGAGTATCCGGTATGGGGGAGGGACGTGCTAGTTAAGAATGTTTTGGTTTGGCTAGACAACATGTGCAATACTAGAAAAATCTAAAATTCCCCTCAAATTATTAAAAAAAAAAAATATTAATGATCCAAGGTTCAAACAAACAATTATAGTATAGTGTTTATTTGGAATGAATGTCTGGTATTTACTCTGTATACCATACGCTATATATACACACACACAGTACACGCAACTTTGGACACAGATTTCAGACTTAACGACTGGCAAATGATTATCATTGACTATTTATGGAAGCAAATTCTGAAGGGAAAAAAAAGAAATAGAGAGAAAGATGTAGTGATTATTTACAAAATTAGAATACAATTGACATTATGCAGAAGAGACCATAACACTCATCACATTCATTTATATTTAAATATATTTAGTACTTTGAAGTTAAAAGTAGATTTACCCTTTGGACAGCATTACAAATATCAAAGTTTGGTTTTAAACCGTTTTGAAAATGAAATTGAAACACCGGATCTATTTGCTATCCTTATCCCCCTATTGGTACTCATACATTAAACTGCGGAGAGCTAGAAGGGCATTAACTTGTACCGTTATACATCGAGTTAACACCCTTAATGCTCTCAACGGATGAAATTCAAGGACTTATCCTTCAAAGTGCAGCTTCATGACAAATTGTACACATCAATGTGCAACTCTCATTATATAAATTCGCCACTTTGGAAATGCAATGTCAGGCAAGTCTTACACAACATTCAAAATATTCCTCATGCAAAGGCAATAGGCACAGGATTTTTCCAGTTTACAAACCTGTTTTTTACAATAGAAAATCAGGAAAAGATAAACATTTTGGTTTTATTGCATGAGGAAGTTATTGTATCCTAGAACAATGACTTCCATTTTATATTTTCATTAGCGATGCACAATAAGAGCTTTTTTCCTAAAGTCATTTCCTAGCCCCGCTCAAGGTGTTTGTTATTGTATGTTATCATTGTGATTGGCAACTATATACATGTAGGAACTAAGTGAAGGTTTATCGATACGAGATCGGAAGTGTTTGAAGGTGGGGTGTTTCTAGAATGTTCTGAATGTGTAGATATTGCAGTGGTCACAAAATATGATTGGTAGTTTTGGTTCTGACATGCTCGTTTTGATGCAAGTTAATGAAATGATCACATAGTATTACCGTTTTTCATAGGGACAATAATCCTTCCACTATTGTTACTCTACGACTTCTACTACATGTATACTTCTACTACTACTACTACCACTATCGCTACTACTACTACTACAGCTACTACTACTACCACTATCACTACTACTACCACTATCACTACTACTACCACTATCACTACTACTACTACTACTTCTACTACTACTGCTACCACTTCCTCTATCGCTACTACTACTAATACTGCTACTACTACTACTTCTATTACTACTACTTCTAAGGTTTCTATTGTATATACCACTTTACTGCATTTAATCAAATAAAAAAAAATATATAAACAAAACCTGCATGTTCTCCCAAGTCAACCCAAGGTAATTGCTTTTGCCCATGAGTTTCCATAGCCGATTCAAAAGTCATTAGGACAATTTAGTGATTTTGGATTCATATAGATGTACTGAATAATCATGACCATTCATAATGCTCTCTTGATAGATTGATTCCGTTATTAATCTGTTTTGGTAATTTCCGTCCACTAAAAGACTCTGCATGTTTCCTATTCCGGAGGCACTGCACTTTCTTCAATAGGCGATTGTCCTGTGATCTGTACTTTGTACAAATGGAAACAAAATCCAACATCATACCTCACAATGTACACAATGTAAAATAGTAAAGATGGGGGTGATAGCAACAATGATAATGATGACAGTGATGAATAGGTATGGGAGGAAGGGATAAAGAACAATTGACACTTTTGTTAATATATGAGTAACGTTGCAATGTAGTTGTTGGTTGTGGTACTTGTAATTGGCAGCGATGATGATGTAAGCCAACAAGTAAAGTTGCAATGTTGTTGTTTTTGTTGCTGGTAATGGTGGTATTGGCTTTGTTGGTGCTGATGCATGAAGAAGGCATCAATAATGGATTTTGTGGATGTGATATAGTGTTCTGGTGGCAGACATCGCTGTTGTTGTAGTGATGATGACAGTGTTGCTGGTGATCAAAGTTGTAAGTACAGTTGACCATTATGTTGATTGCTGGTGGCAAAACTTGCCAGCTAGTGTGGTGCTTGAACTTACAGTCATGTTGCATTTAGCAGAAACAAGTTCAACAATGTTTCTGGTAGTAGAAATGTTGCTGTGGTGGTAGGGATGTCTCTAGTGGCAATGGCACAACTGGTAAGTGGTAATAATTGCTACAGGTCTATAAATGCAGTTGTACCTAGGGTGTTGCAGCAATGCAAATTGTTGGAAGCAGCTGTGGCAGGTGTGGTAGTAAACATGTTAAACTATACGGTTATCATTCAAGCAAACATGTCTAAATCAGAAGACTTGTTTCTGGAGGCTTTAAGCTTAGGAGAGGTATAGATAGAGGTCACAAAAAGAAAACAAAAGAAAGAAATTTTGTCCATCACCTTTGATTACCAGACTACACACTATTTCCTTCCTTCCAATTTGTAACCAGCTGCAGTTCCACCATGACGACCAGATGTTTTCTGGTAATTATAATGAAGCATTCTAATTAGAAGATTCTTCTGGTATCTGACCGGGAATTCTCCAGAAGATAAGCATCTTGAAAATAGGAAGTACCGGAAGCCGCCTCTCAAAATGGTCTGGAGTTCATGCGAGATCATCTGGTTACTATTTAGTCAAACTATGGTTACCCATAGAAAAGCACCCTGCAGATGCTTCATGGTGCATGACCATTATTTATTGTAAATAAAATTTCTGATTTGTGAAATATTTCACTGATTGTAAATATATCAAAGAATGTCCAAGGGTACACACACAACATATTTGAGTTGATATATGTCTCATATGAGTTCAATCATAAAACAATTATGAGTTAGAAAACAGCAAAATGCTGAAACCATTAGGTGAAGCAATATCACACAGAAAATTGTCAGTTCTCATTTTAAAAGAGGGGGGGGGGGGGGGGGAGAAGAGATTATGGGAAGGCTCTCTTTACAGATCTTTTTCAATAAAATTCCTTATTTTTCCTATTTTGTTTACTGCAACACACCCACCCTCAAATGAGAACCAAGGAAACAAACAAATAAACATCTCTGAATGAATACAGAACATTTGTTAAATTTATCATTAATTTATAGGGCAGTGACATAACGAAAGCCCTTCAAACGTACATTATGTTCTGAGTACCCAATTGGCACTCCAAGTAGTTTCACTATTGCTTTCAATGTTTGTCAAAGTCTGTAGTTCAATCATTTTTTTCTCTCATCGTAAAGCACTCGATAGTTTCCTGCACGATTTTGATTGATTGATCAAACACGACTGATATTTCGTGTTTTAAAGGTACTATGTCCCTTTTGCAGCCAACCTCAAATTCTGTAGAACTTTGCAGGAATTATGAATATGTCATGTATGTCCTATCTGTGAAATTTAAACGTTAGCAGTGTCCTCATATTCAAATTATGCAAGGAAACCCGTTTACTTTCTAGACTTCACTGTCAGACACTATTAAGTGACTGACTGGCTTTTCTTCTTCTTTGGTAATAACATACATGAAAAGAGTTGTAAAGGGTACATGAGCATTTGTCTACATCAATAACCCACTTCTTGTGATGGCCAAGATTAAACTGATTGAATCTTTGCGCAGCATAAAACGTATGACCATTCGGTACAATTGTCTGAAAATCAAGACTATTACTTTTGGGCTCTATAGCCCTAAAGTCGATTTGACAACTAATAGTCGTTATTTTCCCACTTGAAGACATTTTCAAACCCCACCTTTTTTAGGGAAGTTCTAAATTAGTATTATCTTTCAAATGCAGTTGGAATTTAACTTTTTCATTTTTTGGGCCTGCAAATGGGACATAGTACCTTTAAGAGCTAGAAGGGCATTAAATCTTCATTAACGGACGTGACTTAACTCCCTTCTGAAATTCACAAAATACAATATGATAACAAATATGAGAACAAAGATAATGGAAAAACCCAACTTTTATCCCAGTCTTTAAACATGAAATGACAAGTACTTCCACAACTAC